TCTGTTTACTAGGCATCTGATACCACGGTGCATTCAGTAACTGACATCAACATTTGGTGTCCTTGAGAGAGTCATATCAAAGGCTAACGTGTCTATAGCGACTACCTCTACTCGATTGATGATTGAATTGACAAAGACTTGTCTGGAATGTGTAACAGTGCTCCAAAATTCACTTCTTTAGAGTTTTGAAAAAAATTTTAGAAAAATGAGATCCTTTGCAGATTTTGAAACCAGCGGATAAAAAGAAATTCCCGTATAGTGGCGTTGGATCTGGCCGTCCAGTGACACCACCGAGGACCCCGGCTCCAAATGCTAAAAAAGGAAAGAAATAGTTTGATCTACTGATTGCAGACGTTGTTTTAATACTTCAGTGTCTGCTGTGTTTTGGGGTGCACAAAAAAACTAGAGGGCTTTCTGTGGAGCACAGTGAGGGTTTATTGGATGTAGATATATTATTTACCTCCGTTTCTTAATAAATTTTTGGTTTAATTTACCGTTTCTTTTGCTTACTTTTACTGGGACTTGAAAAAGTTTCGGTGGTAAATTTGAACTCTTTCTTTTCGTGTGTTAAAGCCAATTCATTATCCAAGAACTATTTGTGCGAACAAGAATATCTTGTCGGCGTGTAATTGTCTGTTGCACATTGACTTAACAATTTGTTGAATTTCAAGTTTATCAGTGATAATTTTGTCAGAGATACCTGAAATACTATTCTCTATACTGTATGAAGTCTTATCAGATTTCATTTGAACGAACTTGTTTTATTAGCTCTGAATAAGTAATTATCTCAAAAGGATCACTTGACCGTTTTGGTAGTAGGTAGTACATATGCGTATTTTTTCACCGCAATGCGAATTGTTTAAGGCTTCACTTCGTTGGTCAGTTCTTTTTTTTTCTAATAAAAAAAAAAAGAAAAAAATGAAATAACACATTGTCTATGTTCCTCTTTGATAGCTGTTCCGCGTGGATTTTTTTTTTTTTTTTTTGAGATAAGTAGTATTACATGTCAATCTTTATGTTTTGGTTTGACGATTTATTTTCGTAAAATTTTATGACTTATAATATACATACATATATTTGTAAATTTCGGGCGACAGTTAACGATTTCTCACACATTTCCTTCTTTTTATCGAAAATAATCATTTCAGGAATTTTTTATTTAGTACAAGGAAATGAGTGTGTATGCGATTGGTATTGTTTTAGTAAATATATGGTTATCTTTGCAACTGGTAGTTTTTTTTTTCTTTTTTTCAGGTATTAACTGTTTTAGGTTAGGCGTCTTGTTTTGATGTGATATACATTGTTTCTTTTCTTTTTTTTTTTTTGCAACATAATCTTCACGTGGCACATATATTGACATATAAAATTTACTTTTTTGTTACCATTTATTATTAAATGTTTGCAAAAAATACATATATTACGCTTATGTGATGAGCGTATTGAATACTGAATGATATCATTTTTAATTTCAACCGTTACTTAAAGTTTGGGAAAGCTTTTTGATCTTGATCAGTACAGCATTTATCAAAGAAATATGACTTGTTAGAAACAAGGTCCTCAAATATTTGCATTTAGTTGCAAAAATGATCATTTCGTCGTAAGGCTTTCATTTTTTTTTTTTTTTTAATATTTGAGTTAAACAATAGTTCATTTCGGTTGAAGAACTCAATTTCGAGATTTAATGGATCTTACTGACGAATTTAACTCATGCTAACTTAAGTGGAAAAATGAGAGCTTCGTTCCAACCGATTGCAATTTGATTTTCTCATATTTGAAAAAAAAAAAGAAACTCCGTGACTATGGAGTATAAGAAGTAGATGTTTGAAAAAGTTTTGATAGAAAGAATGACAATATCGTTGTCAGTATTTTAATTAATATTGGAAGAGAGATACAGTCAGTATTAAATGCAGAAACGGACACTGAGAATTGAATGTTGTTAAGAAATTTTTCACTATGAAACTTTTGATACATTAAATGTTGATTTTTCTAAAGTTTAAGTTTCTGAATTGAAGCTTAATTTTATTATCAATGATGTTTTTCATTCAATATTAACTTAATTTTGAGCAGAAAAGAAAAAGTATATCTTAGCTTACCAATTATTTTGTAGTTTTTTCAGAAAATTTGTAGATTCTTATTTGAAATGTTAAGATTTTTTAATCTACTATCATAAAATTAGATAATTTGTTATTTTACTATTTAAGCTACTTTTTTTTTAAAGCAGTAATATGAACCATTTATTTGAAATAGCGAATCTGATATGCACACCATCAGAAGTTAGTTATTGATTCGTTAATTAAACTTTTTTTTGCGCATTGTGCACAATTTATGTTCGCTTATAGGCATAAGTCTTCTGGTATGTCTTCGATTTCTTGTAAACGATTTTCTGCAATTTAACACAATACACTCAATGTTACTAATGATTTTTGGAATTGAAATTAGCTTTCATGAATTAATTGAATGTAACTGAATCATCAAGTAGATTGAATAAAATAAAATCACGGATCAATTGAACAGTTAGTAAATAAAATTATGAATTAAGAGGTATAAATATTTATATTAAAAATTTTTTGTAAGCAAATAATCTTATCATTATATAATTTCCTAATTTCTTCTCCTACTTCAAATAATATTCGTGAAATAAATTGAAAAATTGTAAAAATTTTCTATTATTCATATAATTTTAAAGTTATAGTTAAACCTTTTTGGTATCGCTTGTTTTTTTAGGTGGTGGCGGTGGTGGAGGTGGTGGTGGTGGTGGTGGTGGCGGTGGCGGTGGTGGAGGTGGTGGAGGTGGCGGTGCTTGCTCTTGCTTTTTACCACCTCCAAAATAATCATCATCGATATCGATATCAAGTTCCGCTGGTCGTGTACCAAGGCCACCTGTTGCTTCAACAGGCACAAATGCACTTTTGTCAGCCATTTTAGCTATAAATTTATTTGAATCAAAAAAAAAAAAACGAAAAAATAAATCTTAAATTTTTAAAAAAAAAAAAAAAAATAAATCTTAAATTTAATCATCTCATATTAAAAAATAAAACAATTGTTTCTAAATTAATGAAAACTAGCACAAAATTTGTGCTATAACGAATTTATGTTCTATTTTTAAACAAATATACAAAAAAAAAAAAAAAAATTAAAACTACTTTACGCAAATCAAAATGAAAACGTACGTGATAGCAAGTGCTAACAACCTTCGACGTCTAAATTATTCAAATGATTTTTTGTAAGGAACACAAATGCTGTACAAAATGACAGCTATGTCCCTCTTAATAAATAAATTGATTAAACTGCAATAGTCTGTTTGTCACCTTTGCACACCTTTTATAATCATCTATAAATTTATCTCTATGCATTCCTTTAATTTCTTTTTTTTTTCTTAAATATGCAAATTTTATCCAAAATGAAAAATTTTATTCTTCCAAAAAAAAAAAAGTACCCGCAAAATTTTCATTTCAAAACATTCTGAACAGAAATAAATTGATAAATATGAAATACATATTATTAACTCATTTTTATATAATTTTGAATAACAGAAAGTATAACAGAAAACATAGGAAAATTAATTAGTCTAATGATAATTTTAAAGGAAATTTGTAGTATTTCTCTGAATGTAACTTTCACTTGTTCCTATGCTTGCTTTTTTTTCTTATTCTTAAAATACACAAAATTCAATTCAAGTTTTTTTCTTTTTTTTTTTTAGGAAAATTCTGTTATCAAAACATTTTCCATTGATAATTGAAGGCTTTCTTTTATTATTTCAAATTTTTGTTAGAATATTTTTGAGTTGTATCCATTGATTATTCAATTTTGACTTGATAAAGGAATAGTCTTTTAACTGATTTTTTCATAACAATAAAGTTATGTTTCATTCTTACATTTCCGATGTATGCGATATCCGTTAGTTACCATTCAAAAGATATGCATTATTCTCATTGATGACCAAACATAAATGTGAGGAAAAATTTATTTTCAAATGTTTTGATGCTTAATGTATAAGAATAAGTTTTTCTTTTTTTTTTTTTTTTTTTTTTTTTTGGAATACTATACATAAATACAGTTATTTATGAATTCAATAAAAGAATTTTAAGAACTAAAATTAAACCAAACCTTTTTTCATATTTTAAGGACTAATCACTTAAGCAAATTATGATTAGGAAAGTTCTATTTGACACAATTTAAATGAAATGAGATCATTTAGACACTCGTAATCCAAACTATATAAACCCAAGCTATTTATACTCGGAATAAAATAATGATTAGGAAACAGTGAAATGAAACGTTCATATTCCTTCGCACAAATAAGAATTCATAACTGAACAATACGTATATGGTATTTAAATTTGAGACATTTTTATTATGCATATCTGAATTGAAGAGCAATTTTATTTACAAATAATTCAAGACAATATAAAAGTCCAAGATAGTAGCACAAGGTAATAAGCGAAGCAATAAATTATTACAACAAACCAAAAAGATCAAAATAAGAACCGTTTGCATCGGCTTGCATATTTTGATAATCAAATGGAATGTTCCATTTGAAGCAAGATTTGTTGCAAGATCAATATCACAAAGAGAACATACTATTTTCGACGACAAAAAAAAAAAAATGCACCTGACTGATTTTGGCCAGAAAAGATCAATAAACATAGGTATTTATATTATGGGATAAATGGACAGCTTACAAGCGTTCAGTATAAAGATGTTTTACTGTCGAATATCATTTGCTAAAAATATAACATTTGAGGATGTATTTAAAATAAACTGCAATAAATCACCTTTTATTTGTAATTTTTGAGAACAATATGAAATATCTGGAATCCCTTTTAGTAATTTTTTCTTTCAAGAAAAAAGTTCCAAACTTTCGATAGTACGTTAAAGTTCAGGAACAATGCTTTAAAAATACCAATAAAATTCGTTTTCGATCAGTCTTTACATCTAAGAGACAAAACACATACCTGTCTAAATATATGAAAACCATATTTTAACACTGCAATAAAATATCATTTATAATTTTTCACATTCGAAACTGCATTTTGTGCTTCTTTCAGTTTCCACAAAATGTTCTGAAAAATTTTCATATCGATAGTTTTAAAATTCAACGGAAATGAAAGAAAGTAAACAGAAACAAATTTTACAGCTAATTAACCTGTAAATCATCAGAATTACAACAAAATGAAATCCTCTCTAGAGTTGTTGAACCAGTCGGAATTGTATCCAAATGAATCTCGGCCACAGCCATTTCTTTCTTACCTTTGTCTGTCTGAAACAAACATAAACTCTATATGGATATTTCGAATCATCCAATACATTGTTCAAAATGTAAAAAATATGCGCATTCTTTCGATACAGCGCATATTCACAAACGAGGGAGCAGTCAAATCTTAGTAAAAAAAAAAAAAAAACACTATGCATTATAGTAAAAATACTATGATATATTATGTCATATTCTGCCTCATTTTGCATAGCAAAATTAAATAGGAAATTTTAAAATTAGTTCAAAAATTTTCTGCTGTAATAAACTTGAACTGAAAAGACAACAAAACTGTTCTTTACTCCTTATCCTTACATTATAACCTCCTACTTTTATATATATATAAAATACTTCTAAAGTTTTAGAAAGCTTCCAGGAGATATCAACAACTCGCGGTGGTTCCCAACCAATTGCTGACATACATTTTCGAATCGACTGCTCCTTTTCCTGGAAGCCAACATTATAGTTGTTACCTGATACGATACATTATATGACATATTGTGTCATATTCTACCTTATTTTACACAGGAAGATTAAATATGAAAGTCTGAAACTACTTCAGGAAGTAATATTGTATTATTGTTCTCAAACCATAGACTTATTCATACCCTAAAGACACTGACAATAGCCTGTGACAGCTCGTTTTTCGGTAGTAATTCCTCAAGTGCTGTCACAGATAGACCACGTCTTGCTGCTTCTACAAGCACTCCAGCAGCTGCATTCCAGTAAACTTGACTGCAAATTGATTCCTCTACTGAAATATATTTTATCCAAAAAGAAATAAGAGGAAATTTATAACCAAACTTAATAAGTACGAAAACTTGCATTTTGAAGGACCATCGTCAATCAATATCTGACATAATTTTTCGCAAACATCTTTAAAATCATTATAATTAGCTACCGAGCCATATTCTTCAACAGACTGAAGTAGATGAACCGGGAAAGTAGCCATTTCAAGAACTAAAAATGATCCAATGGCAAAGTGAAAATCTAAAAAAGAAATCAGATATGCGAAAACCAAAACTAAAATCTTTTCATTCATACAAAAAATTATATAAATAGTTTCAAATATTTCATAATATGCTGGGTGACTGAAGAACCATTAGGAAAGTGGAATAAAATAAAGGAATAGCTTTTAAAAAAGAACTTTTAACTGCTCACATCTAAGTCTCTTTCGGGAAATGAATACATTACTGCAATTATTTCAAAACTAGAAAATTCTTTGACGATGAAAACTTCTTAGATATCTACAGGAAGCAAATAAAGAAAAACAGCTTGGATATGCCTAAAACAGTTATTCGATAACAAAATGATCAAAATTTTATTAACAAAGAATTAAAAATAAAAACATACAAATATTAAAAAACAAATGCATATATGAGCAAAGTAAACGATAAAGCCCACTTCTGAGTCTACAACACTTTGGAATCTTTGAAATGTGCACACTGCCAAAATAAAACAGCAGAAGCAAAAAGTATTCTTTTTGAATTATTTTAGATAAACATAGGTCATTTTTGCATCGAAACGAAATAACGAAATTAACAATTAAAATGTTCTTTGTACTTGGCTTTTTTTTTTTTGTTTCCCTAGAATTCAATATAAGCATATTTCTGAGTAACTAAGGGCTCAGAAACTGGACTAAACAAAATTTAATTTAATAATCTTAACAATGACGATTAATTGATAATTAATAATCTTAACAATATCAATAACTGAGAATCTAAACTGCATAGGCTATCTAAGAAATCAGAAGAATTTGATTCCTAAAAACTAAAGCAAACCGGCTTTTTAATAAAGCCAAAACACATATCACATTAATTAGTCACTGGTAACTAATATTCCCATAAATAGAAAAATAAATACTCCTCTCTCATTCTGCGCCTCTACAAAATATTAGTTTTGAGTGCTCCAAGACCTCACAGTGCTTTCAGAACAAGTTCCCCTTATAAACAAACAAAAGTCAACAAACAATAAGCAAAAAATTTTTCAAAACAAAAAACATCACTAAACAAGCTAGAACTGTCTAATACGTAACGATAAATACCTCGTTGATGGGAAGGTACAAAAATAAATCACCACTTCAAACGAAAGTCAATAAATACTATTCAAACAAACTTACTATCAACTTTTTCCATCCCTTTTCACTTCTTTCGCTTCCTGAACAATTTCTTCTCTGAACTGTTTTTGTAATTCTTCATCTATGCGTTCTTTTGCACGATACACCTGAAAAAACGTGTGCACAACTATTAGAACAATTCCATCAACTGTTATGAAAACTAATGATCTAGTCAACATGATCAGGACATAGTGTAGTTAATGTTATATATGGGAAGCAAGACCTAAATAATTGTGACTAGTAAAAACTTTATCTTTTGTAGTAATTATGTATGCAGATCAAACTTCTGGAAAATAAATGAGCCGATTAATGGAAAAACAGCAGTTAACATAACATACTTTAGACTGTAGATACAATGAACCTCCTTTAGTTTTGTCATTTATACCAAATAAATGCCTGTAATTCTTTTCGACTTCTTCAGGCTTCAGTGGATCTTGCACATTCAAGATTTTCATCGCTTCCTACAAATCTTTTTGGTACCAAAAATATTAAAAAAATGAAATTCATGCACAAAAGGATCAAAAAAAATATATTTAATTAAACAATAGACCTGCAAAGATATTCCAAGTCTCGCATTTGTTCGACTTGCCTCACGTGCTTCATTTTGACTTTGGCCAGTATGCTGAGCGCGATTGGCTGCTGCTTGTCTGTTTGCTGAAATGCAATCCTAATAATGTTATATTATAGTAAGAGAGAAATAGACAAGGATTCTTGGCAAAAAAATTTATAAAATCTTAAGACAACCTAATTTACGTTCGAATATGAATGTTCCAGCATATATTTATTCCCACTTATTTCATAATTAACATTTTTTTCATCACTTCCTTATGCAAGAATAACGTGGTCACGTTCGGTACTAATACATAAAAGGATTTAGAAAAAAAAAAAATAGAAACTCAAATTACATGTAAAATGGCTAAACAGTACAGCTACATCTATTATATCATATCTTCAAAAAAAATCTAGACTATTTTTAATTTTCAAATGGTCATAAATTAATTATAATTATGCTCATAAATTAAGCATAATTATGAGACATATATTAAAGCGTGTTGAAATGTAAACAGTTAAATACCTCAAACTATTACACAGAGATGTAAACAATTCCCATCATTTTTATCTAATTTTTTTCTCCAATTTTAAAAAAAAAAGAAAGACAACCTCTAATTTCTTCCCGTACAGCTCGAGTGAATGCTTTACTCAAAGCTTCGCTAGTTGCGATCACAATTTTAATCGCATTTCTCCATACCATAACGTGTTAGCTAGAAATGAAAATTTAAATTGTACGCAATAAACAGGTAAACAACATAATTATATATTTATTATATAATATTTTCAAATAAATCTTTCATATTCTCAGTTATTGTTACTGTTCAATAATTCATTTCGATTGTTTTCTTCATATTCTTTCACCAATATTTTTACATCTCTAATGCAAACATCTTCCTAACTCTCTCAGTTCTTAATTAAAGTCTAGTATGTAATTTTCCGGAAGACAAATATACTTCCTTATCTTCCGGAAGACAAATATACATCCCCACTTTCCGGCAAACTTGACATTCTGGAAACTTCCTACCACTTTATTTTATAATCCTTCGTCTCAATATGCAACCAACACTTACTGCCACCAAGCTTTTACGGTCCGTTAAAGAATGGTATCGATTACACGAAGTCTTACGTAAACTTGTACGATTATTGTACGTGTGATGCGTGTTATTCCGTCTCCTGTTATTGGCAATTTGACGTATTTATTAGTTAAAAATTATCATTAACTAATTTAATTTAGGTATGGCTAACATTATGCGTCGACTAATTGAGCCAAGTTATGGTGCACTTATCAGTGTTAGTGCTAGCCATTTGCATTTCTCAGCGGTGCAACTTTCTTCACCATTTGTGAAAGCACAGAAAAAAATGGATCCTGAAATTGCTAAACTAAGAGAAGAGAGAAAGAGGTATTTATCTGTTGTTTTTAGTTTAATCTTAGTTTATCACTTTCCATATATTATTTTTAGTAAGTGACTATTCATGGTATGATACGTGAAAGTAAAGGAACATATTATTGTATAATTCAAGAGCATTTTTTGTCGGCAAATTAGATAAATAAAAACTTGTTGATTTAATTTAACGAATTTTGCTTTGTTTGTTTTATTTATTAGAAGCAAAATAAAAGATCAGTCATGTCTTCATTTAATTATTCTGTTACACGTAATGATTTGTGTCGAGAAATATCACGTCATGTTATTAATTTGTGCACGTAGATTTTTGGACTTTGCACTTCTATTCACTCATATTATTAGAGCAAATTATATCATTGATATTTTTTTTTATTTATTCAGAAGAAAACTGAAGAAAGAAATCAAACTTCTAGAAAGCTTTGGCAAGAAACCGAAACCTGTGGAGGAATTAATTTTTGATAAAAAATATGAAGAAACTATTAATGAACGAATACGCCCCAAAGTTGAAGTTAGATTTGTTTCCTTTCCGTTTCTAATTGAGTTTATTTATCGATTTGTTCAAATATTCGGCACAAAATCGTCAAATGGTGAAATGTTTAAATGTTATTACTCAGGAAATGCACATATTTTCGTTAGGAATCATCATGTTAGATTTAATTTTGGTGACATCGGGTGACATTTTTTTTTCTGTTTCTATCTGGCGCAATCAGATGATATTTGTGTGGGAGATAGTCCCAAAAGTTTTTGAGCTTTATGGAATTTGCACTCTCGTATTGAAATTTTTGGGAATATATCTTGTTATCCTTTCTAGTTAATCCCGTATAGAAATAAATTCACTTTGTTCCAGTGAAGACATTTTACTTGTCTTGCTGTATCTAATGAGTAGTTGGACGAAGTTTTTTCATCAAAAATATTCTTAAAATTTGTGAAATATGGAACTAAAAAAAGCAGCATCAATATGTCTAAATGAAATGTTTTACCTTCAGTTAAGTGAAGATGAGAAGGATGAGCGTGCCGCTCTGGAGATGGAATACAAGCGCTATCTTAATAAGTTAGCAGTTATGGATACTCGTTGGATCGCAAAAAGTGTTCAGAAACAAGAAAATGCTTTGCAGAAGCTCAAGGTTTCATTTATTTATATTCTCTTAATGAAACTGATTACTTTCGACAAGTTCCCAAATATATCCGGGGATTTCAGAAGCTCTTGTCTTTCTAACCTTTTTATTAAAAAAAAAAAAACTCATATTGTGATCTGATGTTGAAGTGCACGTTGAGATTTTGCATTTACAATAGCGGAATTTTTTTGGCTGTTCATTAGATCATTGTCAACTACATTGCAATCATTTTGCTCTATTTTCAATCATTTTGCTACATTGCAATCATTTTGCTCTACAAGTAGTACCTTATAGCTGCATTTTTAAAAAATTGAAAATATGTAAAATTTCAGATGTTATCGCCAGAATTATACAAAGCTGCCCTGGAACCTGATGAATGTTTTTTGCAAAATTTTGTCTACCGAGGTCCAACACTGACGCCTCCAATAGAATCATACGAGCCACCTGATGGGCATTATATCGATGTCAGCAAAAAGTGGTTATGTTAAGTTTCCGCAAAATTGTCAGTATTCTGTAGCTTAAATGACAGGTATTAGGTTATTGAAAATGAATGATATACAACAGGACGGTTTTGTTATAATCCATTCTTTCAAATATGCTTTTCGATTTGACAATTTATTAGAAAGCAAATCATTTTGTTTTGTAAACTTTGTTGTAAATTGTCATCAAAAAATTTCTTTTCTTACTAATTTAGTTTTGTTATCTGCATTGCTCATTGTAGGTTACTTCATTTATTTTAGTGTTGGATGACTTGTGATTAATTAATAAATGTTAATTTGCTTTTTTTTTTTTTTTAAATGCTTTGCTAAAGTAACAAGTTTGTCGTTAAAAAAGAGTGTTATATCCAGTTACTTTTTCCAATAAAAATTTTGAGTTTTAGGAAAACTATTGTAGACATTATTTCATATTGTAGTCAGTATTATCACGAAAATGTTGCTTACTTCAATATCGTATATTAGTCTTTTATCAGTTAACTGTGAAACTATATTTTGTACATATTGTAATTCAAAAGTCATAAAATATTCGTTTAACAAAGATGTGTAGCACAATATAAAACACATTTAGTCTTACTTTTTAGAGTCATTTCTAGATGTTTTCAAGCTGATGGATGGTCGCTTTAAACAAATTAGCGATTTCTATATTATTAATTCATCAAAAATTACATTTAGTAAAGATAAAGTTGGGACCGGAAACTTTGCTGATGTATATAAAGGTGTTGATTAACCTTGCATTTCAGCTTATAACTGCTAATTGCTACAGTTTAGACAAAGAAAGGCTTTTGTTATTAAAAATTTTGTTTCATGATATTAAACTTGTCTGTTTGCTTGGTTTGATTTCATAAAACATCAATTTTTAATATAAGCAGCCGTAGATTTGAAATGATTGTTAGGAACGTATCGCAGAGGCAACGAAAAAATATTGGTAGCGGTGAAAATTGTTCGAGTTGGTGGCGGTAATGTGGTATTCTTTTGTCTCAAGTTTTTTCTGTTACCTTCTAAATCCCTTAACAAAGTTTCATTTTTCATCCTACTAAATAAAGCTATAATTTTGGGATTTCGGCGCAAATAATCAACATAGATTATTAAGCCATTGCTCTCCTTTTATACATTTAGCATTTAATTATTACTTAAATTTGCTTACGTGAACAGATACTGCTAATTGACATGATCAGATATATGATAATATGATAAGTGATATTAAATTCGTTTTCTTAACATTTAAACAATTATAGAAATAAATTATATTATTTATGATGTAATTAATTAATTTGTGTTAGAATTTAAAGTTCGTCTATAAATTAAAAAGTTATACTGATAGGATACCGAATTACGCTGCTTATCAGAATTGACGAACGAAGCAATAATTATGTCATTGCATCATCATCGATGTGTTATTGAATTCTACGGCATTTCATCCGATAAGGTTTTCGCAGAGTTTTTGGAAATTATTTCAAGATTTTATGAAAGTTAACTAATTAAGGAAGTCAGTGAATGTATTAGAGAAAATAGAAGCACTGTATGCTTCTTCAATTTTAATTTGCTAGTTGTTAAATTTTCACTTATAATTGATTTCATCACTGTCAGATTCCAATGATTTTGATGGAGTATTGTGCAGGTGGTTCGTTGGAATTACATCTGCAAAAATTTAAAGAGCGAATTTCAACTGCAGGCACAATTCTTTCACATAATAAAGCGGAAAATGTTGAGAGAGAACGGAAAATTATTATTATTGTCAATTATTATTATTATATATTAATTATTATTATTAATTATCATTACTATTAATTGCTATCGTCATCAATTATTTTTAGTATTAATTACTATCATTATCAATTATTATCAGTATAAGTTATTATTGCTACAAATTATTATTATTATTTGTTCATTAATTTATCGCTCATAACACTCTAGATTTGCTTATTTTATTCACTTCATCCTTTATTTTATTTTATTTATTTTTTTTTTTTAAAAAATCTTACATTATCAGATCAATTCTTTTTTTTTCAACAAATAGTAAAGATATCTTATCAGGTGTTTATCATTTGAATAATCTTTTATGATACATTTACCAGTTATTCAATTGCTAGGAAATATTTCAGAAAGAGTTACATATATGTTTCAAATCTCAGATGGTATGCGCTATTTGGAAAGGAAAAGATGTGTTCATCGAGATTTAGCGACACGAAATGTGCTTATATCCAGTACAGGATGCTTAAAAATCAGTGATTTTGGATTAAGTTTTAGTCCTGCTATTCAAATGCCAAAAGATTTGAGTCATACACATGTGAGAAGTTAATTAATACGCAATTTATAAAATTCAAAATTACAATTTTAGTTTTTTTTTCTTTTTTTTAATGAATTTTTATAATAATCCTTTTAATATTACACTTTTTGAGAGATATAAAAGAATGTTGAAGTAAGAATAGCATGCTTTATTCACTTAAAAATTTTCATAACTTCAGATTATTTCAGATATTTTTGATAATAATTCTCTTTTTTTTTCTTTTTCCTTTTTCCTTTTTTTTTTTTTTTTGAAGGTTCCAATTCGTTGGATGGCTCCAGAAACATTAACTCGTACACCAATTTATTCATCAAAATCAGATATTTGGTCATTTGGTATTGTTATATTTGAAGTAAGCAAAATTTATAATATTAATGCAAAATTTGCAAGTAGTATTGAATGTAAAAACTTAAATATATATATATAAGAGATAAGAATTGAGAAATGCTTATGAGAATTTAAAATAGTGCAATTTTTTTTTGCAACCTGTTATACTACTTTTTTTTGTTGTTGTTATTTAGATATTTAATTGTGGAGGGAAACCATGGCCAGAGAAACCGGTAAAATGGATTGCAACAAAAATTCGAAAAGGTATAACACCTGAAATGCCACGACGAATGCCACGTCTTATTAGAGAAATAGCTAGTGCTTGCTTCCAATTTGAACCAGATAAAAGGCCTACCTTTAGACAGGTTATTATAAAATTAATCACTACCATACTTACTATTAATAATAGTAGTTAATATTCGAGAGATATTCTCGAGAGAAAAATGTAGTATTTTGCTTAGAAAGAAATTTTAAGTATTAAGTATAAGAAAATATTGAAGGTTCTAGAATATTTGTGTAGAAGCAATAACACATAGTAATATTTGAGTTAAAAAACTAAAATTGAAACAACTTTATGAATTTTAAAATTAATTCAAAGAAGAATTAATAAAGTTTTGAAAAATTTTTTAACAATTGTTGATATCCTATCAAAAGGTTTTCTCTTTCATTATAGCAATTAATGATAAGAGAATTACAGGTGAATGGTTGGATTCTTTTGGTACAAGGTATACGTTTCCCACCATTACCTCCTTCTACACTATCAGTGGCACAATTAAAAAATGTTAAAGTAAACATTTCCTCATGTTTTGTTACTAAGTCAACTAATTAATTAATTAATTAATTGCAATAATTTAATTTAGAATTATTTCCTTCCACTCATTATCTATTAATTGGCATAGAATTATGTTTTAAAAATTAAAAAAAAAAAAAAAAAGTGTATGCATTGCTTATGAATCAAAAATTTGGTGGCATAAATTTTTAATAAATTATTGATATTTCAAAATGTAAAAAAAAAAAAAAGAATTCAAAGTATTGATCAACATAATAAGATATTATTATTGAATTACGAAAACAAGTGCTAATTAGATTTTCTTCTTCAGAATTGATTAGATAATCATTGAAATTTAATAGTATCGTATTATTTATTCATTAATTAAGATTGCTGTGACTATTTTTAATATGAATGATGATATTGATTTTAATAATGATCATTAATTATCATTATTTTAATTGTAATTTATTATCATAATTTGCATAATGAATGCTTTTTACTGAATATTTGAAATTGAAATTATAAAATTTTCATTGCAGCCAGTAAAATTTGTGGAAAAAGATCCGGAAGCAATTGCGATAGAATTCGATGATGTGAAAAGCGAGCAGCAACAACCTGATATTGATAACGCAGTAAGCAAAAACTATAAAATTAATTAAATGTATTCTAAGTATACTTCTAGTTAGGCCTTTTTTTTTCACAGTTGAACTTTGAACTTATCATTAATTAATTTAAAAATTATCTATCAATTGAAGGAGCCAAAAATGATACAAAAGCCCGAAATAAAAGAAGCTACTCCTGAAGTGAATAAAAATGCATTTACAGAGGATCAAGAGAAGTATGCCATTTATAATTTTATTGTTACTAATATTTTAAGTTAACAATTACTTTTCAAAACATTTTTTGCAGAAATTTAAATTTTATTGGAAAATGTTTTATGGAAAAGAAAATATAAAAAATGGCAATTTGAAGATTCAATTAGAAATATAAATTTAGAGTTGAAATTTTAAAAAATAACAAAAAGATGCTTAAATGAATAATAAAGTCGAATGTATTGTACCAGAATGTATTTTTGAAAACTAATTTTTAAAAATTACAGCTTGCGAACACAAAAACAAGAAGGTATTCTTCATTTCTTATTTTTTATATCAAATTGTTACAATTTTGTATTAGTTAATTGCGAGCAATTTTATCTGTTATATCATTGATCATATCTGATCGATGGTGATAATAGATAATGATTCTTATCATTCTTTCTAGCATTTTCAACTTAATAAAATTTTCACATAGCACTTTAGCCATTAAATAAAAATAAATTTAATAAAAACTTTATTTCTGGTAGAATCGAAAAAGGTGGCAGTTACGGAATCAGATGATGATGATGACGATGATGAATGTCTCAGAGATGCTAAAAAGAGATTAGAAAAAAAGAATAACAAAGTAAATTTATCCTTACAACTTATGAAAGAGATTTGTTGCAAGAATTGATTAAACAAAATAATTGCACACAATAAATTTTAGGGAAAAAGTTTCAAATATTAAAAAAAGCTTCAAATAGTTCGAAAACAAAAAACAAAAAGAAAACACCTTGAGTTATACTTCAACTCAAAAAAAAAAAGAATAACAGCAAACTTTACAATACAGTAGACGATAGGATTCTCACAGTTGAATTTACTGCCACTTTAAAAAAAAAAAAAATTAAACTGCTTTGAGTGAAATATTTTGTTTCAGGGTCCCGGTCAAAATCAATAATACTATTTTAGATTCATGAGAATTGTTTCTTATTCGGATACATTCTCATTTATTATCATCCTATAAATTTGTTATTGTAAAAGATGCTTTTTGAGTATATTTCTTGCTATTAAACATCCAATATCATCATGGTACAGTAATTCATGGGCTAGAAGGAAATTTTTATTTGCTGAATTCCTCTTTCTTCCGTGTAAAATTCAATCTGATTTTCTCATCATAAAAATTAAGAGTAAATATTATCAATAAAAATGCAATAAATAAACAAAATTCCTAACTTACATTTTTTTCCAAACAAATTGCAAACTTTCATGCAGGAAGCAATTTCTCGAACTATTCAAAGCCTAATGGGCTGAATAGCGACAAGATAGCTAATGAAGAATTTAATGCGATGTTTCTACAATAAATGTATGAAACTTTTTTAGAATGCTTAGTTGAAGAAATCATTATATCTAAGAATCAAGGTGATTATTAGTGAGCAAAACATTGTAAATATCAACTGTTTATGACAATTTTCTCTACAATAGTTTTTTCATTGCTAACAAATATATTTCTGCACTATGATCACGACTAGCTTTAGGTTTCACGGTGTACACGTTTCTAAAATCTTGCTTAAGGCGTTCAATAAATTCTTCTCGCCTTGGTCCATCCCATATTTTGCAAAGAAATGTTCCATTTTTCACTAGAGGAATTACCGACTTTCTCACACTAAGTTCTAGTACTGTTGCACAAAGTGATAAAATCCGTTCATGGTCAATTCCTCCATCACCTAAAACAATTTTAAAATAAACATAATGAAACAATGTGAATTTATGGAAAAAAAAATCTTTTAAATCCCTTATTTCATTGGTACTACAAATATTCAATATTATCGCTCAATCATATCCTTCACCTTCTTCAACTATTCTCAACAATCAAAAAGAAATAGATCAAAGAAATCAAAAGTGAAGTCAACCAGGAAAAAAAATTATTTTAGTAATTGCTCCTGTTTAATACTGAATGTTAAAAGATTCATTACCAGTAGGATTTGGAGCCATATCACTGATTACAACATCAACAGATCTTCCGTTCAGAATTTGCTTTATATTTTCGTGTGTTTTTTGAGCAGTAATATCGGACAAATCCAAAAAATTAACACCCGAAATTGGTAATATCGGCTGAAAAAAAAGTGTGCCTATATCAGTTATCATCGTATGAGTTCAAATCTAAACATTTGCCAACAGTAGAAAAAAAAAAAACTAAATACCTGCAAATCAATGCCCAAAATAAGAGCATTATCATATACGTTTGGTTGTACAATATCAGCAACTACCTGACACCACGATCCAGGAGCTGCTCCAACATCAACAACTACCATACCTAAATAGCGGAATAAATTCAAGAAAAAGAAAAAGGTTAACATTATGACAGAGAAATCTTATGAGAAATCAATGAAAGGAGGAATTATAATTCCTTTTAATTCTTCTATATACTTTAAACAATTAGCTTTCCTTTCCTTCATTCATCTCTTTTCTTTTCATTCAGTTGCTAGATCTATCACTGATCTTAAGTACATCTAGAATTAAACTTACCAGGCTTAATAATTTTATACTTTTCGTTGATTTCTAGTAGCTTATAGGCACTTCGAGCTCGATATGAATGTTCACGAGCCTTCTTGGAGAATTCATCAGACCACTGCTTATGTAAATATTTCAAAGTAGCTGTCGATTTTTTACCCTTGGAGAAACAACGCACCGGAAGCCATAACGTGATTAGTTCTGCCTTCAGTTTGATATTGAAAAACATTATCAACGACACATCATCACCTGAATTACAATGAAATCTGATTAAATTTATACCTGTCCAAAAACACCTTCTATCATTATTGCATTTGATTATTGATAGAGTGCATCTCGCAGTCAGCATATGAGATTTTTGGAACAAGCTAATGATTCGAACCAAAAAATCCCAGAAAACATAACTCTACGCAACATTCACTCACCATCCTATAGGGCTTAGCAGAGCACAATTTTAGATATCAATGTGCTATCAGTTTTTATTATGACCACAGAATAATAAATATTAACAGTAGATAATATTACCTTCTAAATGAAAGCTGATAAAATATTGGCTGTTTCAAAGAATACTTCCTTCAGTGGGATGGAAAGGATAGGATTTAATATCATTATTAAAGAAAGAAAACTATGTCTCGTCCTTTTGACTACCTTTGTGTAACAGATTGGTATCGACCTCCAAAATACTTAAGTGATAATGTGCAGATGAGTCATCACATATGAAATATCACAAAAACCCCAGGTTAATTTTATAAATGCAGATTTTGGATTTTATCTTCACCTTAATCACAAGTGTAAAATTGTTAGCGCATTAAGTTTTTATAAAAATTTGTTTTTAAAGTACAAATAAATGTCATCAATACCAAATACTTTCAATTTCTTGAAAAAACAAATTTGTAAAAAATATTAGATTCAAGCAAATTTGAAGATTATACAACTCGCCTACATTTTCTGAGGTTCACAACAATGTAAAAAAGAAATATGTACATAAACAAATAGTTGCAGCATAATAAGACATTTCTAGAAATCCTTCGGTGTCAAGCACTGATTAACAGCATGCAGCAAATCAGGATTTTCAAGTGCAGCCGCCACTCTTTCCTTGTCTGCTAACTGCTTATTTATTGCATCTGCGGACATATGAGTACCAGCCATTATTCTCACTATTAACTGCAATAGTCAAAAAGTTAATCACACACATTGTCAGGTGATATGTTTGATTTGCACGGATCTATTTAAGAAACATTTTTGCAGTATTTTTAAACTCAAATGATTAGTTTTAGATAATTTTTCTTTAAAAAGTGCATAAATTAGAGCTGATGACGACATACAAAAATTAAACATTCGGAAATTATTTTACCTTCACACTAGGATGCACAGACCGTTGCAATTTTGTTCTTATTGTTAGGCCAATCAATGTTGCCATTGAACAGTGTGGTATTGTAGGAACGTATTCAACCTGCCAAAAAGACCATCAGTTGACAAAGTTTAAAAAGAAGGATAGAAAAGCTAACACTTAAAAAAAAAAAAAAAAAAAAAAAAAACCGAGCAAAAACCTCATTATTACATTAACAATCATCTCGTCATTATCTTTGTCAACCACAATGAGTTCTTCTTGAACGACATTCAGTTGTTCAAGCGTAAGAGGATGTTCCGGATCATTGATATCTCTGGAACAACACGACCTGTTACAACAAGAAGAAGAATATGGTAACAAATAACTCTACTAACTAGAATGCAATTTTTACAAATTTACAAACACCAACTGATGAATTTACAAACAATCCAATACTATTAAGTCAGTGCTGAATGGTTCCAGTTCACAAGCTGAAAATGTCAGGTGTCAGTTTGTCTGAAATTTCTCGAGAAAAAAATTCAAAACATCGCAATGTAAAGCCACAACTATAGCAAATTTCGTAAATTATATAATTTCGCAAAAAAAAAAAAAAAAAATGTAACCTTATATAGTCAAAGATTTCCTGAGCATCGATTGGATCAATAATGTTTGGATTCAACTCTGAATCAGATAATTTCTTAACACGAGACTTCGTGCTATACACTGTCGGTGTTGCATTTTCTAACTTACTGGGTACCATTAAAATTTCGTTTTATCCGTCGATTAGCTTGTTTGGATAATCATAAGTTTTCTGAAACACTCATCTTACATTGAAAATAATTGCGCGTTCAAAATAGACGTATCAGTTTAATGTTGAGTAATTAAGCAAACACTAACATTACAATTAGTCCTCGAAGGTCAACAAATCCCACCATCTATTTCTGATATTCTTAACATAATAAATGAAATGAGAGACTGGAAGAACTAAAAATATTAAGCTGAGAATAATCGGTCATTGAGAAGTGTAAATAAATTATGGAGAGGATGCAATTAGTTATTTTGCTTAAAATTTAATTATTTTATTTATTACCTATTTAATTTGAACTACTTAGAATTCTAAAAAGCTAAAAAATATGTTGAAATTCAAAGAATTAAAATGCAAACTATTATATTAATGAGGATAGAAAACAGATTAAAACAAGTTGAAAAAGATGCTAAGACAATAATACCCCACGGGAAACACTTTGGGCAAATTTCGTCATGAAAAAACCATACCCGAAAAATACCAATAGAATGTAGCTAATGAACTGCACCAATGTGAAAACTGAAATCTCATTTGCTAATTTCTTTCTTTTTTCCTTATTTCAGGAATTACTTCAGGAATCATTTTCAGGAGCTGAAACCGTATGCTGAAAATAGACTTAACTAATTTATGATTGGTATTCAAATTTTGAATTATGAGATTATATAATAGAGAAGAAAATAAAAAAAAAAATTATGATAATATTTAGCTATAGAAAAATGAATTTATGTTAAAATTAAAATGAAAATTTAAAATTATTACAGTTTCATTAAATATTAAATAAAATGATATCAAAATTAATCATAATTAGAAATAAAAATATATGATAGTTAGTGTTATTTTCTATTTCCTAAATTAACATTAAATTATCAATTTTGATTAGCAATGATACTTTCTTCTATTTGTTTTAAATGAAATAAATTAGCATTACACATCAATTTCACATTAATCATATCATCTCTTAATGAATTAAATTAATTAACACTAAAATTTCTTAATGAAGTGAATTAAATTAATTAGAATTTAAAGTTTACTTCTCATTAACACACACACACACACATCGTTATTTAATGATAAAAGAATTAACTAATAGTTGTTTATTTTTTTTTATTTCATTTTTAATTTTTTTTTTTTTTAAATATAAATTTACTTTAGATAAATTTTTTTTTTCCTGCTTTCTTAGCTTTATCATCAAGTATAGCTATGCAATATTATTAATTCTTTTTTTTTTTTTTTATTCTCATAACTATTTTAATATAATGCTTCTTGAGAAATGATTGAAATGGCAATGGCAAAAAATTACAATTTAAAAAAAGTAATACATACATATATATCAAACTTTCAATTCTTTCATTTCAATATTTCACAAAAAAAAAATTCCCTTTTAGTATTTCAAATTTTTTTCCTACTTATATTACAAATTCATTTTTCATTTCGTTTTTCTTTCTTATATGCATATTGTAAATGATAAAATAATCTTTTCTTTTAACATTTTCACATCTTCTAAAAATGTGCTAAGAAATGATTTAAATCAAATAAATTGTTCAAAAATTCTCTTTCATTTTAGTTTTTAATTGCATATATTTTAATTTCTTTTTTCATACTTACAGGTATATTGTAAATATCAGCCAAGAGTTTACTTAATTTCACTCAATTATTTGTAATTTAACACTTTTGAAAAGAAATAATAATTATATCATATATGGATGTTTATTATGTTTCATGGAAATCTATGAAAAAAATAGTTTTATAAAAAAAAAAAAATTAATATTTTGAAAATTTAATAAATATATTTTTTTCCTCTCTCTTCCTCTACCTCTCATTTTTATTGCATTATTTTTATTAAATTCATGCTTACACTTTTTTAAATATTAAATTTTTATGTGCTTTAAATAACAGCGAAATTTCAAATGATAAATTTGACATTTCAGCTAATATTGCTTATCATTCATTATCACTGCTTCTTTTTCACTCAATCATACGACATTCACTGAGCATAAAGACAGTATTATATCGTGAAATAAATTCAACTGATAAAAATTCAGAAATATGTACAAAACTGTAACAGAGATTCAAATTGAAAGACTATTTCAACAACAAAATATGAAAATATTGGCGAGTAGGGTGGAAAAAAAAAGTGCTTAATTATGCAAATTATTGGATAGTTAAAAGAGAGGCAGTGAATTTGATTTATGAGATATGATATGAAAAGAGCAATAATAGAAATGAAATATCAGGATAATTAACAAACAAAAAGAAAATCAGTGTTTGAGGAAAGAAATTGAAGAGACCATTCAGAAATAATAATTCCCGAGAATATCTACTTCTAGTAGAAGCAACACTTCTAAACTTTTTTATCTGATAAAAAAAAAAAAAAAAAAAAAGCAGATAATAGCAATAATAAGTTAAAATTTAAAGAGCACTTTTTTTTTTTTCTTTTTGCTGATATGTTTACAGTTGCCATTGTTAATTCAGTTACATCCAATTTTTTTGTTTGAAAGTTTTTCAAAAATTCCGTCCTAACTTCACTATGTAATTCTAAATTTAACTTCAACTATTCTCTCTAACACATTTTTTTTAATGTTAAAATGCCTTTCTTTTTTTTAAAAAAATATAACATTAGATAATTGCAAAAAAAAAAAAAAAAAAACTTCATTCAAGGATAAGTATTTGGAAAAACTACTATTGAACTTGATGACAGTGCAGTAGAAAGTATCATTTTAATTACAACTAATAAAAAGTGTACCTCATATCAAAGAGATTGAAATCATGAAAGAGGTAGAAAATACGAGACACATATATATAAGTACAAAAAATTGTGCTAAAATACATTCAATTAACAAATTTTTGAGATAAACAAAAAACAAACTTTGTAGAAGACAGAGATCAATCATACCTCACCGTTCTAAACTACCTAAAAAGCAGTATTTCAACAATTCAACAATTCTCAATTTATGTATAATTTTTAATCAGGAATTCACAAAAGGAATGATCTGAATCTATTGAAATACTGCCAAAATCATCAATACAGAACAAAATTCAATAAAGGTCATACTTCCAATCTGAATGAATCATTAAACAATGAATGTTGACTTTGACCGTGAGGATTTACATGTCTAGCGCTTCTTTCGCTCATTTCCATTTCAGTAATTGATTGACATTCCTGAAACAATGTACTATGTCCATTCAACATTGCTTCATTTGAGAAGCAAGCTGAACCACTACTACCATTGCGAGCACTATCCAATCTTTCATCACCTCCTGTATTTCGTTCTTTAGTATGAAGTGACCTTGTAAAACTCGGCTCTAAACCGTTCGGTAACGATATGCTGTAATTATATTTTATAATTTTATAGTTTCATAGTTAATTTAAAATGTTCAATAGGTTAATTTTAGACGAGTACAGATAGTTTTTCATTCTACATTTTCTTTTTTTAATATTGCAATTAAAAAAAAAAAACTATTAATACTTTGTTTCCTGAGGTTCATAGCCTCTGCTTGATTCTGTATTAGAACCTAAATCTCCATGTTCCACATGATCTGCTTCTACTGCACTCAGTTCTGCATCACTGAAAAATAAATAAATAAAATAAAACAGTACTGCACGTTCAATTAAATAATGAAAAAGATAGTATAAACCATTTGAATAATATAAACCTAGAAATTTCGTCATTATGTTGCAATTGTCTCAACAACATTCCAATATTGTTAAGCTTTAGTGGAGCTGGAGTCATTCTATTGTTGACTGAAGTCTGTGATGAGGTTGGACTTAATTCAACACTTGCACCTGATACACCTTCAACGTAACGTGCGCCATAGCGTCCTATTGCTACAAAAAAAAAAAAATATTTTTCTGAAAAATTTATTTTTTATTTTTTAAAATAGCCCATTAGAGGAATTTTAAACTTTTCCACTAAAAACAATCAACAATATCAATAGACATCTATGACTTTTTAATGTGTTTATAAGTTCATTTTAACAGATAATGTTGATACAGTATGCATTATTTAATCACTAATTTTCATATTTATATAATATCAATAAAAACTAACCAATTTCCGAATCTGTCGCATAACCGCTTCGATTTCGTTCACAACGTGATGGAAGCGCTACAGATGAACAACGTATTGTTGGTGAGGAACTTATCATTTCTGGACATGTCTCATGATATAATACACCATCACAATAATAACTATTATTACCAGGTATATCTCTTTTTAATAAAGTTGTTGTTGTACCTAAAAAAATGAACTATAATTCATTATCATTCACATATGCATATATATATATATATATATATATATATATATATGAACTATTATTCAATATTAACTTCTTGAAAAATTGTACCATTTAGCATTGTTGTAACAATATCCTCTCTTTGATCATATTCCATACAATTTCTACTCATTATTAATGCACCGTTATTTTCATGACCTACACTTGCAGATTCATGTGATTTCACAGATACTGAACTATCTCGTTCATCATTTGCCTCATTGATTCGTTGTAATGCATCATAAACATGCTTGTCTTTTTTTCGTTTTCTTTTTTCCTCACTAAAAATCATATACTATTATCAAAAGAAAAAGAAAAAGAAAGCTTAAAACGCTATCTTCAATAAGTTCAAATAAAATCTTTTCAAATCGATGAAATGCAAAAGAAGAAAGCTAACCGATAGCTTGGCATACTACCAAATTTTATCGCTCGCTGTGTATTTTCTGGAAGACTTTCGTTTAACTTTTCATCTGCTGGTGACGAAAATTCAATTTCACTTTGTCGTCTAAAAACAAAACAAAAAAAAATATATTATATATTTTATTTCTTGATTACTGAATAGTAATCTTTTGGAAGAACAAAAAAAAAAAAAAAGAGAAAAACTTACCGGTAGCAAAATAAGAGACAAATTAAAAGTAGCAGAAGTAATATGCCAACAACAAGAAGAATAATAAGTAGAGATGTAGTATTCAACGTATGGCCACCTAAAATCAAAAAATGAATTAAGTAATATAAATTGAAATAAAATTTACCATTGATCGGAAAAATTTACTTGAATTTAGACTAGAATCCTAACTACTCAATAGAGCAAAAAAATTTCAGGTATGCAATAAATATACAAAAATACACAGAGATTGCACTACCTGATGTACTGATTCAAATTTGATAAATTTACAGAAGAAATTCCCTTCTTGTGGCATTAATAATTGTCACATTTATTAGTTAGAATAAAATAGTCTTAATGAAAATGAATTGGAAAATTTATTACAGTATGTGATAAGAGAAAGGATTAAAATTAATTCTCGATCGAACTAATCGCATTAGCAAACTCATAAGGATCGTTAAAGTCACAAAAGAATAAATGAAATAATTTACCTGCAAATGATGGAATGAAAATGTCACTGAAATGCGAAACATCTGATGGTGCAATAGTTGTAGAATGTGTAATATTTGTTTTGGTATCACATGCTGTACCCATCCAACCATTATAACATAAACATCGTCTTGTAGTTGTACAATCCTAACATTGTTAAAATCAATTTTTCTACCAAAATTTAAATTAAGAAATTTGAATCACCATTTTGATAAATAATAATAATAATAATTTAAATAGAGAAAGTCTAAAAAATTTACCCCATGTCCCGAACATTGATAAGCAAGATTATTGCTTGGACAGTGCACAGGTGGTGAAACTTGAACAAGTGGTGAACAAATTCCTTGAACACAAACTTTTCCGGAACCACAACTGCTTCCGTCCATAACCATACCAATATCAAGATTTGTAACCATTCTAAACAAATATCTACTAAATATTAAAAATGAATATTTTTGGTGCATTTGCTTTATTTATTACAAATAAATTTTTTTTTTAGAAAAAAACTCTTTTGCCTTTCGTATTTTTTTAAATGCGGAATATTAACAAAAGATTGAAAGTAGTAATATTACTTCTTTTATTTATATATCCGAAAATGAGATCTTTTAAAAAAAAATATCATTGAGATAATTAACCTATTTTTTGAGTAATTGATTCAATTTTAATGAATTTTAAAAATTTTTAAAAGATTGAAAATGTTTTTGAAATTGCATGCAATCACATACTTGCATTGTATTTGTTTGGTTTCATGTAGGAATTGAAGATTAAATGAATTAAACTTCAAATCCAATGGAGTTTGAGAACCTCCACGACAGTGTAACGTTCCACAATGTACATTTTCCACTGCACATTTCCTAAATATCCCATCACGATCTGTGCCACAATTTCCATACTCAAGACCAAGTCCATTACGTTCATAACAATGTTCATCTGCTGTTGCTGCATCTAAAAATACTCAATTTCACTCTTTAGCTTTTTTTCTTTTTTTTAAATAAAGAATGTTTATTAATTTTTCAATTATAAACAATGTTTAATTAAATGAAGCAATCTCGCACTTTCATACTAACAATTTCGTTTTTAAGCAAATAAACACAAAGATATCATCTAATAAAACAGTAACACTAGTAATTTAATTTCTTTAAATTCATAATTTTTATTCCCATCTTTTCTTTCAAGAACAAAAAAAAAAAGGAAGAAATTTACCTGAACCCCAAAGATCACGACATTGCTGTTCAACATCTGAACAGTTACCTTTCCAGCACTGTCCACTAATACCACATACAGTACCATCAATTAGATATCCATCTTCTGGACAATCACCATCATCACCGGTGCATACCTCAGCAACATCACATACAGATCTTGCTGGTCTACATACATGTCCTATTGGCCGTAACTATAATATATTTAACAAATTTCTTTCTAAAAAAAAAAAAAAAATCTTCAGTAAATATAGCAATATATGAAAGCAAATCTACCATAATAAATCGGTCATTCAAAGCAGATGGTTTTATGCATAATTTGCATAATTTCATATTGAAAATATTTCCATATTAATATCTGTTTGAAGAAGATTATAATGTCAGCTATTGAATCAACTACTTAATAAATGTATTTATTAGATTACTAATTGTTTAAACAAACATTTTGAAAAATCATTAAATGAAAAGCTTACTTGACAACGATGACAACATGCCTGATGTGATGCGCAATGAGCATGAGCTCGAAGTGTACATGTCAATGGATCACAGCATGGATCAAAGCACTGATCTCGCATTCCACAATCACATTCCTCCTCACCATCAATAATACCATTACCACACTGTTGTAATGTTGATGCCTATTAAAATGATCACAAATTAAAAAAAAAAATAAACAATCATGTAAAAAAGAGTAGCAAAATTTCATAATAAAATAATAAACAAGTAATACAAATCGTTCATGATTTTATCCTTTAACTCTTTTCTTTTTCCTTAACTCTATATCTTTATGCTATTCGAAATTTTTTGATTATCTGTTTAAAATAATCAATAAAATTATCTAATGATAAAGTTGAAAAAGGCTAAACAACCTTCTCATAGTTAGTATATTCAGCAGAAGAGTAAACTATTATAACAAGGAGCGAAATGAATTAAATTAATTACAGTTTTAAAAATTATATCAAAGATATGTTTGCAATTATAGCTGATGATGTAAATATCTAAATAAAACAATAAATATTTACTTGCAATGGTTTATTCAACAAACATTGCAAATGACCAGATTGTAATACGCTATGCATTCTTGCAATACTGCATTTCGAAAATTGCCACAAAAATGGTGATCCAATATTCCTGAAAATAACTTCCCAAAATTAATAATGATTACAACAAATTTTTCATTTTATCTTTAAATCTTTTATTTTATTTTATCTTTCAGCATATTTATTATAATCATTTATTGCTTTCAAAAAAAATTTTTTCCATTTCATTTATCATTACCTATCGTATTTCGAGTATCACACAAATTTTGCTTCATTATGCTGCTCTCTTCTCAATAAGCAATTCAAAACTAATGTTCATTCATTCATTCATTCATTTTCTCACAGCATTAATTTAGTATTACTACTTTTATCACCTTCATTTAGCTACCTTCTCAGTTTATAACCAATGAGAGTATATTTGTGCTATCTTTATAACATATCATCAATGTTTGATGATTCTTCATTTTCAACTTAATTTTATCTCATTCATTTCAAATCTTTTCCTTCATTGGAAAAATCTGTCATCTCACAATTTAAATGAAAATTTTTACAACAGCTTCATTTCATGATAATTCAACCACCAGTCAACAAACAATCTTTGAGAGTTGTCAGATAGCAGCAATGAGCTGTCGTAATCTGATGAATCGTCCTTTATGATACATAAGACAGCATTGAAGATTTTGTTATCTGATTGAAGCATTCTCTAGGGATGTTAGTAGGATATATCCCATATTACTCAATTCGTAATGGTCACTAAAACGGATGGGCACACATTTATACACCCATCATAAATTATTCATATAAAGATTTATCACCATTTTCCAATTCTAATTTTTACTCATCCAATAGGATGCATATTGACTCATCAAATGAAAGATTTTTATCAAACTAGAGAAGAATTTTCTTTTCTTTTTCTTTCTTTTTTTTTTTCCATATCTCTTTTCATTATTTAAAGTTTTGGATTACTGTAGAGTGAGAAAGCATAAGGAATATTTGAAGAGTTTTATGTGGAAAATAAACAAAAGATTTAATCATTATCTGAATAAATTTCAGGTGTAATTTTTTGCTCCTAATCAATGAGATATTAGTTAATTAGTTACTTAAGTCAGACTTACTTACCCTGCTTGTTTATGCATAATGCATTTATTCATGAAATCGCATGAGCAATCTGGAGAATCATGATCCATTCCCATAATGTGAGCCAGATTATGAGCAATTAACTGACCGGTATCATGTGCTGTATATGTATCCACAGCCTTAAGTTAATTTCAATAATATTATTTCTTAAGAGCAGTTAAACTTAATTAACAAAAAAAAAAAAAAAATTACGAAAAATATAGCTTCAATTCAAAATTCAGTTTTAAAAATTTTACCATAACTAAACCAGTTGCACGCGGTGAACAAATACTTCCAGAAGTGCTCGTCATTACTTCATCTTTGACAAATTTTGTTGATGTAAACATCAGACAAGAATCTTTGACTAAAGATAATAAATACTGATATTCACATTCATATATAACAAATGCAATATTTAAATTAAAAAAAAAAAATCATTCATAAAAGAAATAAATTAAATTACATCTTATTTAGATTTAAGTTTGAATGAATGTTTAATTCTAAGATATTTACGTATTGTTTAGATTGAGGTTCGAGAGATATTCTATATTAAAATTGAAAAAACTAACCAATATGATAAACATGATCAGTGACATACTCCACAACATTGCTTAATGTCCTCTCAATATCTTCATGATAATTAATTCGTGATTTATCCATCCATTCTTCCAAATAAACAACACTCAATCGAATATTTAAATCACGTGAAAACATCTGTAGCAAATATAAATATGAATAAAAACTAGAATATCTCTAATTAACATATTTTTAGAATCAGGTAAATAATATCCAAGATTGAATATTGATAAAAAGCATATTCATTGATTAAAACAAGAAAAGAAACTTTCATGCTGCTCTATAGAAGCAATTACAATAGTATAAAAGTTGAAAAGATTAGTGGTGTCTCTTCTTCTTTCTCTTAGCCCCCTAATAAATTGATAATGGTAAATGAAAAAAGTGAAAATTTGATAATTTCAAAATCAGTCGGTGCCCTTCAAAGACTGATTCTAACTGCTTTACAATAATTGAGAAAATGCATAAATTAGCAATGCGGCAAAAAAAAAAGAGCAAAAAAAAACGGAAAAGGACAATTAACCCTATAGAATGAAATGGAATATAGCCGTAAGTCCCTCTTAAAAAAAAAAAAAAAAAAAAAACACATGAAAAAAAAAAAAGAAAAGAATCAAAGAATGGATGAGAAAGAGAAGAGCAAAAAGGAAGGAAAAGAGTCCTTTCAAGATACCGCTTTAAATTAGTGAGAAATTGTCTGATAGATGATTGAACAGATGGTCATTTCCTCTCAAATATACACCAAAGTTGGAAAATTTGTCTTACAAATTGATATTTTTGATATATATATATATCATATAATAATCATAATAATAGTAATAACAATATAAAAGTAATAAAAATGATGATAATAGTAGTAGTAAAAGAGATTACTCTTTTTTTTTTTTTTGTTGTTGTAATTATTAAATCAAAGCAATGGTAATATACAACAAGTGGTTTTAACTAGTGATGAATTCATTAACTAATGAGAGATGTATAATTTGCTCATTTTAGAGTATTAATTTAATCCACATTAATAGGAAAAATTTTGCTAGTATTACGATAATTGAATGACACTGATAATTAGCATCGAACAGAGTGTGCGGAAACTAATTTCGAATTTTATTATCAACACCACATGTGCAAATTCATTTGTTCTTCACTTGTTATGACAATCATTAAATGATAATTAAACTGAGACATAAACTTAAATTTATTTAATGATTATCAATGATTATTTAAAAAGTATCATGAGAGATATGCTTCAACCCAATTAGTTTTCTCACTGATGTCCAATTTGGATAAAAACAAAAAGAGAAAAACGCATGTTTTTAAAATGTATATTTGCAGAAAATTTCTGAGACAAAAAATTTTCCAATCAGTGGCAAATTTCATTTGTCAATCACTTCCTGTCAATCTAACAAATAAAAGGTGGCACTTAAATTTTATCGATACATAGATCATTTTGGGTCACTGGCAACATAATAAATCTGCAATTGTTAAAAACTTACATAGTCGGCTATATTGATAGCTTCCAACATAAAAGCAGTTCCTTCTTCTTCATTTAAATCGTGTTTTTTCATCTGCAACATATTTGTAGAAAGAAACCTTATTTAAGTTTTTTGATAAAACTTTCTACTTAAAAACAACACACTTAATAGAGAAAAACTTACAAAAGAGTAATCACCAATTACAGCTAATTCGACGAATTTTGTTTGTTTCGTAACGTCACGCTTCGAAAACTAAAACATTATTGAAATTAAAATAAATTTAAGTAATAATAATCTAATCTAAAAAAAAAAAAACAAAAAAACAAAATTTAAAGTCAATTTTATCCTAAAATTTCAAGGACATAAAAAATTCAAAAAAAAAACTTTAAAAGAAAAAAAACCTTTTGAAATTGCTTTGAACCTTCTCCAACTTGACTACCACATGAAGCAGATTGGGACCATTTTGTTCGATATAACACATGCGGATGACGACGACCTCGATCACCACCATCTAAAGGCCATATGCCATAAGCTGAACCATTATCGAAAGCAATTACACCACTGAAATCAAAAAAAAAAACTGTTGTTGAAAATTTTGCAACAATGATATTAAAATTTTCCCTCCTTTTTCTCTTCACTACTTCTCTTTCACTAATCCTTCTTCCCTCTATATAGCAAAAATTTCACTCCAAAATTGGAAATAATTCATAAAACATTAAACTTGTAAGAAGTATACAATGCAATAATAGAAATTTTACCGCAAGCCATTACATGTTGATAATGCCACAAATGATGTCTCTTCACCATTTACAGTGCCCTGATAGTAGCAATTTTCAATTCGTCTATGAATCGGAATCTTTTCACTATTATCAAGCTGAAAGAACAACAATTTTACAATTCTGTCACATATTAATTAGAAAATAATTCTCTTTCAGTGTTTTTTTTTTTCTTTTTTTTTAAATTTAATTTTAATTTTACATTCTGAATAATAAGAATTTAAAATAGAGAATAAAAATATTCGCTGAATCTCAGCAAGCAATATTGTTTTCTTTTTTTTTTTTTTTTTAGTAAAACCACCTGTTTTGTTGTTTTTGCACTTTCTCTCTATCACCTTTATAGTCTATAATTTATTAAACTTAACAATTTTATTTCAATTAAAACATATCTTTGCTAGAAATGTTTACATAGTAAATGATTAGTGCATAAAGAAAAAAACAAAAACAAACGAACAAACAATTATTAGTGTTTAGCAATTAATATTAAAAAAAAAAGAAAAAAAAAAACAAATATTAATTAAAAGAATTTAAAAAAGTGTAATTATGCATTTCAATTGACTGTAATGTATTACACATTTTACATTTTAATGAAAAAATTAGAGCAAATAGAAAAACATTCAACAAGTCATCTATCATTGAAGAAGATGAACATATCGCTTTACAATTACTTTTTTTTAAAAAAAAAAAGTGATAATAGGATTTGCTTTGAACTTACTTTCCGAAAATCAGTTCCATTGATGAATAATAATTCATTAAGACCCAGTAGCAATTTTAAACGATTCACAGCAGTACTACGAATAACAATGGTAACTTGCTTATAATGAACACTTCCATTTAAATAATGATTCCTGAAATAGCATTTTGCATTCATTTCATATGAGAAATTCAAAAAGCAAAATGTAAAATTGAAAAATAAACTATTCAACAGAGAAAAGATAAAAACACTGACCTCGTATCAATACCGATACGATCATTCTTATCTCGAATTTGAAATGGATGAACTACCTCAAATTCACCTTCTGCAAGTCTATTAATAAAATCCTTATTGGTAGCAAGATGTCGAAGTTGATCTGCAAAAATATAAATTTATTATACAAAAAAAAAGAAAAGAAAAAAAAAATTAGAACAAAGATATTCGACAGATTAATTTTTAAAAACGGAGAAACTGCTATGAATTATTGATAATTTAAATTAAAGTAATAAAAAAACATAGTATTTCAATGCAATCACAATCAAATTTAATATTTCTACTTTAGTTAACTTATACGCTAATCATTAATAGAAGAAATTAGCTAAATACCTATGGAAAATTTAACAAAATTCTAGCAAAAAAAAAAAAAAAAATATGAACATACTTCAAAAATTATGATCCTATTAATTGAGTACTTTTATTAAATGCTTCTAATATTGACAGAAAAACAAGAACAAAAAGAAAAATAAAAAAAAAAAAAAAAACAAACCTTTCGAACCAGCAACTATGAAATTAATATGAAATATTATTATTAAAAAAAAGCAATAGCATATCTTCAGAAACATCATAATATAATTCAGTAGAGATAATTAACTTCATAAACGATCGCCAAATTTGATAGCTTTTATGGATATACTGATCCAGCATTGCTTTTCATAAAACATAAAAGATCATTCGTTTTCTCTCATCTTTTCACTCATATTCCACAACAACTGAAACATTTGATATTTTAGAAAAGATAATTGTTAAAAAAATAACAGATCTGCAATATCTCTAAACAATAATAATAATAATAACAATAAAACTTATTTAATTACTAATTAAGAGTTTAAAAGCAAATTAATTTTTAAAATTCAAAATAGCTAAATCAAATTCTATAATATTAAAAAAGTTTTGATCAGAGATCCAGAAATCATATATGATTTATAATCAATGATTGAATAATACAAGTATAGTATCAGTGAAAAAAAAAAAAAAAAAAAGTAAATAAATTTGAAGGAATGATATTATAAACATTAAAATATAACTTCTCCTTAGAATTTAACTTTTATGAAGTAGAAAAAAAAAACTTAAATATATTATATTTCAAATATTTTAGTAAATAAAATCAGTATTAAACCTAAAAAGATGTTTTTTCTTTTTTTTTTTTGGTAAGCACAGGTAAAATTACACTATTTTAATAATAATGATGAAATGAAACTTGAATCTAATTACTATTTAAGATTAAAAATAAATTAATTTTTAAATACTTTCTTTAAAAAATAATATGATTTCACTTTTTTTTTTTTTTTTTTAAAAAAAATTCTTAACTAATGTTTATGCAGTTAAGTAAAACGGAAAAGAATGTAGGAATGCAAGTACTTAAGAAGTTTTCCTTTTTTAAAGTTTTTTTTTTTTTTTTATTTAAAAGCACTTTTAAAAGTTTTTGTCTTAAGAAGTTTTATAAATGATTAAGTGAAGGAATTTTTTTCACATAAAAAGATGCAAAATGAAATGAAAGTTCAAAAAATTATAATAGACATAGAAGGAGGAAAAAAAAAAGAGAAAACAAACGTTTAAATTTAAATTCACTAATCCAAAAAAAAAAAAAAAAAACATTGCTAAACTTTTAAATTCACTAATTTAATATTTGAATTCAAATAAATTGCAGCCAGAAAAATATTATTGCAAGTGTTAGCAGTGAAATTTATAAATTCAGTTTAATTTATAATTTTAACTGCTAAATTATTCCAAAAATTATAATTCGAATAGCTTTTAAAAAAAAACAAAAAAAAAAAACAAAAAGAGTGAATCACCTAGCAGACAGATACATTATTAGTTTTATTGAAGTTGAAATTGAATTTGAATAGAATACAATAAAGAGATGAAAAGTAAAAAGCGTTCATTATGACTCATCGTTTCATAATTCCAATAAGCTTTCCAAAGATTAAATAAAATGAAAATTTAGCTATTAAACCTATCAGATGCAATAAATGCGAGAATGAATATTGCATGTCTTACAATCATTAATGAATCATTAAAAATTCACATAGAAATTATACATTAATTACTATTGTTTGTATAATATATATATATACTTTAGAAAGTGATGACTAATTGCAATTTATAATAATAATAATAACTTTTAATAATAAACTTAGTACAGAATTTTTCATTACCATACAAATATATCATATCATATCACATTCTAATGATTATTACAATAATTTAAGTCAAGTTAGCAAGTTAGCTAGCTATTGATAAAAGTATTAAAGAGAAAATGCAAAACATTGAGTGAAAAGATAACATTTGGAAAGGAGAAATTATTTGATTGATTCATTGATGAATTAAGCTAATATAAGTCATATTCAATAGCATCAATAGTGAGAAAAATCATCGAGACTAATTCGAGAGCTAATACTTGAGAGCTAATTCGAGCTATCATTTATTTTAAAATTAAAAAGAAAAAGTAAATAAATATAACTGTAAACAAATGCAGGAAATTTGAGAATGTAATCTTTCCATTCTTCAAGTTTAATTCATCTTTAACATATCATTTAGCTGTCTTCCTAATATTAATAAATTTTCTTACTAAAATAATTAATATGAAAGAATTATATGAAAAAATTTCACTTTAGAAAATGACTTTTTAGATAGAAATAAATTAATATGATTTTTCTTTCTTTTCTTTTCTTTTTTTTTTTTTTAAGATAACTAATAAAGTTATGATAAAATGAATAAAATGTAATAAATTATAGTTGAATGTAAAGAAATGTAATAATATTGAATTATATAGCAACTAACTAACTTATTTATTTCACTGAAAATTAATTAAAAAATGACAAAAAAAAAAAAAAAAAAGGAAAAAGGAAAAAGAAGAAATCAATCATTACCTTGAACAAATTAATGAGAATAATAGTGTAAGAAGAAAGAGAAGAAAAAGTTTGAAAGAGAGTAAAACTTATCAGTGCTAATTTTAGAGTAAAGGTCAATCAGAGTTGACCAGTTGGAGGAGTAAGGTCATCTGGCAAGCATAATAGACTACGAGGTGACACACACATCTCTAGCATCGTTGTCCTCCTACCTTGTCCAATAATATCACACAACCCTTCTCAACTACCATCATGTGTGAACAGATGGGATAACTGTGTATAAGTGAAGAAAGGGAGAGGGAGAGGGAGGGACAGAGAGAGGGAGAGGGAGGGAAAGAGGGTATATAGATAGATAGGTAGGTAGGTACGTATTACTTTATAAATACTCTCTCTCTATGAACAGAGAATATATATATGATTGACCACAGTGTGACATCAATGGGACACTACTCTTCACGTTGACATACTTCATTTGACATCTTCCAAAATTTAAATTCATCAATTATGCATAAAATAAAATGAAACTGTATTACTTATGCTTTTGTCACATCACAAACATTACTCTCATTCATCCTTCAATCAAAATTAGTCATTATTGACCAGTGACCATCTCAAATAAATACTTGATGCATACAAAATTAATTCATTATTTTTCCAAAACTCTATATCATATTAAATTTATAGTTTTAAAAAATAAAAAAGAAAGAAAGAAAAAAAAAAAAAAAAACGCACAATTTATCTTATTAATTAACAGATAACTTCAGAAATGAATTTAAAAAAATAAACAATATCATACTAGAATTAATCGTAGATCAATACATATAACATAGTTACTATTCTCTCTTTTGATATCATTATTATTAAAAAAAAATAATAAAAATATTCTATCCTATATAGATTTGATATTTTTACTCTATAAAATAAATTATTCGTTTCTTTCGTAAATTTCAAAAAAAAAAGTCCATTTCATGTTTTATGTATTATCAATTATCTTTTTTCTACCTACTTTCTGGATAACAAAGAATGAAGTGACAAAATAATAAATGATTCGTTTTATCTCCATGAACATACAATAATTTCTTAATTTTTTTATAACATATTAATTTTATAACAAAAGAAGAGAGACAAATAATTTTTAAATTTTACAATATTATCAGTAGAATCAATTAATTAAGATTAGATTTCATTAATTAAATCATATTAACTATTTATGTGAGATAAATTAGGAAATAAATCAAAAGAAACTAATTAGATGTAGAGCAGAATTGCATTTCGAGACCATTTGAAATGATGCATTGGCTGCAGTTAATAAGTGTTGCTTCTGAGAAGTGGCGGGGGAGTATTTTTTTATTATTACGGTTATATCATTTGAGATTGATTTCTTTTCCTGTTACCTTCCATCTCGGAAGTGTCTTTTTGATTTTTTAAAAACAAAAATGATAATAGATTTTAAGATTACCAATGATAATCAAAGTGTTATCGATTGTTCTTCTATCTGTTAATAAGAGAAATATGTTTTTAATTTTATGTGATGATTTGAAATTTGATTGCTATAATTTTATTGTATACGTTATTTTTTAATAGTTTGATAGTTTTCATTTAATTTATGTGCTATTGGAAATATTTTTAGATTGGAAAGGAATGCTAGCTTTTGCTCATCTTATAAGTAAGGCTATTATAACAAAACCATGTTTGATGCGTCAAATTACCACTACATCTATTCGAAATGGCAAATTTTTCGCTGATGCTGAAGACAAACGTAAAGTTTATCCATTGCAAAAGTATATACAAACCATAAGTGTTATGTAAAATTTCACTTTTTCTTAAAAAATAGTTCATCGATTTATCGAAATTTGCATCCTTACGGTAATTAACATATGTCTTTTTCTTTTTTTGTTTCTTAAAGTCTAAAAATGTGACATATTTAAATACTTAATCGGAACATCAAGGCATAAATGTTAAACTTAAGACTGAAATATAGTTCTTTATAGAAGTCAAATTGCAGGTCTTGACCAGCACTATATGGATATCTTCAATGATCCAAATATTGATGGTTTCTTTTTGCGAGGAGGTAACCTATGAATCATAATAGTTGAAATTGATTATCTTTTTGCGAGGAGATAATCTATGAATCATAACAGTTAAAATTAATTAATGTTACTATGATTACTTTTTTTTTTTGTTTTATAGCTATGCAAGATTTACACGAATTGGATATAATTCCTGATCCTGATATCTGCGATGCCGTGCTACGTGCTTGTCGACGTGTGAACGATTTTGCACTTGCCATACGTTTTATCGAATCTCTGAAAGAAAAATGTGTTCTTAGACGGTGGACTCACAAATGGTTATTGGACAAGGTACATTGATTTGTATTTTTTTTTGCTTTTGTGCAATAGCTTAATTGCTAGGAACTAGCTGAATATATGAACAATCTTCTCTCTTCCTTCTTGAAACTGTCTTTCTTAAGTATGATAAGCAGAAATGTATAAGTACTGCTACCATCTTTGTGTGGTCCTGATTGCATAAATTTCTGGTTCCAGAAAACTTTTATAATTTCAATCATTATTTTATGGATGAGCTTTTTTCTTATAAAGAAATTTTTAACGCATTTATGATTAACTCTAGTTAATAAAATGAATAAACAAATTTTCTTTCTTCTACTTTTTTACTGCTGTTTATGAAGAAATACTTTATATTTTATTCTTCAGACTGTTGTTTTAGAATTATTACAATGGATCTTTTGACTAATCATCAAGCTATTCTTTTCCAGATCAAACCTACCATGGACGAATTAGGCATTCCAACACTGGAGGAAATGAATTACGACAAGCCTGAATTGTTCGTGCCTATGTCTGATTGGTGGTGGGAACGAAAGTGGTGTGTTGGTTATTGTTATTTACTACAAATAAATTATTTATTTGTAAATGATAGTGAAATTAACTTTCGTATTATGTTTTGTTCATAGGACATTGTGCCACTATCTTTTTCATTCAACTAACTATGATGTAAACTCAAAACCTGTGTTAGAGAGAGATCAAAAGTTGAGATAGAAACAAGTATAATATAAAAAGAAAACCATTAATAAATATTAGTCCTATGAATGACATTGGTATTATTAGTAATTTCTGATGTTTTGATTAAGTATTATAAGAATTCGAACAAAATGGCTGTTATAAGTAAACTGAGATTTTCCTGTAAAACTGGATTAGGTAATGGTAGAATGAATTTTTTTTGGGTGTTCAGTTGATGATTCTATGATTCTAGTGATTCTAATTAGTAATTTGTTATATGCTCAGTGACGAAGGATATTCTTCATAATATGCGATAAGCAGAAAGTAATACATTTCTTATCTGTTGCATATTCTAAACTATGTAATTGTCTAAGTTTAGAGCAGCCTTCTGACTATAATCATTTATGTGGAAAGTATAATATAAAGAGAAGGACAGTTCTACAGTTTTTGTACATTTATTGTTTAAACTCATTTTATAGGTACAAGGAATATGGATTCGATAAACATGGCTACGAGTACTGAAGATTTTATACGACGTATAACAATTGCAAACCTATAGTTTTTTATGAATTTAAACATTTAATGAGATAACTAATTTGCTGAGATATTATTCTCTGAACAAATATTTATATGAACTCTCAACCTCAAGTATGCATCTCACTGTTCGTTCGTATTGTGACATGGAGCCAATGTTAGTTTTAGGGTGATAGATTTTGACCAGCTTTTTTCATATGAATGTTTTGTTTTCTTGTTTGTATTTATAATGATTGTAATAGCTATGAAAGTGCTGGAGATGTGATCCAGTTGAGAATAAATAGAGTATTTCGATTTTTTTTTTTTTAAAGCATGCAATTCTGTATTGGCAGAAGGTAATAAGTTTTGTAAGAGAAATAAATGCTTTCTGAGATTTCATTACCATGTGATTTTAGGGAATACATTTTCAGGTAATTTTAAGAGGAGTAAATAATAAGCTAAGCAATGCAATATGATATGAAAAAAAAAGTGTATTTACACAAATTTCAGCTTAATATAACATCTGTATTTCATTTTTAACTGATGACAGAAGCAATTGTTGACTTTTATCAATTAGTCTGTAACTTAGTCTTTTAGAGCAATTTAATTCGTATATTATAATTTGAACATAATTTTTATGGTACGAGAAAGAGTTGAATAATCAGTCATTCATTTCAATGACCTTACATGATCGAATAGACTATTTGGTTGTGACTCATTAAGTCTATTCCTGGGCATTTCCAGAATGTAAAATGTGTATTTTGAAGGACGAGCTATACCGATTGTGTCGATTTAGCGATTTATTCATACGGGAAGATAACAAAATGCATCGTAGATGGGTTTCAATTGTCAACGGTCATTCATTGTGGAAACGATAGAAGGAGACATTGATCAGTGATTGCTTACTTTATTTCTATTTTTTCATTTTGTCAATAAGAAAGAGGCAAAGAAATTTTTTTTTTTTTTTTTTCTTTTTTTATCTTTTCGTTCATTATTATTACTTTTGATAGTAATAGCTATGAAGGAATAGCTATTTGAATATATGTTGATAAGGCGCCAAGCGCTAAATGATTTACTTTTAAAAATGCCTTATAAAAAAAAAAAAAAATTGCTTATAAATTTTATTCTTCTTTCCTTTTATTTCATAGCTTTTTATAAAAATGTTCTATTTCATTTGTTTTTTCTTTTTTTTTTTTAAAGATTTTTTTTTTTCTATATCTTATAAAACTTTTTTTACTTCATAATTTTAAATGAGCTTTTCTTTTCTTCTTTTTTTTTTTTTTTTAAATTCAAATCCCCTGAAAGAAAATGAGGAAGAGAGAGAGAGAGAGAGAGAGAGAGAGAAAAAAGCGAAAATTAAGATTGTAATGAAAATTAGTGTTATTAAATATTTTCGAAAGTAATTAAATATGTTTTGCTAACATTTTTGATATGAATGTGAATTCATATGAATTAAAAAAGTGAAAAATTTAATTAAACAATAAGCATTTTAAAATTAAATGAGATCTTTCTATAAAAAAGAATCATTCTGTAAATATTGTCAAAATCAGTGGAACTTTCAAGTTACTAATGTTTTTACAAAAGTTTATTTGAATTTAAAGTTTATCTGAATTTAGATTATAAAAATAGAATTTAGCTGCAAAGAGAAAAATATAGTATAATTGAAAGTTAAAATATTGTTATTACATGAAATCAACAATATTTCAGCTTTTGAAATCAAATAATTTTATAAATTGTATTGCGTATATTCTTGAGATTAAAACAGAAATACTTTTTATGATGTATTTGTGTAACAAAATGTAAACAAATCTTTATTGCGTTACGTGTCTTAAACGTTTATCGGTTATTATTCATTCATTCGCAAAAATAAATAAAATTCATTTGTATAAAGAATGAAAGATTTTATAAAACAGTTTTCTTACTTTTAACTTATCAAATAAATTATGCATTGCAATATCATTATCATTGGTCAAAGGTTACTTTATCTTTTATCAAAATAATTTATTCTCAAAACATATTGTGCATCTGATCTAAAAAAGAAAACACCAATAGAATCTCAGAAATTATAGCAAATGATTGTTGACAAATATTTTAGGTATGCTTTCTTATCATTCTTATCATTCTAATCATTTATAAATTATTAACGAATGAAGTAATCAACTAGATAGTTAAAGTAATAAAGTAATTAATTTGCAAAAAAGCAAAAAAATAATTCGCATAAGAAAACAATAAAATTTATTCTGTAAAAACAAATAAAAGTTTAGAAAAAAAAAATGGTTAAACAATAAAATTCAATTTGTTTTAATTTAATCAAATCAATTTTCAAATCAAATTCAATTTTTTTTCTGCCTATTTATGTTTAAATTTTAAGAATATCTGTTATAATTTAATCAAATTAAATATAATAATGATAATAAACAAATATATTCCTTAATTTTTTTTTTCTCTTTATTTATGCTTAAATTTTAAGTATTATTATTATCATTGCTTTTTTACAAAAGTGTAAAATCATTTCTTATGAATCATTTTAATCCTTATATTTGGCTTTTTTATAAGTTTGTTGTATTAAAAATTTTTTCTACACAATTGATATATATATAAATCAATAATTCATTCTTTCCATCCCTTTTTTATTATTTTCAAAATATTGCATTAGAAATAATACTAGAAATCAAAATATTATATTAGAAATAATACTAGAAATCAAAATATTATATTAGAAATAATACTAGAAATCAAAATATTATATTAGAAATAATACTAGAAATCAAAATATTATATTAGAAATAATACTAGAAATCAAAATATTATATTAGAAATAATACTAGAAATCAAAATATTATATTAGAAATAATACTAGAAATCAAAATATTATATTAGAAATAATACTAGAAATCAAAATATTATATTAGAAATAATACTAGAAATCAAAATATTATATTAGAAATAATACTAGAAATCAAAATGTTATATTAGAAATCGATTGAAAATTGATTTATTTTATGCTAGAATGAGAGAGAAACATTTAAAAATCGGATCATTTTTGAATGATCAAAAATAATCCGATTTATCTTACTTTTGTTTGTTTACTTGTTTCGCTGTAAGTTTATTCATTGATAATTTGATATAAATTATTTATTAAACTTTATTGAATTATAGCAATTTATTCATCATAATCAATAATAAATAATTGATTTGCAATCATTTTGTAATTTGATGAGAGAAATTTTAAAATAATACTTTGATATTGTAATTTAAATAAATTTAGATATTCTTTCATCCTTTTTTCAGTGGTATTTTTTGAATTGCTATCTTCAAGATTTGAAAGTCATATTTTGAGTCACATTGGAATAATTTCGTTTGTAAATTTTAGTTTTTTTTTATACAATATTATTTCATTTTCCTCTTCTTTTAATAATAATAATAGTAGCAATAATGACAATAATAAAAATAATAATAATAATAATAACAATAATAATGCTTATTGTTAATTTTGATAGTTTTTCTTTCGTCTTTTTAATTTAAAACGATTCAAATTTGAACTTTAATTTACTCATTGATGTCAATTAATTTCTGTGAAATGAAAATACTATGACAAAATATTGGAGACATAAATTTTAGAGTGTATTAATTAACCTTACAGATTAGATTACATCAATTAAATATATCGATTTTATTCATTTATTTGATCAATTAAATCTAATTTGAGTCATTCAATTTGTTTAAAATTTTTTAAGAAATTATTAAAATTTATGTTAGTTAAACTATCGTTTTCTCTTCAATCTATTTAATCTTCTCAACAAATGGACATTTAAATTTAAACTTTAAATGCCCATTAAATATGCAAAATAGTAAAAATTACAAATTGACTCTTTTAAGTGGCAATTAATAAAAACATTTTCTTTTCCTAAAAAATTATTCATTGTTAAATTGTATTGAAATTTTCAAAAAAAAAAAAAAAAAGACAGAGGGAGAGAGAGAAAGAAAGAAAAACTCAGTGTTAATTCATTTAATGTCTTTTTGCGAGTATTTATGAGTGTTCAAGAAGTGGAAATTTCGAACATTCAATGATTATTAATGCCAAAGGTACTATTTTTATAACAAAATTTAATTATATTACTATTAATAGCAAACAGATTATTATTTTTTAATTATTATTATTATCGTTATTACTAGTAGTAGTAGTAGTAGTAGTAATAGTAATAATAATGATAGTGATAATAATAGTAGTAATATTATTATTATTATTATTTATGTCCTACTTCTATCAGGATGGAATTTTTTCTTTCTCATAAATAAATAAATTTCTACTCAAAAAATTACACCCCAAATTGTTTGCTTTAATGAGAGTAATAATTAGAAAAAGTCATTCATTAATTTAAGTATGTCATATGGTGTATTTATTAATCCAAACATTTAACATCAAGAATTCTCGAATCAACGATTCTCGATTGTGTTATTTGTTTTTTTCTTTTTTATTCATATTATATTACCTACTTGAATGTGCTATTATCATGAATTGATTATTTATTAATATCATTAACTGATTATTTATTATTATCATTGATTGATTGTTTATTATTATCATTGATTGATTATTTATTATTATCATTAATTAATTGTTTGTTATTATCACCAATTGATTATTCGCTATTATCATTAACTGATTATTTGTCATTATCATTAATTAATTATTTGTCTTTGTAGCTGCAATTTCAACGAGATCAATTTAAAACAAAAAAAAAAAAATTAAATTTAACTAAATAATATTAAACATTATCATTCACTATTTAATAATATTTTATCATCCTGAAAAAAGAAGAAAAAAAAAACATTAAAATTACATTGAAAATTTACATTTTAATTTTAAATTGCCTGAAATTAAATATGAATGAATAAATATTTCTAAAACGAAGACAGAAACCTGTTGGATTTGCTGTAAATCCATCAAATTTCGAATCGAATAGTACAAAATTGCATACATTAATAGAAATTAAATGTAAGTTAAAAAAAAAAAAAAGAAAAACGAACAATTTTATTTCCAAAATTTATTTTTATCAATTTTTTTTCTTTTCTTTTTACTTTTAATTATTAATTTGTGGTTAATCAAAGTTGTTTTTAACTAATATTAGTAATAATTTTTGTTGATATATTTTGATTATAATAGAAATTATTATTGTAATAATTATTTGGCATAGTTTATTATCTTATCAGTAAATTGAAAACCTAATTTCTCTTCAAATTATCAATTAATCCTAATTTTTGAATGATAAATTCGTCCGGTAAATAACAATGGATTAAACTTTATATATAATAAAAATCAATGAAAGTTTTTGAATTAAAATTTAATTTCTTTTATTGCTATAATTTATTCAATTTTTGCTTATTAATTTTAATAATTCATGCATAATTCATTAAAATTTTATTAGTAAAAAATAAAAACTTTTTAATAAAAATCTAAAAATTAATTGGGTGAAAAATAGCATTCATAAAAAAATGTTTTAAAATTACTTTAAAAAAAAAAGTTATTTATTTTTTATTTTTATTTTTTGATTAATTCAATTGATAACTTTTAAATGTATGAAATGATTTCGGTTGATGGATAATAACGAAATTATTAAAATGAGAAAATTTATTGAAAAAAAAAAAATTGTTTTAATTAGAATTTTTTTAATTAATTATAATTGAATAATTAATTATCATTTAACAGTTTTGGTTAATTTTTCAGTTTTTTTTTTTGTTATTTTTCATTAATATATAAAATAGTTTTTGCAAATTTAATTTTTTTAATGCAAAAAAACATATTTTGCAATTGAATTATATATGAAAAATTTAAATAAAATAAAATGAAATTTTATTCTTTTTTAAATTTATTTTTAAAATTCAAAATTTGCAATATATAAAAAGCGCTCTATTTAATTTTTTTTTTTTTTTTTTTTTTTGTAAATTATTAATTATTTACTAAAAATTAATTGAATTTTTATGAAAAATATTAGTTCATTTCCATTTGCTTATTACCAATTCTTTTAGATAATAGCAAAAGTGAATTTAATAATTTAATTTGAAAAAAAAAAAGCAAAAAAGCAATTTAATTGAGCTTTGTTTGTTTTTTGTTTTTTTTTTTTTTCTGGGAGAAATAATTTAAATAAAATTTTATTAAAATTTAAATTAATCATTAAAAAATTTTTACATTTATCATTATTTCTTAATTTTAATTACAAATTTTAGCACTTATAAAATCTATTTTATCCTGTATTTTTCTTTTTAAGTAAAAATTTTTACATACTTATTATTCCAATTTTATTCAAATATAAATTTATGTATAAATTATTTATTTAACTAGCGGTAATAATAGTATTTACTTACGTTTACTTATCATTCGTACGTTTACTTCTATCATTATCATTATCACTTAGTTCCATTTATTATTATCACTGCTTGTTAACAATGATAATAGTATTTACTTACGTGTACATATCATTCGTACGTTTACTTCTATCATTATCATTATCACTTAGTTCCATTTATTATTATCACTGCTTGTTAACAATGATAATAGTATTTACTTACGTGTACATATCATTCGTACGTTTACTTCTATCATTATCATTATCACTTAGTTCCATTTATTATTATCACTGCTTGTTAACAATGATAATAGTATTTACTTACGTGTACATATCATTCGTACGTTTACTTCTATCATTATCATTATCACTTAGTTCCATTTATTATTATCACTGCTTGTTAACAATGATAATAGTGAAATAATCATTTTTCATTGATAAAAATAATTTCATTTTTCATTTCTTATTGACCAAAAATAAAAATAAATGTAAACCATTCATTGTTTACATTGTCACATTTCTCTGTTGACAAATAGTTGTAAAATAAACGCATTAAAGCAATTTCTTCATATTTATATATGTATGATAGTATTTTATATAACTAAAATTATTCTTTTCTGTTTTTTTTTTTTTTTTTTTTTTCTTTTGAAAAAATTTTATTAAATTTTTACAATTTTTCTTCTCTTTTATTTATTTATTTTTTTCTACGAATTATATTTGTATAATTATAAATTTGCATAAATTCTAACTTAAATATATTTTTGAATTAAAAAAAAAAAATTGTTGGTAAAAAATGAAAAGATTTTATACAGTTTTTTTTTTTAATTTTTGAATTTAAATTTTATAAAAAATTTGATTAAACATATCGTTTGTTAAATTTCATTTTTAATATTAGATTTTAAAATTTGAGCTTAATTCATTACAAATATACAGATCAGTTCATTTTGATATTATTTTAAAAGTGTATTTTATCTCAATTTATGTGCTAGAAAGAAAAATTACAAAGACAGAGAGAGAGAGAGAGAGGGAGGGAAAGAGAGAGAGAGAAAAAAACGATTATTTTATTCGTGCACTGATTTCATATGATCAAACGTACTGATAAAAGCCCTCGCTTAATCATTTTTCAAAAACTAACTATCATTTGCAACTTTTAACTGCATCAAACATTGAATCATTTATTTGTACTTTTTCATTTTTCATTTCATATTTTATTTTAAAAATAAAAGAAAAGAAATTTAACAAAAAACAAAAAAAAAAAAAATCAAATTTAATTTAAAAAATTGAAATTTTTCTCTTTTAAATATTGTTTTCCATTTATTCAAACTGATTTAATTTATTACAAATTTCATTTTTTTTTTAAAAAAAAATTCGAACTTATTAAGCGTACATAGTAAACTTATCAATTAACATTATTTTTTCAACATTTTAATGTTAAAATTAAAAATGTATTTTACGTGAAGTTTATTTTATAATTTGATTTGTATGAAAAAGAAATAGGACAATTGCGCTTTGATAAAATTAATTTTTCATTAATTGCAGAAAAAGGATGGAAAATTTTGAAACGAATGCTAATATTGTAAATGATTTGGTCCTTCTTTCTACAGTCACACATGATAGTATTGTTAATACTTTACGTGATAGGTGATTATATATTTTTTGAAATTTTAAATTTTAATTAAATACAAATTTGATGATATGATTGTATAAATTATTAATGTTTATATTTAAATGAAATATCTTATATTTCGTTATTTAAATATAATTTTAAATCCTAATTAAATACAAATTTGATAATATAGTTGTATAAATTACTAAAAAAATATTTAAATGAAATATCTTATATTTCGTTATTTAAATATAATTTTGAAAATTTTAAATCTTAATTAAATACAAATTTGATGGTATGATTGCATAAATTATTAATGTTTATATTTAAATGAAATAACTTATATTTCGTTATTTAAATATAATTTTGAAAATTTCAAACCTTAATTAAATACAAATTTGATAATTTGATTGTACAAATTATTAAATGTTTATATTTAAATGAATTTTTCCTCTTTTTTTTTTTGATTAATTTTTTAATTAAACTAAGTAGTAAATGTTATAAAAATATCATCAATTTTTTATTGTTTTATTTTAGATATCGTAAAGGTGAAATTTACACTTATATTGGAGAAGTATTATTAGCAATAAATCCTTATCGAAATTTGCCAATTTATGGCTCTGATATGATACGTAAATATAAGGGACATGAAATTTACGAACGTTCACCTCACGTATTTGCTATTACTGACGTGACATATCGATCAATGAAATGGCATGAAAATGACGTTTGCATCGTCATTTCTGGTATCATTTTCAATTACTAATTGATAATAATTTTATTTAAACTTATCAAATACAATTAAAAATTTAAAAATTTCTTAAAAATATATTATTTTCAAAAAAAAAAAAAAATTTTGTTAGAATCGATTAAAAAATAAATATATTTCATATCAATTATTATTGTCTTTTTTTTTTTTAAGATAATTAAATTAATGAAATCAAAATTTGTTCATAAAATTCTATCAAAATATACAATAATAGTTATTAAATTCTAAATGTGTCATTTTTTTTTTTTTTTGTTTTACAATAAAATTTTATCATCAAATAATTTTTTTGTTTTTTGTTTTTTGTTTTTTTTTTTTTTTTGTTTAATTAGGTGAATCTGGTGCTGGTAAAACAGAAACAAGCAAAATAATTATGCGTTATTTAGCAGCAATTACTAATATTGATAAACAATATGAAATTGAAAGGTTAATTTGTTATTAATTATATTTTATTTACCAATTTATTATTTCCAATTATTTCTTTTTTACTTTTAATTACATTACACGTAGTGATTTACGTCTCTTTATATTTACTTTTAATTACATTACACGTAGTGATTTACGTCTCTTTATATTTACTTTTACTTACATTACACGCACGTAGTGATTTACGTCTCTTTATATTTACTTTTAATTACATTACACGCACGTAGTGATTTGAGGATTCATTTTACAGAGTGAAAAATATTTTCCTTCGCTCAACTGCACTTCTGGAATCGTTAGGCTGCGCAGTGACGAATAAAAATGATAATTCAAGCCGTTTTGGTAAATATATGCATATAAACTTTAATGTTCAAGGTGATCCATTTGGTGGACATATTAGTAGTTATTTACTTGAAAAGGTTATTTATTTTATTTTATTAAATTTTAGTTTATTTGTTTATGATAAACATATCTAAAATAATCATTTAATCATATCTTTGATCCACATAATCATCATGAAATAATCATTTAATCATATCTTTGATCCACATAATCATCATGAAATAATCATTTAATCATATCTTTGATCCACATAATCATCATGAAATAATCATTTAATCATATCTTTGATCCACATAATCATCATGAAATAATCATTTAATCATATCTTTGATCCACATAATCATCATGAAATAATCATTTAATCATATCTTTGATCCACATAATCATCATGAAATAATCATTTAATCATATCTTTGATCCACATAATCATCATGAAATAATCATTTAATCATATCTTTGATCCACATAATCATCATGAAATAATCATTTAATCATATCTTTGATCCACATAATCATCATGAAATAATCATTTAATCATATCTTTGATCCACATAATCATCATGAAATAATCATTTAATCATATCTTTGATCCACATAATCATCATGAAATAATCATTTAATCATATCTTTGATCCACATAATCATCATGAAATAATCATTTAATCATATCTTTGATCCACATAATCATCATGAAATAATCATTTAATCATATCTTTGATCCACATAATCATCATGAAATAATCATTTAATCATATCTTTGATCCACATAATCATCATGAAATAATCATTTAATCATATCTTTGATCCACATAATCATCATGAAATAATCATTTAATCATATCTTTGATCCACATAATCATCATGAAATAATCATTTAATCATATCTTTGATCCACATAATCATCATGAAATAATCATTTAATCATATCTTTGATCCACATAATCATCATGAAATAATCATTTAATCATATCTTTGATCCACATAATCATCATGAAATAATCATTTAATCATATCTTTGATCCACATAATCATCATGAAATAATCATTTAATCATATCTTTGATCCACATAATCATCATGAAATAATCATTTAATCATATCTTTGATCCACATAATCATCATGAAATAATCATTTAATCATATCTTTGATCCACATAATCATCATGAAATAATCATTTAATCATATCTTTGATCCACATAATCATCTTAAAATAATTACTTCTTCGTATTTATACTTTAAAACGTCTTTTTTCTTAAAAACTATTTTAGTAATAATAATAATATATATGGTAATTGATAGTTTAGGTTTTATAAGATATGCAATTAAATTCAAGAAATCATTTTAGGCTTGTAATTCTAGCTTTGTAATATTCTAAATCTAATTATCTCTTTTTTTTTTGATTATTTACAGTCACGTGTGGTACGTCAACAACGTGGTGAACGTAATTTTCACATTTTTTATCAACTCTTAGCTGGGCTAGATACTAATTGTTTACATGCGTTACACTTACAACGTAATCCACAGAAATACTTTTATTTAAATCAAGGTCAAACAATGATTGTAAGTTTATCTTTAAATCTTTAATAAATAAATAAACAAATAATTAGAAAAATAGTGAACAATTTAAAAAATAATTTTTATTATTTCATTCCTTTTTCCAAATTAGGTTTGTTTGTTTGTTTGTTTGTTTTTTTTTTTTTGTTTAGAAAATAAACAAATTCCCCCTTTTTTTTTTTTTTGTTTATTTTTTAAGGCAAATACAATAAATGATAAAAATTCATTTAATGAAGCTTTACAAGCAATGAGAGCAATTGAAACATTTGCACCAAATTCTGAACAACAAGTAAGTATTTTTTATTTATTTATTTATTTTTTTTTTTTTTTACACATTTTTTTATTTTTATTTTTCACTTTATAATTATTTAAACTTTTTTTTTAAAAAAAAATTTAAGATAAATATATTATATTTATGTATAAGATGATAAAAATTTAATTTAAATAAAGCTTTATGCAAGCATTTTATTGTTAAATAATCGCATTTTTATTAAAAAAAAAAAAAATTTTTATCTTTCAATTAACAAATAATTCTAATAAAATGCTATTAAAAAATTTCAAAAAAATTTTCACAAATAAAAAAATAAAGAAATAATTATAATAATTTAAGATTTGGAATATTCTTGCAAGCATTTTATTATTGGGTAATCTTAATTTTATTGAAAGTGAAGCAAATTTCGATGAAAGTTTTGTAAAAGATCGTAATGAATTGCAAATTTGCGCTAACATATTGCAAGTTGAAAGTGTCCAATTGGAAAAAGCATTATGCATGCAAGTAAAATTATTATTTAAAATTTTTTAAATTTAATTATTATCAATGCAAAATTTTCCTTTTCCTTTTTTTTTTTTTTGACTTACGTGAGATAATTTTATTGATTGATTATTATTAGCTATTAATTAATATTTTTAAAATTAATTAATTATTTCATTTATTATTCATTTAATGGCTTCAATATCTTTGCTAATTACATCATACTATAATCACGTCCGTGACTTACGTTGCTATATATTTTGCAGATTTACTCTAAATTTTAGTTCAATTAAAATTCATTGTAAAAGAATTGTAATTTTCATTACTTTCTTCACGTTATATACGTCAAAACTTTTATTTTTCACCCAATAATTCGAATTAATTAATTCATTTAATAAATTAATAAATAAAATTATTTGATTGTAATTTAATTTAGGTGGTTGCAGCTAAAGGTGACGTAGTCTCGAAATGTCATGATGTTAACGCTGCTGAATATACGAGAGATGCGCTTGCTAAGGTTAATTAGTCATTTTTAAATTTTAAATTTTTAAATGTAATAAATTATCGATTAACTTTACTTATAGTAATTAAAATTTAGTACCACTATGAATCTATCAAAAAAGAAATTAATTAAAAAATAAAATGATAATTTTTTTTTTTTTTGTATGCTTTTTCATATCTTAATTTTAGGATTTTTTTTTCAAAATTTAAGAAAAAAAGAAGGTGAAAAGCAATATTGAAATGATTGATAAGAAATAACTGATAAGAAATGATAATCATTTATAATATGTAATTCAATTGAAATTGTATATGTGTGTGTTTTCTTTTTTCTAAATTTAAAAAATATTTGCAACATTTTTTCTGCTTTTTAAAATTAAAAAAATTTTTGCCTTTTTCTATAAATAAATTTAATATTGCAAATGAATATTTTATTATTTTTATATTAATATTCACAAATTGTAATTTAAGTATTATTATTTTTTCCTGTAATTATTACTAATTAACAAAAAAATAAATAATCAATTAATTAATTAATTAATTAAGTTTTTCTTGAAGGCAATTTATGACAGATTGTTTACATGGATTGTGAGAAAAATTAATGAAGCAATTAATATTGAAAGAAATGAATATGCAAATAAAAATACTGTAATTGGTGTACTTGATATTTATGGATTTGAAATATTTGCAATAAATAGGTAAATTATAATTTTTTTTTTTTTTTAATTTTTATTTTTTGAATAAGGAAAAAAAAAGGAAAAAGGGAGTGCTTATTGTTTTAAATTTAATTTTAGAATTCGTTTTTTTTTTTTTTTTTTTTTTTTGTTTTTGTTTTGATTTAAATTTAGTTTTAAAAATTTAATTTTTTAATTTAATTTAATTTTAGTTTTTAATTTTTAATTAGAAATCGTTTTTTTCTTCATTCAAATTTAATTTTAAAATTCATTTTTTTTTTTTTTTTTTGCAAATGAAATATAAATTTTAAGTTGAATGTAAAAAATTTATAGTTTTGAGCAATTTTGTATCAATTATTGCAATGAAAAATTGCAACAACTTTTTATTGAATTAGTATTAAATCAAGAACAAGAAGAATATAAACGAGAAGGAATTCAATGGCAACAAGTAATTGTTCTAAAATTAAAATTTTAATAAAATTCTTTAAAATAATATAAAAAATTTAATTTAATCATATATTTTATAAAAAAAGGATTATTATGGAAAAATGTTTTATTATATTAATGTGAAAAATAAATTAAATATTGTTATAATTATTTGTTTAATCAATCTCAAAGCATTTGATAAAATTAAAAAAAAAAAAATTAAAATTTGATAACTTTTGACTTTTATCATTTTTTTTTTTTTTTTTTTTTTTTTTTGCTCTTTTGCTTCTGTCTAATTTTTTTTGTTGATAAATGCGATAATTTTACAAAATGATATAAAATTAATTTAGATTGATTTTTTTAACAATAAAGAAATTTGCGATTTGGTTGAAATACCTCGCACAGGAATTTTAGCTATATTAGATGAAGCATGTTATACGATTGGTCCTATCAATGATAAGGTTTGTTAATTAAAATTTGTTAATTTTAAAAAATAAAAAAAATGAAAAATAATTTATCACTTATTTCCTTTCATTATTATTATTATTACTAAAAAATAAAAAAAAAGGAATCTCACTTTATTATTGTTATTATTATTATTATTTATTTCAAGTATTATTATTACTATTCATTTCATATTATAATTATTCACATTCATTTCAAATTATTATTATTCATTTTAATCAATAAAAATTTTCTCAATTTAAAAAGTAAAAAAACGAAAAATAATTTATCAATTATCTCCCTTTATCATTGTTATTATTATTATTATTCATTTCAAGTATTATTATTATTATTCATTTCAAGTATTATTATCATTATTATTCATTTCAAGTATTATTATTATTATTATTATTATTCATTTCAAGTATTATTATTATTATTCATTTCATATTATTACTATTCATATTCGTTTCAAATTATTATTATTCATTTCAATCACCAAAAATTTTCTTTTACTTCCATTTGCAAAAAAAAAAAAAAAAGTTTTTTTAATTTTAGTCAATAAAAATTTCTCCATATTTTTATAACAAAAAAAAAAGAAAAAAAAATTATATTTATTTTTTTTTAAAAAAAATTATTTTTTAAAAATTTTTTACATTTATTGAAAAAAAAGGAACGAATTAAGGTATAGAAAGTAAATACTAACATTGTAGAAGTATTATTAGTATTCAAATTAAAATAAATTCATTCAAATTTCATGTAAAATTAATACTTCAAATTAAAATAAATACTATATTAAATATATTTATTCATTTAAATTATCATTTCTTTAAATCATTAACATTCATTATCATTTCTCTTTGCAGTGATATTATCAATATTTAGAAGATTACGAGAGTGAGAGAGAGAGAGAAAGAGGAAAAATAATCATATTTTCAGATTTTTTTATCTGAAATGGATAAAATATTGGATAAAAATAAGTATTATACAAGTCGACGATTAAATCCAACTGATAAAACGTTATCATTTGAAAGAGACTTCCGAATAACACATTATGCTGGTGATGTAACCTATAGTATTGTTGGTTTTATTGATAAGAATCGTGATACACTTTATCAGGATCTGAAACGTCTTTTGTATAATAGGTAAAATGATTAGAGTCTATCTGAAATTTTGATAAAATTAAAAATTTAACTATCAGTTATTTTAAATGTATATTTCAAATTAGTAAGTATAAAATAAGTTTTATTTAAAAAAAAAGAAAAATTAAAAAAAAATAAATGAAAAAATATAGAATAAGTTTTTAATATTTATAAAGCATTTATGAAGAAATATTTAATCACTTTTTTTTTTAAAAAAAGATTATTATTATTATTTTTTTTTAAATTGTAGCAATAATCCAATATTATGTGAAATATTTCCGGATGGAGCAAAATCTGTAACCGAAGTTAATAAGAAACCATTAACTGCTGGTACAGTATTTAAGGTTATTTTACTTATTTATTAATTCATTTATTCATTTTGCTATATAATTTAACTTTTAAAAAAAAAAATGGAAATAATAATTTAAATAAATTTAAATGAAATAAGAAATTTCATTTACATTTCAGAATTCGATGTCAGATTTGGTACAACAACTTTCAGCAAAAGAACCACATTATATTCGATGTATTAAACCAAATGAAATTAAATCGAGTAGTGTATTTGATACAACAGGTGTTGGTCATCAGGTAAATTTAATTAATTATTTGTAAAATTTGATAAATTATTTGTAAAATTTAAATAATTATTTGTAAAATTTACTTAGTTATTTGTAAAATTTAACTAATTATTTGTAAAATTCAACTAAATATTTGTAAAATTTAATAGTTATTTGTAAAGTTTAATTAACTATTCGTAAAATTTAAATTATTATCTATAAAATTTAAACAGTTATTTGCAAAAGTAAAATTTATTAGTTATTTGTAAATTTAATAAATTATTTGTAAAATTTAAATAATTAATTGTAAAATTTATTTAGTTATTTGTAAAGTTTAATTAACTATTCGTAAAACTTAAATTATTATTTATAAAATTTAAATTATTTGCAAAATTTAACTAATTATTTGTAAAATTTAATAAATTATGTAAAATTTAAATAATTAATTGTAAAATTTATTTAGGTATATGCAAAATTTAAATAATTATTTGTAAAAGTTAATTACTTATTTGCGAAATTTAACTAATTATTTGCAAAATTTAACTAATTATTTGCAAAATTTAACTATTTATTTGCAAAATTTAAATAATTATTTGTAAAATTTAAATAATTATTTGTAAAATTCAAATTATTATTTGTAAAATTTAATTAATTAATTTTAAAATTTAAATAATCTTTTATGAGAAAAAAAGACGAGAATTTTTATTGACATATTGTAAAAATTAGCAATTCTTCTTCTGATTATTTATTTTAAAATAAAAAATTTTAATTTTAATTTTAGGTTCGATATTTAGGATTATTGGAAAATGTACGTGTACGACGTGCTGGTTTTGCGTATAGAATTACTTATCAAAGATTTCTACAACGGTTAATTAATCCAAATATATTTTTTTTTTAAATCTAAATTAAATTGATATTTTAGTATTATTTTTTCAATGTAATATTTCAATTTGTTTATTTTAATATTATTTATTTATTTATTTATTTTTTTTTTTTTAAAACAAAATCTTAAAATGTTGCATTTAAATTTGAATTAGTAAATTTTTCATCGTTTTTTTATCTGTTTTAATAATTCAAAAAAAAAAAAAAAAAAAAAAGTATTTTTATGAAATAAAATAAATAAATGAAATTTTTCTCTTTTTTTTTCAAATGAAAATATATTTTAATAATATGAAAATGATTGTTTGCTTGTTTTTTTTTTTTTTTTTTCGTTTAAAAATAATAAATTTTAATTAATTTAATTATTAGGTATAAAATGCTTTCAACAAGTACTTGGCCAAATCCATCAAAAGGATCAGCACAAGAAAATGCAAATGTTTTATTGGAAATATTTGATTTAAAAAAAGATTGTGTTAATGGTAAAACAAAATTATTCATACGTAATCCACGTACGGTATTCAAATTAGAAGATTTACGTCAACAAAAATTATCTGATATTGTTATTATATTACAAAAGGTTTGAAAATAAAAACTTTTTTTTTTTTTTTAAAAAAAATATTTTTTTTTTTTTTTTTTTTTTTTAAAATGAAACTAACATTAATATTATATATTCTAATAAAAGCTTTTTTTTTTTTCTTTTCTTAATTTTTTTTTTTCCTATTAGTATTAATATTATTAAATAGAAATAATTTATGTTTAAAATTTTATTTTAAAAAGTTAATTATTTCTATTTTAAACATTAATGTGTGTAATTTATTTGATGTGCCTTAATAATAATAATAATTTTTAGTAAATTTTCTAAGCAAATAAAATTTTTTTTAAAAAAAAAAAAAAAAATTTATTTAAATTAAATGAAATTTTAGCATTGGCGAGGAGTAGTTGGAAGATATCGTTTTAAACAAATTAAACAAATTTACATTATTATTTATTACTATCGAAAATATAAATTACGACAATATTTGATGGTACTAATCGAATGTTTTCGGTATAAAATCTTTTTTTTTTTTTTTTTTTTAAAAAAAGTTTTTTTTTTTTTTTTTTTTTTAAAAAAATAACCGTTTAATGTTTAAAATGCTATGTTAATTGATTAAAATATTAATAGATTAAAATTTAAATTTGCTATCTAATATTATTATAATTTATTGTAAAAATAGGATATTTTTTGAATGAAACATATGATTTTAGATTAAATTATAAGAAAAAAAAAATTAAAAAAATTTTTTAATGCTCTAATTAATTTATTATTTGATTATGAATTAATTTCAAATGTCCAGTACTTGCTTGTAATTTATTTTTTAATTTTAAAAAATTAAAATGATAATTTATATTTATTCAGTGATATGGAAAAAAGGAACAATTTGTGCAATGCAATAAAATGGCCAATTACACCTAGTGGTTTTGAAAATTTTACTGATAAATTAAAACAAATGTATGAAATTTGGCGTGCAAATAAAATTATCAATCAAATGCCATTGGTATTGAAAGAATCATTAAAAGAAAAATTAGCTGCATTTCATGCTCTCGAGAATAAGCGACGAGAATGGGGCTATTTACGATCATGGAAAGGCGATTATTTAAATTTGGTTAATTGATTAATTAATTAATTAGTTAATTAAAAAATGAATTAGCAAAAAAGAAGAAAAAAAAAAGCTTATCATTAAATTTTTATTTGTTCTGATATATTTATTTATTTTTTTTTTTTCATTCATTCATTATTAGTCACCAAAAATGATTTATTTAAATTTAAATTTAATTTTAAATTTCATTTAATTAAGGATGATGAGATTAAATCACCCAGTCAAAGATATGATTATCTTTTGGAATTGGATAATATACGACGAAATAGTAATTTTACTAAAGTTCTTTTCTCATCTTACATTCAGGTTTTAATTTATTTATTTTTTTTTTTTTTTTTTTTTTTAAATTTATTTTGGGTTTAATTATTTACTTTAGTATTATTTATTTAAACATAAATCTAATATCATCTCTTATTGTTTTGAAAGTATAAAAAATTTTACTATTCTATTATAAATGTTTCTTTTATCACTAATCTTTTATCACTTTATCAATAATTTCAATCACTAATAATTACATAAAAATTTTAATATAAATTCTAACATTTCAGAAATTTAATCGATACAATAAGTCATCATTTCGTGTGCTTTTAATAACTGATCAATTTATTGCTAAATTGGATGCAAAAAAATTTAAAATGCTAAAACAACAATCATTTAAAAATGTAAAATTTTTAAATATTTTTTTTCCAGCACTTTCTTTTGTTTTAATATTTAATAATAATAATAATTAAAATTAATATAATTTTAAAAGTATCTAAGTGTATTTGATTAATTTTATCAATGATTAAAAATTTAAAATTAAATATTAGAAAAATATTGTGATAAATGATTTTCAGAGCATAAATAATTTGATAAATTAATAAAAAAAAAAAAAATTTCTTTTTTTAATATATTAAATTTTTTAGTTTTTATTTTTGCAAATATATTTTAGCTTATTGGCATTAGTGTTTCAAAAGAAAATGATAATACAATAATCTTTCATCTTGGAAGCAATGATTTTATTGGTTGTTTATACAATCATAAAAATGAAGATCGTATCGGTGAAGTAGTTGGAATTTTATGTGCGCATTTTGAAAGGTTTATTTTTTAGAGTTTAAAAAATAAAAAAACAAAGAAAAAGAAATATAATATTAAATAGCGGTGAATAAATTTAAATTATTAATGAAAAATTTTAACGAAATTGCTTGAGAAACTTTTTAATTGTTAATGGATATAATTTAATGTTTGAATGAATATTTAATGAATATAATTTAATGTTTGAATGAATATTTAATGAATATAATTTAATGTTTGAATGAATGAATAAATTTAAATTATTAATGAAACATTTTAACGAAATTGCTTGGGAAACTTTTTAATTATTAATGGATATAATTTAATATTTGAACAAATATTTAATGAATATAATTTAATATTTGAATAAATTTAAATTATTAATGGAAAATTAGTTTAATAAATTTAATACTTTTTTTAAAAAAACAAAAGAAACTTACGTAAAATCATATTATTATAATAAATTGTTATCATTTTTTTGCTTTTATTTCAAAGTAAATAGAGATTATAAGAATGAAAACAAAAAAAAAAAAAAAACAAAACAAAAAAAAAAGCGAAATTTTGCTGTTTTATAAAAAAGACAAAACTGGTTTTAAAATAATAAAATCCCCTATGAAACATTTGAAAAGATCAAGTTAAAATGATCAAAAAGATTGATTTAGTAATTAATGATTTTGATTTAAATCGCAATTATTTAAATCATGAAACATTTTTATGAAACTTGTTTTTATGTATATATATATTCATACTTCTTTTTCTTTTTTTTTTTTGGAAAATGTTTTCATCAAATTAAGAAAATGTAAAAATTTTACAGTCAAAGCAATCAATTAGATCAATCATATTTTATTAGAAAATTTTTAACAAACAATTTAATTGCTGTCATTATGAAACTTTTCTGCAAATAATGCTCAAAATTTTATATTAATAATTAATTGAACACTTATCATTTTACATTTAATATTTATCACTTATCAATAACAAACATTTGCAAAAATAAATCTTAAAATTAAATTAAAAAAAAAAAAAAACTTAAAATCTTAAAATTAGAAAAAAAAAGAAAACACAAAAACAAAAAGAAAAATCTTAAAATGAAGTTATAAAAAAAAAAAAAAAAAAAAAAAAAAAGATTAAATGTTAACATTTCAATATTTTTTGAAAGAGATGATAAAAAGAATTAAATTTCAGAAATTTTAATAAAAAATTGATAGTAACTGTTGGCGAATTACAATGTACGCTTGGTTCTAAGGAACGTTCAATTCGTATTCGTTTAAGTGATAAAATTACTGATGGCCATTCGACATTTCGAAAATATGGTAGCAATCAAATTGAATTAATCTGTCCTACAGTATCAGCTTAATTAATTTATCACAAAAAAAAAAAAACCTCTAAAGCTGATCTTATCATTTTCATTCATTTTGTTTATCATTAAAATAATTGAAATAATTTTGTGTCAAATTTTCTCTAAAGAAATTTTATTATTCGTTTTTTTTTTTTTTTTTTTTTAAATAACTTTTAATATTTTATTATTGAAATGAGCATTGAAAAAGCATTAATTTAAAATTTATGCAAAGAGTTTTTTTTTTTTTTTTTTTGATTTGCAAATAATTAAATATTTAATTTTGTTTATCATTTGAATAGGTTGCATTGATATGATAAAAAAAATTGCAATATTTTTGATATTTTAATTAGCATTCCATCTAAACTGTTACTTTCTTTTTTTTTTTTTAATTTAATTTATATGAAATAAGAAATTTTTGATTTTTTTTTTTTTTTTCAGAGATTAAGTTTGTATAATTTAATGTCAATAATTAGAAAATGTATGAAATATTGTATTTGCAAGTAATATGAAGTAAACAGAAATGTGTATTTAAGTAATTAATAACTCATTTACTTTTATTTTAATAATTTTAATATGAATGGTGAAAATAAATTCTGTTTGTTTGTGTATCAATTTTACAAGTATATTAATTTTTGTGAAATTTTTTCCCATTTTTATCATTTCATAAGTGCTCAATTTAATATTTCACATTTCAGAAATGGATTTCATCGTTTTAAATTTCTCTAAATTTTTGTCACGAATATTTGATATAATTGAATTTGTGTCAATTTTGTATATTTTGCTTTTTTTTTTAAAAAAAAAAAAAAAAAAAAAAAAAAAAAATGAAATATATCAATTGAGTGTGCAATGTGTCGATTACCATTTGATTGAAATGAAATTGTAAAATTAAAAATGAGAAATGATAGTTAGATTAATTTGTAAACAAATGTTGAGAAGAAGTTATGGCATACATTTCTGCGACAAATTATAAAAAGAAATTGAAATGATAATAGGTTAAAGGTCAATGTAATTAAAGGTTCTAATTTTAGCAACGAAAACATGAAAAAAATTCAATTGACATAATTTATCATTATGATAAATTTAAAAATATTTGTCAACTTCAACCTTCTTAATTTCATTTTAATTCCACATCAACAATTCTGTCATTTATTATTAAATTAATTCTCAATATGTTTTTTCTTTGGTTTGCAAAAAAAAAAAAAAAAATCTTTTTATTGTTACTTATAAATTGTCAATTTTCTTTTTCGTTTCCAATTACAAAGATTTATAAAAATTGAAAAAAAAAAAATATTATAAATGCCAATCAAAATTTATAATTAGAAACAAAAAAAATAAACAAAAATTAAATTTCAATAATTTCATTACATCTAATAATTCATTTAATAATTGTTTTTTTATTTTTATTTTCACTCCAGGTGAATTTTTTTTTTTTGAATATAATTAAATTTAAATTAGGTAGAATAAAATTAACTGATTTTGATTTTTATTCTCAATTTATATTCAGATAATAATTAATCTAATTATCATTTTTGTATTACTTATCAAAATATATATGCTAAAAATTTTTTTCTTCCTTCTTCCTCATTTGACACAAATCGATGTGACATTGTGTGTTTACACCTAAATGAATATAAATTTATATTTTTGTTAGGGAAAATAAAATATAAACATTGTATGAAGACAAAAGCGCAAAATGTACAATGGATTAAAATGAAATTTTTGTGCAATTCTTTTGCATCTTGTTTATGAATGAATGAAAAGAGATGGAGGAGGCTGAATGAATGAATGAATTGAAATACCAACAACTACCATTGATACAATTACCGCCACCACCATTACCATCACCATCACCGCCATCGCTATCGTCATCATCATCATCATCATCATCACTACCAATACCGCCACCGCCACGGCCACCATCTATTCATCATCTATCTATGCTCACACTGTATCATACATTTTATTTTGTTCGTTAAATTAAAACTAGTTTCGCTCGTGTTTTGCTCCTTTACGGTTGAAAATTTCATCTATCATTCTTTCATCTTACATTCTCTCCCTCTCTCTCTCTCTCTCTCCCTCTGTCTTCATCTCTCTCCCTCTCTCTCTCTTTATGTCTCTTTTAAACTTTCAAATATATATATAAATATCTTCACCATCAATGTATAATTTTTATTTTTCTCAAATCTTTTTTTTTTTTTTACAGTAAGAAAAAATTTGTTGTATTTTTTGTTGTTAAAAAGAATTGTTCAATTCCTTCTTCAAAATGTTTTCGTTTTTTTTTTTTTTTTTTTTAAATTTTTTTGAAAAAAAAAAAAAGAAAGGAAGTATTAATTTTAAAAGGATTATCAAACAAATATATTACAAATTTAAAAGTTTTCTTCAATGTTTTCTTTAAAAGTTTTCAATGTTTTCTTCTCTTTTCATTTCATCCAGTAATTTCTTAATGTTTTTTTTTTCTCTCAATTAAATAACATTTTCATATTTACGATCAATCAGTCAATCAATCAATCAATCAATCAATCAATCTCAGTTGTCCTCTTCCTTCGATCGTTTATATATTACAAATTCAAATACTTTTTATATTTAATAATTCAATTATTATTATTATTATCATTACTATTATCATTATCACTATATTAGATCACTTAACAATTTTATTTGATCTTGAAAAAAAAAAAAAAATCAGTCAATCAATCAATCTCAATCTTGCAAAAATTTCCCCCTTTATTGATATACCCCTATTACTTTTACTGATTTTACTGATTACTGATATACCCCTTTTACTTTTGGTGATAAATCTTTTTTTCATATCATTATCAATTTATCTTTCATATTTTTGTTTTTATTTGTTTCACTAACAATAAATAAAGTTAATTAATATTAAAAATTTGCAATAAATTACATTCAATAAATTCAATAATTTATGCTCAAATTACAACTTTTTATTGTTGTTCAGTAATATATGATAAAGTGATAAACAATGAATTATCAATGCAAAGAATAGTATTAATAATTTTTAAAAGTAATATTAAATGGTAAATGATAAGTAATGTAAAATAAATTTGGACAGGTAATTTTTTTTTTTTTTTGAATTAATGAAAGAAGGAAAAAGAAGATAGAATAGGTAATATAAGAGAAACCTGTTTGCCAGAAGAAATTTAATAAACTAACTAACTGGTTGATGTGATTGAAGTACGAAATGTATGTAAGTTGCACATCAAATTCATTTGCTGTTTATTAATTCAAAAAATTTTTCTCTTCTCATTTTCTTCAGTATTTTGTTTTCTTTGAAATAATTTTTATTGTTGTAATATTCAATTATTACTTTCATCTATTTACCAATCTTAATTCTTTCCTTAATTAAAATTAATTAAACGATTTTATTAACATCTATGATAGTTTGTTTATTATTTTTGATCAAAGAATAATAATTATCAGTTATGTGACATGTGATATGACTGTTAATCACTCACATCACAAATATTTACTTAAATTTTTTTTTTTCAACTTTATTCTCACTCACTTATAATTTATTCAATTTGCTGCTCTACTTGTTTACTATTATTCAAATGAAATGATAAACAAAAGCTTCCTTCTTCCAATATATTTATGTCATTTCTCTTTTGTCACCCATTTTCTTCCCATCTTTTCTTAAATTTTTATTTACAACTGTTGAATTTGTCTTCAATGACACAAACTGATGACACTAATTTATTTAAAACAGCGATTATATTTTAACAGTTTATCTGTAACAATTGCGCCATATATTCATTTACGCTTGCACTGAAGTATCATTTCAATGAATATAAATAAAAATTTCATCCATATTTTAAATATTATTGCAAATATGAATAACTTATAACTGAAAAGTAGAAATAATTTACTTGAACAATAAACATAATTATAATATTTCATTTTCATGTGGAACTATTCAAAAATGAATGAAACATTTAAAATTCTATTAAAATTTATTTCAACTATTATTACTTTAATGGAATATTGTAAAGAAAAAAAAAAAAAAAAACGAAGGTTTAATCTATCATAATTTAACTAATTTTATTTCATTTATTTTTATGCTAAATTATTTATGTTACAAATTATTAATGATATTATTACAATTTAACAAATTATTATTCATATATCTTTGAATTCTTGAAAAGATAGAAAAAAAAAATTTTTTTTTGTTGCATAAAATTTTTGTTATAAATAATTTTGATATATTTATAATATTTATTATTCTTTGTAAGCTAAATGAATGATCTTTTCATATCATATCATATCAGTTAATTTATGATATTTCTTATCAAATTATGGATGATGATAAAAAGGATGACCTTTTATTGATTACATCATTTATCATACTAAACAATTTAACTTTACAGTGTAATGATATCATTACATTTTAACAAATCAGTAAATTAGAAATAAATTTTTTGAAATCGATCAATTAACCAATTTTTGTCCTTCATTTTAACAAAATCACTTTTTTTTTTTTTTCTTTCATTTTTCGAAAATACATTGAAATACAACGATCATTTTTCTCGTCCATATTCATTGACAAATTACAAATGAACTTTTCATCAATTCAACCATCTTCTTCTCATCAACATTTTTGTCTTCTTTTTAAAATTTCTTCTTCTTCTTCTCCTCTTTTTTATTCCTGTATATATGTCATTAAATTAGAAAAAAAAGTCCATTTCTAATTTACAAAAAAAAAAAAAAAAAAAGGAAAAATTGTCAAATATATTTTTAAGATGTAATAATATCTCATAGAATTGAAATGAGTAATTTTGCTTTTTTTTTTTTTAAATTTAGTGATGTGATTGAAATTTTATACGCATCAAAAGTTTACATTTAAATTCTTTTGTAATATATATGCAAGTGCTATGATTTTTCTTTTCTTTTTCTTCATGTTAAAAGAAAAAGGGAAATTTTTAAATTTCTATCTTTAAATTTTTCAGTTTAAAATTTAATTTTATCTCAGAATTTTTCACAACAATAACAACAAAAAAAAAAAAAAAAAAGATGATGCATATGCATACATTTGAATAATGTTTAATGTTAATAATTTGTATTATTATTATTTTTTGTTCGTCAAAATATTTTATTATTATTAATTTTTTAAAAAGTAAAAAAAAAAAAAAGAAACAACGAATTTTTTTTTTTTTTACTTTTTGAAAAAGTTTTTCCTCAACACATTATTATTTACGAAGTTATAATAATGAAGAAGAATTTAAAATATAATTAAAATTTTTTATTTTTTATTTTTTTATTTTTTTTTTTTCAGATGACAAAAATTTTTGCATTAAGTTCAAATGTGAAAGAAGGCGATGAAAAATCAAAAGAAATGGAAGGAATTACAATATCATCGACAACACCACAAACTACCCTTTATCCTATTACTCTTCCTATCTCATCCATTGGTATTTCAATAATTATTTTTTTATTTTTTTAAATTAATAAATAAATAATTTTTTAAAATAATAAATTATTCATATTATTGTTTATTCGTCCTAAAATTAAAAATAATAATGATTATTTATTTTTAAAATAATAATAAAATATGCTATGCTATGTTTTTCTTCTTTTTTCCTCTTTAGTATTTATTTATTCATCCTAAAATTAAAAATAATAATAACAATAATAATAATAATAATAATAAATCACAATAAATAACAACAACAAACAAACATGACAATATTTTATTATTATTATTATTATTATTATCATTTTAAACCTGAGAAATGTAAGAATTTTTCAATTATGGATAGATGCATTAATGAAAAATTTATCTATTGTTGAATGTTTGTCTAAAATTTCATTTAATTTTCATATCTATTTTAGAAATTCTATTATTCACATTGAGTAATATTAAAATTACTATTAATTTTAGATATGAAAATTAAATGAAATTTTCATTCATTTAATCATTGTCAAAAAAAAAAAAGAAATAAAAAATCAAATTTTTGAAATTACAAAAAAAAAAAAAAAAAATCATTAACATTACTTATTATTAATAATACTTTAATTAAAAAAAAAAAAGAGCGAAAAAATTTTGAAGAAGGAAAATTTTAATTTTTTGTTGAAAATAATTTTAAAAACTTATTTCTACAGTATTTATATGAGCCAAGTTTGCTGCTTGGCTCATATAAAAAAAAAAATTTTTTTCCTAGGCTTTTTTAATTTTATTTCCAATATTTCAGTTGCTAAGAAAAGATATGGTACATCACATTTATTCCTAATTTTACTATCTTTAATAACAATTTCAATTCTTTTCTATATGATTCCTGATTTCTTCTATAAACGAGTTCATCATCTTGTCGTAAGTTCTTTTTCTATTCTAATTTTCATTTCAATTATTTACAAAACAAGCAAAAAAGAAAGAGGGAGAGAGAGAGAGAGAGAGAAATACTTTGAAATTTGCTTTTGGCAAATTGAATTTAAAAAAGCAAACAACAACAAAAAAAAAAAAAAAGAAAATGGTGACTTGTCCTATGATTTAATCTTAATTTTACAAATTTTTTCAATGAAATTGAATTACAGTATTCAATAATTTAATCGTATATATATATTTTTTTTTTATTTTTTCTACTTTTTAGTTTTCAAATTTTTTTTTTTTGAGAAATGCAAATACAAATTGTAAATATTTTATACAAATTTCATTTACCCTAGGTAAACATTTAAACATTTTTACCTTTCTGGCTCATAAAACAAGTTAAATAGCAATCTTCTTTTAATTTATTTTATTCGTACTACAAAAAAAAAGGAAATTTTTTTTTTTTTTTTTTTTAAAGTATGCATAAACTTTTGATATAATTAAATTTTATTTGCATAATATCAAAGATTACAAAAATTAAAAAAAAAATTTTTTTTTTTTTTAAATTTTTAGTGAAATTAAAATTTTATTATTTGATATGTTTCATCATCTAAAGTATATATCTAATGCTAATAATAGTTATTAAAAGTAAATATATATATTTTTTTTAATAAATATATTTCATTTTTTTTTTTTTTTTTTCATATGTCATTAAAATTAATTGCAATAAAATTGCACCAAAAAAAAAAAATTACTTTTTTTTGCAGTCAAATGAAGTTACCGTAAGTGGTTCAACGTCACCATGGATACTTCAACCAGATAAATTTGATATGACAGAAGACGATGATACACATATTTCATCTAAATTTGATTCATTTGATGTATCCGATAAAATGAATCGAATGAATTATCAGAATAGAGATATGATACAGCGTAATCATGGTGATAATCGTAGTATCAAAAATCAAGATGACAGTGAAAATACAGTGACAAATGATAATGAAGAAATGAAACAACAGGATAATATAGCAGTACCTAATCGTATTGAAGCAATGAAAGCGGTCAACAAATTTTTTTATATTTCAATTTTTTATAAAATTACAAAAATAAAAAAATTATTTTAACACTTTTTTTTTTTTTTTGTAACAATAAAATAATATTAAATTATATTTTCGTAATAATTTTTCACTTAATTAAATTTATTTACACTTTTTTTTTTTTTTTTTTGAAAATAATTTTTAGATTACAACATTATTGGAAATTCCTGGTGTTCAACGAGTGACTGTTGTTCAAAATAATGATAGAATACCTGAAAATATAATGATGAAACCTGAATTTGTTGTACCTGATGGTTAGTTTTAGTTTTGGTTTTTTTTTTTTTTTTTTTTAAAACAAAAATAAATAAAATAAAATGAGCTTAAAATTAAAAATAATATTTAATCTGAGTTTAGCAAATAATAATTTAGTTTTAATAAATTGATTGTTTGTTTGGTTTAACTGAGAACTTCAGAAAAAAGCAATAATCTAGATGACATACCGCTATCAATTATATCATCAGCGAAAAGTTTGTCTCAATTGCGAGGTATCATTTCATATTTTATTATCAGTGATTATCATTTATGCTTAGATGAAATATACAGCTATTAAGCTAAACTAAAAAACTTCCTTAATTGTTACGGTGAAATCTTTACTTTATTTATTAATTATATTTTATAAATTTGGAATTATTTTTATTGCAAATTATTACTTTCAATTTTCAGTTCCACCTCCACCACAAATGGAAATGAAAGAATGGGAATTGATGAAGTATGATGAGTTAAAAAAATTTTTTTTTTGCTAATTAAATTCTGACATATTTTTGTTACTTTTTACTTAATATTTTAATTGAGTTATTGTATTCATTTTATATTTAAATTATTAAATATGTTTTATATGCTGAATTAATATATAAATAAAGATTGCCTAGATTTTTTTTTTTTTTTTTTTAATAATATCTTTTTAAAAATTAATATTTAAGCTATCGTCGAGCAATAAGAGAATGGCTTTTGCGTCGTGAAATGTTCAGAAGACGAATGTTAGCTGAAATGGAACGAGGTTTATTTAATTTTTCTTTTTTTTTCTTTAAAAAAAAAAAATTTTCATTACTTAAAATTATATAATCAATATGATTTGATTAATTTATATGAAATAAATACAACTAATATTTATAAATTCCCCCTTTTTTTTTTTTCGTTTTTTAGTGAAATTAAACATAAAAAATGTGTACAATGTAAATTTTAATTAATTCAATATAATAATAATAAAGTTTATTTGGAAAAAAAAGAAAAGAAAAAAAGGTTTTATTTTAGAGCGTCAAGAAGCAGCGGAGCGCAAAATGTCACAATTTATTATGGGACTTCAACTACAGGAACAACATGAATTACCACAAGTTGAACAATTACAATCAATGCTACAAATGCTTGCATTAGCACGAATGAATTCAATGCCAAATGCGCCAAATGCGCCATGGATGAATAATGTACAATCATCAATGGATGCAAATCAACGTAATGCGCCAATGATAACTATGATATCACCGCCTGTGCTAATACGTCGAATTCCTCCAATGTATCCTTTCATAACTCCCAAACAACAACAACAACAACAACAACAACAACAAGAGCAACAAGAGCAACAACAACAACCGGCAATAATTCCAATCAAATTAATGCCACCACAAGTAATTTAAATTCTTAAATTTTATTTAAGTTTTAATTAATCATAGATAAAATATTAATATTAAAATATACTCATTTTATTTATTTTTTTTTTCAAATTTAACAGATCCTGAACCGAGAAGAGCCAATAATTCAACCAATTGGATTAAATTCAGTAAAGCCAAACATTACACCGTTGCAAATTCGTGATGATACTATTAATAGGTATTAAATTGAAATAAATTTTTATTTCATCCTTATTTAATCATTTAATTTTTGATACTTTGTTGATATTATTGAGTTTTTCTTTTTTTTTTTTTTTTCTTAATGAAATATAACAAAGATATACATTGAAAGAAGAAGTATTTTTCATTAGAAAAAGTAAGAGAAGAAAGAAGATTGAAATTTATTTCCTTTATTTTAATTTTTTTTTTTTTTTGATTTTCATATTATTATCAAAATTAATGCAGAAGTAGATAATAATTCTAGGCTTGATTTGGAGCAGAAGAAGATACCTGTACCTGTACCCGTATCTGTAGTTGATCAGGTAAAATTTGTGTATTTATTTTACTGCTTTCCTTTTTTTTTTTAAAGTATTCTATTTGAAAAATGCTTTTAAATTTTTCATATCCAGTTTCAATAAATTTTTTTTAGCCAGTACCAATGACACTTGATGGAACTCCAGATCGTGATATTATCTTTAAAGAATTACGATCACGTGCACAGGTAGGTATATTTGATTTTATGAGCAAATTTTTATTCACTAATTATCAATTATCATCAATTGTCTTTCTTTTTTTTTTAAGTGAGTAATTTAATTTTTGCTAGAATAATTCAAACATTTGAATATTTTTAAATATTAGTGAGGAGGAGAAAAAAAAAAAGGTGGAAATGGAAAAATATTGAATGATGAAGAGAAGAGAAGAGAAATCAGAATATATCATATTTTTCATAATTTCAAAAAAAAAAAAAAATATTTCTTTGATTATTTATATTTGTATTTTAGATGCAACAACAAATGTCACAAAATGCTCTACCAGCAGCAATGATACCACCTTTAATTCCAAATATTGTTCCAGCAACACAAATTAATTCAGATGAGATTTTTCGTGAAATGCAACATCGAGCTCTTCAAATGCAAATTGAGCAAGATCGATTAGAATCTGAACAACAACGAGTAGAAGTAAGAAAAGAGTTGAATTGAGTTCATATATATTAATTATTAAATTAAAGATCAATGATAATATTTGTGATCTTTTTTTTTTTTTTTTTTCTTTCATATAAATCATTAAGGAATGATGATAATATTTAATTGATCATTTGATAATGTGATATTTTAGTATGAGACAAAATATCAAATAAATTCAATTTTTCAATAATCAATATTTAATTTAAAGAGAAACAAATAAGTTGCATTTTATTGTTGCAGAAAGAAAAAAGTTTGGATGCTGAAATACCAGTGCTAATGATTGCTGATACATTTCCGAGACGTTCGATTGAACCGATAACAGAACGAACATCAGATGAAAATGCTGCTGAAATAACAACAACAACAACAAAAACAAAAACTACTACTACTGCTACTGCTGCTGCTAATTCTGAACTGATAACAAAAGATGATAATTCTGGTAGCTCATCGGAATCTCTTTCAGCTTTTCTCAAGTATATATTATCTCTTTTTCTTCTTTCTATAATAAAAATTAAATTTTTATTCATAAAAAAATTCTTTTTTTTTATTTTTCATAATTTTGAAATACTGAAATTTAATTCTTGAGTTGAATTTAATATAAAATATTAAATTTAAATGAAAAAATTGCAGCATTTTCAATAAAGGAATACAAGGAAGTGAAATTACCAATTCTCCTAACAAAGAGCAAAAAATAACCATAAAAAATGATGATATTAAAGTTGAATCGGAAGTAAGTTAATTAATTAATTAATTAATTAATGGCAATAGAATAGTAACAGAGAAATTTGAGAGAAATTTTATTTCATTTATTCTGTTTTAGCATTTAGCGGAAGAAAATACATTTGCTGATATACCAGTAACTGGAAATGATGGAACTGAATTAATTATAAAGCCAGATGAAACTGTACCACAAGTTAATTTCATTCAAGGTTTTTCTTTTTCTTTTTTTAAAATTTGCTTTAATTTTCAAAATAATTTCGGATAAAGTTAGCTTATATAAATTTCGTCAAAAAAGACAAAAAGGAAAAAAAAAAAACATTATGATAATTTATTCAAATAAAATGAAATATTATCTTTTAAAAATTTAATTGGAAAAATTTTATTCAAATAAATTGTTTAATTCAGAATTTGCTACAACAGAAGCTCCAGCAAATATAGATACCTCAGATGAGGCTCATTCGGAAATGTTCAAATCAGTGGCATTTCAAGGTGAATCAGATGATGTGCACAGTAATGATATGTTGGGCACTCCAATAAGATTGCTCCAAACTTCACAGATTCAATAAAAAAAAAAGAAAAAAAAAAAAAAATTGAATCTGTATAAATGAAAAAAGCATAATTTCTTATTTTACATAAAAATTTTTTTTAAATTTAAAAGAAATTATGATATAATATATTTTTATTCAAAATAATTCTATCATATATGTCAAATTTCTTTTAAGCTATTCAATGTTAATAAATAAAGCAGTTTTTATTCGATACAATTACTAATTTAAATAATATTTGATCAAATACAATAACAATTTGTAAATTTTTCATATATTTCAATGTTTTAAATGAAATAATTTTTGAAGCTTTCTTTTTTTTTTTTTTTTTTTTTTAAATTAAAATATATTGAATACATGAAAATAATATGCTTAGTTGTTGTCTTTGTTCGTGTAAAGATTTGAACAAGCAGATAAAATGGCATATTTAATGAGCAGATCAAGTGCAATGCATATAAAATAATCAATGAAGTCCAAAATATATTTATTTTTGATTGAATTATATTTTTGTAACATTTTTGGCACTTAATTAAAACAGAATTTAGCAAAATAAAAAATTTTTTCAGCGCTAAATTTACAAAAATTCTAAGAAATTGTCGAAATTTCCTAAAGATGCATATCTAAATTTGTAATTAAAATTAATTTTATGGTCAAAAATTAGTTGAAATCATTACTAATTGCAAATATTATTAATTTTTACATTGTAAAGTTACTTCAAATTGAATTTATTAAACTTTTTTTTTTCTGCATAAATTGTCAAATATTCATGACAGAATGTAGGCAGATCAAGTGCAATGCATATAAAATAATCAATTAAGTCCAAAATATATATTTTTTTGATAAATTTCTAATTAAAATTAATTTTATGGTTAAAAAATAATTTAACTCATTACTAATTGCAAATATTATTAATTTTTACATTGTAAAGTTACTTCAAATTGGATTTATTAAACATTCTTTTTTGTGATCTTTACAGTTAGTAGAATTTTATAAAATCAAAAGTTTTCCTTAAATTTTTTTTTTTTTTAAAAAAAAAGAGATTGAAAGTTGCGTTATTAGTGAGATTTTTCTCCTAAACAAATATTTTCTGACCTTTCACTTCTTTACAATTAAAAAATGTTACTACAACTTAGAAAAATTTTAATTACTTTCTTTGCAACATTATATTAATTTTTTCTTGATGACAATGTTCAGGTACTCTCCTTTTCCCCTGAAATATTTTAAAAATTTCACATTTTAAAAAACTGTTTCAAAATTTCATTATGATTATTATTGCACTTTTCTTTTACTAGAAAATTTATTGAGTAATAAAATTAATTACATTTAATGAAATGAAAATAATAATTAAGCCTAACAAATATAGCATTGCATCCTACTTTATCTGTTAAGAAAAAAAATATAAAATGCAGGCCTAAACAAGAAATATTAACATTAATATCATAAAATATGAGTAATCTAAATTGTATAGACAAAAATAAAGAAAAAATTGAATAGTTCAAATTTCATATTCACAAATAATTAAACTGAAATTTCAATTTCCTAAAAAATTTATTATTGAGTGAAAAAGAAATTAGATAATTCCATTGATGATAGCAAATATTATTTATTTAAATATAAAATCAAATTAATAGTGCTTTTCTCGAATATCATGATAAATAGCACAAAAATTGCAAATCATTTCACTTTTCCTGAAAATATTTTAATGAATTTCCTTATTACATACATTTTTATCTATTATTATTAATATTAAAATAACTGCTTTAATAATTTAAATTATCGTAAAATTAAAAAAGAAATTATAGGTTCCACAATTCCAAATTTTACTTTCATTTTAATTTAACTTTAACTTCTTTATTTTGCATTAATATAGTTCTCTCACTTATAACAATATAATTGTGTATGACTCAGAAGTATTAAATAGACGAAGTAAAAAATTCCACTGCGCTAAAAACAAAATTTCAGGAAAAGTAGTTTAAATGACACTTATAAGTCTGTTTTATAAGTCTTTTTCTATTAGCAAATATAATATACAGAAGATATCACTCTGATATCACTCTGATATCACCAACTTTCACCCTAATATCACCAACTTTCACCCTAATATCACCAACTTTCACCCTAATATCACCAACTTTCACCCTAATATCACCAACTTGCACCCTAATATCACCAACTTTCACCCTAATATCACCAACTTGCACCCTAATATCACCAACTTGCACCCTAATATCACCAACTTGCACCCTAATATCACCAACTTGCACCCTAATATCACTCTGATATCACCAACTTGCACCCTGATATCACCAACTTGCACCCTGATATCACCAACTTGCACCCTGATATCACCAACTTGCACCCTGATATCACCAACTTGCACCCTAATATCACCAACTTGCACCCTAATATCACCAACTTGCACCCTAATATCACCAACTTTCACCCTAATATCACCAACTTGCACCCTAATATCACCAACTTTCACCCTAATATCACCAACTTTCACCCTAATATCACCAACTTGCACCCTAATATCACCAACTTTCACCCTAATATCACCGATTTTATGTCTTATTTGTTTTATCATAATAACACAAATGCCGTAATGCTAATAAATGAATCCTAGAAATGCTAACTGTTATTCAATCATTCCATTTAATTTATTTTGCATTTTAGTTTGTTTCATTGATTTATGTTAGCCTTCTCTAATAATTATTTAATCTCAATTAAACATTTGGCTATAGCATTATATTTCCTATAATATTTATTATTCAATAATTTTGATTTTAGCCAGAAATGAAAGTATAATTATGTTGAATGAGATTACCTCACATATACTAATAACTCGAATTTTTCAAAAAAAGAAAATTAAAAGATATAAAAATCAAAAATTAGATGAGAATAATTAAGCATACCATAAATTGAGGTAATAATGGTTTACGATCTAAAGTAAATGCTAATGCATCATTATATTCGTTGCGACGTATAAAATTTGTTAATAATTGCAAAATTGGACCAGCACGATATACTGGAACCATATGACCTGCACCCTATAATAAGTAAATTAGTAATTATTAAAAAAATTGAATGAAATTTTTTTAAGTGAAAAAAACGAGGTAAACTTATTTTAAATAAATATTACATATAAAATTAGCTAACATTTTATGCTTTTTACGCATTTTTTTTTTTTGAGTAATAGTTTTATATTATTGCTATTTTTATTTTATTATAAAGAATTAAATTTAATATTTATTAATTAATCAATCAATAAGATAAGAAAAGTAACCTTAACAGTAGCTAAATCAATTGTTAATTCATTTTTCTCAAAACGTTTTATATAACCACCAATTTGTGGCGCTGATTGCTTTTTTAATTGATAAAGCCAGGAATTTTTTTCATTCATATTCTGAAATATTCACACAATAAAGCATTTCTTTGATTAAATTTAAAAATGTATTAATTATTTTAACATCAATCCAATAATTTATCATTTTCACATTCCTCAAACTATTATTGTCTTATTGTGATCAAAATTCTTTTTATCATCATTTTAAATTTATTTTAAAATTTTCACTTTTAATATTGTTTTTTTTTTTTCTTAAATCATATAATTTTGAATGATAATATTTTACATTGTTAAAAGTATTTGGTACAATCTGGTAAAATAATAACTTTAATTAAAAATTTGGTAAAATAGTAACTTTAGTATTATTAAATACTACCATGCTAAAACTTACCATAGCATTAGAATTTGCAAAATTTTCCATAAACCATTCACCTTGCAAAAAATTGCATGCAGTATCTAAGTCACCATTATACAGTAGAACATTTAATGAATAATTACTGTTAAGTAATTGTTGAAAGAGTAATGTTGTATCATTGTATAAACTATCATAAGTAATATTTAAGCTGAAAAAATAAGGCTAAATTTTTTTTTTATATAAAAAGTTTTGTTAAGAAATAACAATTATTAAAAAAAAAAAAAAAAAAAAAAAAACGAAAGAGTATTTGATAATTTTTAATTTTAATTAAATATATTAATTAAAGTATATGATAGATTAATTTTAACATACTTGCAAAGTTGATATGATGGAATATAATTTGGTATATGAAGTGCGTCACGTACGTAAGGTTGATTGAGATATTGCGTGGTACTTCCATACATATAGCATGGAAAACCACCAAGTGAATCAGTTGAATGTGTATAAATAGTTCGTGGCTATAAATAAAAAAAAATTAAACGTTTTTTTTTTTTTCTTTTGTAAAAAATTTAAAAAAAAAAAAAAAATTTATATTGCTAAATGTTGAAAAAAGAATTTTTGTTTTAAATAGAATAAACGTAAATAAATATGTGAATACCACGTACGTAAATTTTGAAGAACATAATGTTTTAAATTTGATAAAGATATTATTTAAAATTTGTTTAATTTATTAATTTAAAATTTGGCAAAGATATTAAAGATATAATTTTAAATTTAGTTGAAATTTTAATAAACATTATATTATTTTATACATATATCTATTTTTTAAATTTTAAATATAGAAAACATAAAGAATAATATTATAGCTTGAAATGATAATTGTTTTAAAATAATCTTTGCAGGTGTATTAACTTACCTGTATGTATGGAGTATCAATATTAACTTTACTTTGCATTAGTTGTGTTTTGATTTGAAGTTTTTTCCCTGAAGATGATACTGCACTAAGTAACAAATGTTTTTGTTGATTATTATTGTTTACCGGAAAGACCGGTTCAAATAACTGATAGCAATCTTGATGTAAATTATATTCATCATTCCTGAAAATAAACATTATTAATATTGTATTAATTTCATAAGTAATTTGAATAATTTTAGAATGATAACAAATTACTAATATTTAAAATTTCAAAATTTCCAAATTTCAAAAACAGAAACTTCAAAATGATCATATTAGTAATCAGAAGAGACTTCTAGCATATAAACAAAAATGATCATTTTAATTGGAATAAATAATTTAATTAATATAGACATCTTAAATGAAATAAATGTTTTAATTCGAATAAACATCTTAATTAAAAGAAACTTTTTGAATATGTAAAAAAAAAAAAAATGAATTTCACAAAAATGTTATAAAAGCTATCATATAATATATAGTGCATTGAAAAAAAAAATAATCATTTCATAATAAAAACAAAAGAAAAGAAAAAAGTTCAATTACTATTTCTTATTTCTTTTTAATTTTTAAATTTAATTACTACTTCTTCAAAACTTTTTTAATTTTTAAAAAATTAATTTGATCATGTTAAAAAGTTTTTTCTTTTTTTTTTCAATGCTACAAAAAAAAAAAAAAAAAAAAAACGATAAATGTTAAATGATAATTTAAATGTTAATGGTAATTTGCTAATAATTCAAAAATAAATAAATAAACAAAAAAACAAACAAACAAACATTGAAGTTAGAAAATAGTTAAATGCAAGATTGCTAACTAATTCAGCACATGTGGCATTTGCATTAGCATTTGATATCACATTTCCAGCACTATCAATATCAATGTAATCATCAAATTGACATTCTATCGTTGGCTTATCATCGTATCGTTGTGGACAACATTGTTGTAATTCATCCCAAATACTTTTTTAAAAGAAAAACAAAAAATAAAAATAAAAAAAAAAAAAATGAAAAATTTATTTTCTCAAAATTTTCATCTCTTTTACATAATTATTTTTACTTACTATAATTCATAAATAGAACAAAAAAAAAAAAGAATTTATATTTTAATTAATTGCTATATAATAAAATTTTAATAAAAATAAAAAAACAAATCAAAGAATTTACTTTTTATCATAGATTCCATGAAAATGCATAAAATCAGCAATTGAACGAACCTAAATTATTTATATTTTTTGCATTGTTTTTGTTTGTTTGTTTTTTTTTTTTTTTTTTTTTTTTTTTTTAAGAATAATAAATTCTATTCACTTTTTTTTTTCACTTTATTTATTTCTACTTTCAATTTCAAAAAAAAAAAATTAGTTTTCAAAATGAATTTTATTTTTTTTTTTTTTTGTTCTAATCTATTTAACAAATTTTATTTTCTAAATTAGGAAAATGAAAGAAAAAAAAAAAAAACAAAATTAATAGATAAGAATAAAAATTAACAAATAATATTAGCAATAAAAATCAGAAAAAAAAAAAAACTAAAATAAAGTAAATAAAATTAGTAAACTAACATCACTGATAGCACTCAAATAACCATTACCAATAATCATTCCTTTTAAATTCATTTCTACATTTTGTTTCTAAAAAAATATAATTTTTCAGCAAATTTTATGAAAAAAAAAAAAAAAAAAACAAAATGATTTGGGCATATTGATTAATTAAACTTAAATAATTCACATTTCTATTCACTACTAATTTAACTATAATATTAATTGCAAAAAATAATAAATCGATCAGAAAAAAAAAAATATATTAAATAGAATTTTATCAAAAATTTTATCTAAACTGTTGTTAATGCTAAATAATCACTGATATGCTTTTTATTCATACTTCTTCTGGATAGAATAAATGAAATAAGAATTAAAATAAATGAAATATCGATTAATTCACAGATCATTTCATCTTTATTCTATTCATGTAACTATTTGAAATTAATAAAATGTATGCAAATTATTAGCAACAACAATTAATTTAATATTTGTAGCTAAATTACTAGTTAATTAGTTGCTAAAATTTAGAAACACTAATAGCTAATTAATATCTAAAATTTCAAATGCACTACTAGCTAATTAGTTGCTAAAATTTTAAATGCACTACTAGCTAATTAGTTGCTAAAATTTTAAATGCACTACTAGCTAATTAGTTGCTAAAAGTTAGAAATACTAATAGCTAAAATTTTAAATGCACTACTAGCTAATTAGTTGCTAAAAGTTAGAAATACTAATAGCTAAAATTTTAAATGCACTACTAGCTAATTAGTTGCTAAAAGTTAGAAATACTAATAGCTAAAATTTTAAATGCACTACTAGCTAATTAGTTGCTAAAAGTTAGAAATACTAATAGCTAAAATTTTAAATGCACTACTAGCTAATTAGTTGCTAAAAGTTAGAAATACTAATAGCTAAAATTTTAAATGCACTACTAGCTAATTAGTTGCTAAAAGTTAGAAATACTAATAGCTAAAATTTTAAATGCACTACTAGCTAATTAGTTGCTAAAATTTAGAAATACTAATAGCTAATTAATAGCTAAAATTGAACTTGAATTTTTTCAACGATATATGCTGTAAGTGTTGAAACATAAATGCCACCATATGATTCACCAGCAATGTACAAATCATTTGTTTTAAAATTAGCAAATATTTTGAAAAAATCAACAATCGCTTCATATGCATCAATTGTTGTCTGAAAAAGAAAACAAAAACAAAAACAAAACAAAAGAATCATTTTTTTTTTTTTAAAGAAAAAAGTTAATATTTGTAAGTAAAAGATAAAAAATTTGATAATAGAAATGAAAAATTAATACCAATGTATCATTAAATTCAGTGCTTGGATTAATTGACCAATTTTGATATGAAAAACCAACTTGTCGTGGTGATTCAATGTATAAAATATTTGCTAACTAAAAAACAAAAAAAGAAAAATTTTACTTATTTTATTTATTACCAAAAAAAAAAAAAAAAAAAAAATTTATCAAATATTTCATATGTAAATTTTAAACATTTTAGTATTTATTCAAAATTATTGGTAAAAAAGAAATCATTATTAAAATTTTAATATGAAAAGGGAGAAAATTTCATTGTTAAAAATTTGCAATATTATGAAAAGAAGATAAAAGAGAGGGAAAGAGAAAGAGAGAGAGACAGAGAGAGAATAATTTATTACTTTATTCCATGAGAAGACATTTTCAAATAAAGTATTCCCATCAGAATTTAAATGAAATGGGCCATTTTCGATGAATAAACCACCAAGTGAGCTACATCCTGGACCACCATTGAACCAAATTATCAATGGATCAATGCTAGGTGTATTCTGTGATTCCACAAACCTAATTCATTCATCATTTTACAATCATTAATTTTAAAATTAAAAAAAAAAAAAAAAACATTTTAGAAAAGTTTATAGAAAATTTTTTTTTAATTAAATAAAAAATAGAGAATTGTTTTCACCAGTAATGAAGATAATTTCCTTTGGTAGCTCTTAAATAACCTGAATATTGATTGAAATTAATAGCATATGTTAAACCAGGTAAGTCAAATATTTGATCAGCTAATTGTTGTGTTGCTGAAATTACTGGAAAAAATTTATCTGAATTCTTTATCAGTAATTAATACTTATTTTAAATGATATATACTGATAAATGATTTATATATTGAAAGCATAGACAATATGGATGAAATATTTAATTTTTATTTTTTAAATATCAAAAATAACTTTTAATTTAGGGATAAAAATTTTAATAAAATTGATAACAATTATAAATGATTTATAACTGATAATGTAATATTTATTAATGATAATAATAAAAATATTTAAAATTTTATTTCACTTTAAAAAAAAAAAAAAGAAATTGATAATAAGATTAAGTAAACGCTTTCGCAAAGGTAAATTATCATAATACAAATGAATCGCTTCGCATTTTATTTCTTTTTCAAATTATCTTATCAATTCAAATTAATCTTTAATCATTTGATAGATAATCCAGTAAATATTTTATATCATTTAAAATTTAAATTAGCATTCTATTATTTAACTTTGTTTACTTACTTTGTTGTATTTTTTTTGGTTGATATTCTAAAAGTGTTTGACGTGGTAATGAAATTTCATCCATTTCATTGGATGAATTTTTATTTAAAAAATTAATAATCATTTGTAGCGCTGCTACTGGCTGATCTAAGCCTATATGATAACCAGCATCCTGTAATTAATTCATTACTTTTACAATTTGCGCATTTTTCAAATTTAATAAGTAAAAAATAAAATGCGCACATTTTCTGCTTTTTTTTTCTTCCATTTCTATCAAAAATTTTTTTTTCAATTCTACCACCAAATTTTATACTTTTCACAAATTTTATAAATTAATCACATAACTTAATTTTTAACCAATTTCATTCATTAATTGAATAAATTTTAACTCAAAAATCTTTTACTAATGTATTATTTGTTTAATTGGAATTAATTAATTTTGGGCGCAAAAGTCTTTTTGAAATGTAAATTATTTATTTGTTTTTTCTTTATTTATTTTTTTTTTTTGTATTGTTTATTTAAATTAATCATTATTGTTGAGATGACAAAATTCAAATTCTTTGTTAAATTAAATTACCTTTACTGTAAGAAGATGAATTGTTGCACCTGTAGGATTATATTTAAATAATTTTACAAATCCAGCATTCTCATTTAATGATTTCTTTGATTTCTGATATGTCCATGTATTTCGCATTTTTGTTACTGTTAAATTCATTTCGTTCGCAAATCGTTCAATAAAAATTGCATCTTAAAAATATTTTTAGTTTTAATTCATTATTAAATTTAATAAATTATTTTTACACTTACTCTTTCTTTCTCTGTTATATTATTTATTTAATTAAAAATTTTATATTTTGTCAGAAAAAAAAGAAAAAAAGAAAATTAACCTTATTGATAGTTTTTTGAAGCTAAAAATAAATGTTATTAACTGATTTAATAACTGATTTAAAGTTAAAGTACGATGAAAATTAAAAAATAAGATGAAAATACAAACTTGAAAGAAAATTGCTTTGTAAATGACTGTCACCATCGAATATAAGAATTTGAATTTGTTGATTTTGTTGAAGAATTTGTTGAAATAATGATGACATATTGGCAGAAATGTATGCATTATATGATAATGATGGACTAAAAATGAATTATTTTATTTCAATTTACAATTATTTAATTAATTTTCTTATCAATTTATCAATAAACAAAAATTTTAACACTTATAATGCAATTTTATCAAATTTCATTTCTCAAAATTTCAACTAATCTTTATTTCTTGTAATTTTCATCTTGATAAAAAAAAAAAAAAAAAAACTGATTATTATCAATAATAAATAGTTACATTACAATAATTAAAATAAATAAATTAATTTCTAAAATAAAAAATTAAAGAGAATAAAATTTTAGCTGAAAACATACTTGCAAAATTGATTTTCTGATATTATATTAGAAATATTCAACCATTGTTGTACTTTTTTAAATCGAAAATATTTGCTAATTGCATCATTTCTATAGCACTGATATGATGCGAACATATCTTTTGAATTCTAATTAAATAATAATTAATATAATTTTAAATTTGAAAAAAAAAAAAAGAGAAAAGAAAATTGAACAAAAGAAGAAAAAATATAAATGAAAAATTTAACAATCATATTTTAATTATTATTAAATAAATTTAAACACAATAAAATAAAATTGAAACAATTATAAACAAATGGATAAAATTTTTTTGGTTTTTTAAATTTTAAATTAATCAATTGATTAATGAATGTTAAATTATTTATCAGTAAATGTTGATTGTAAATTGAAATTTATTGTTTAACCTTTTCAATTTGTTTGCCATTATAATCAGTATCAATTAGATTATCATTACAACTATGATAAGTATTTAATGATAGATTCCTGTAATTTATAAAAGAAAAACATTGATGAATTAATTAAATTTTATTTTCAAATAAAATTCTAATCAAAATAAAATTGTTTTTTTTTTTTTTTTTTTTTAAATCAATCAATATTTATCAATTATTTAACACATAAACAACTGATTATTACAGTTATTCAATTCAACAACAACAACAACAAAAAAAAAAACTTTCATTAAATGTTTGATACAAAATATTAAAAACATACTTATGATTATTCGAGAATAATTCTATGATATTATCACTTATCACTGGTATATCACCTTATCAATTAGTAAAAATTTATTATAGTGTAAATTTGCAAAAAAAAAAAAAAAAAAAACCTATATATATTATTATTAATTTTTGCTTATGCAAAAAGAAAAAAAAAGTTATTCGAGAATAATTCTATGATATTATCACTTATTACTGATATATCATCTTATCACTTCTTATCATTTAGTAAAAATTTATTATTGTGTAATTTTGCAAAAAAAAAAAAAAAAAAAAAACTATGTCACATTATTTCTATTATTTTTTGCTGATGCAAAAAGGAAAAAAAAAAAAAAAAAAACATTTTTATATTATTTTTAACCATAAATTTTTATTTAATTATAAAATGAATTTTTTTTAAAAAAAAAAAAAAAAAAATTTAAAAATACCTTCGTTGTAACATTCCCTCTGTTATATATTTTGCAACAAGTTTTGAACATTTTGAATTCATTTTGGGAATAATATTATCATAATTATCAACTTTTATATACTCTATTAATTCACAAAATTCTTGATAAATACCATTTTCATCCATACAACATGGAATTAACTGATCCAATTCACTTAAAATATTCTTATTTTACCTGTATAATAATTAATAAATTAGCATGTATGATGTGTAATAATTAATACCTGTATAATAATTAATAAATTGTATAACAATTAATAAATTAGCATGTATGACGTGTAATAATTAATACCTGTATAATAATTAATAAATTGTATAACAATTAATAAATTAGCATGTATGACGTGTAATAATTAATACCTGTATAATAATTAATAAATTTGCATAAAGTATTATTAGTAAGCACAGGTAAGTATAATTTAAAATGAAATAAATAAATGAATAATGAAAAAAAAAAAAAAAGAAAAGAAAACAAACAAACATACATTTTACCAATTAAACCATTATAGTATAATTCATTTGGCATAATATTGATTAAAGTTTTATAATCTAATAATGAATTACCCAAACCGATTCCAATTAATTTTGGAATTTCAGAAAACTGAAAAATCAATTAGGCAAAAAAATTTATTGAAATTCAATTATTACTCAAAAATAAGAATAAAATTCAATTCAAAAACGATTTAGCAAACTTTTTTGATATCTCTAATAAACATCAAACATATATTGAAAAAAAAAAAAAAAATGCTGCCAAAAAGTTTTTAAAAAAATATATGGAAAAGTTTAAATATATAAAAAATTAAAATGTAGAAAGGTTTCCTTTTTTTTTCAAAAAAAAAAAAAAAAAAAAAGAGAAAAATGTGAATTAATTTGAATATAAAATTATAATATTAAATGGCAAATTAGTTTAAAAATTTTTGTTATTTAATTTAAAATATTAAAAAATATTCAAAAATGAGAATAAAAGTTGCAAAACGAATTTTTTTTAAAAGTTTTTTTAATATCAATAAACTTTAAATGGTATGTTTTTTTTTAAAAAAAAAGGAAAAAAAGAAGAACGTTTACCCCCTAAATAATTAAAATATAGAAAAGTTTTTTCTTTTTTTTTTTCGCGGAATTAAAATATAAACATAATTTACGCAAACGACGTTTTTATGTATTAATTTCACGTATGTTTTTACGTAGTAATTTCACGTATATAAGAAATAAAATATTATTTAGTAGACGTAGTGCTAAGATAATAATATAGCCATAAGAGTAATACTAAAGTATTATTTTTACATTGTAAAAGTTTGATCAAAATTACCAGAAATAATTTTTTAATTTTAATTTAAATTTTTTCAAAATATTTCAAATAATTCATTATAATCTTTTTCTAATTTTATACTTTTTGAAATATTTCTTATTCAGAAGAAATATTTGAAAGTTTATTTTGTTATTTTATAAATTTTACAATTTCAAATGGTAAAAATAAAAAAAGTTAACAAATTTATACAAAAAATTAAAAAAAGACGAAGCATACATTAATTAATTTCTGAGCTAATAATAGAGCATAATAGCTGCCATAACCTTGGCCAAATATATACAAAGGATTTTGATGAAAATTTGAACCAATTGTTGTTTTATAAAAATTTTGAATAGCATACAATAAACCATTAACAATCTAAATAATAGTTTTTATCAGTTTATTATCAGTTTCTTATCAAAAAAAGAATGAAATTAAAATAATAATTCTTATCAATTTGTTATCAAAAAAAAAAAATTCAACAAAAAAAAGAATGAAATTAAAAAAAAAAAATCAACAAAAAAAGAGTGAAATTAAAATAATAATTTTTATCAGTTTATTATCAGTTTGTTATCAAAAAAATAATTTAACGAAAAAAAATGAAATTAAAAATAAAATAAAATAATAATACTTACCGTAGTTTCATTATAAAATTTTATCGTACTATTTGATGAATAATAGCCAATATCTGCTGGAATTGTTTCCAAAAATAATATATTTGCAACCTGTCATGTAAATTTTTTTTTTTTTAAATATTATCATTTGATTATAATTTATTTTAGCAAATTAAAATAAAAATATTTATGCGAAAAAAAAAATAAATAAACAAAAATATTTATTAATGAAATGAATTATGCATAATTGTAAAATTGAAATTACTTTTTGATTAAATAAAAATATATTTTAAATATTATCACTGCTTTTTATTCAGTTTTTTTTTTTTTTTTATTTTAGTAAATTAAAATGAAAAAACTTATGCCAAAAATTAAATAATTATTTAGTGAAATAAATTATGCATAGATGTAAAATTAAAATTACTTTTTAATTCATTCAATTGTTTATCATTGTGTTTGCATTTTGAATCAATGAAAATATTTTAAATATTACAATTTGATAAGTTATTTTAATAATTTGAAATGAAAAATATCTATGCAAAAAAAAAAAAAAAAAAATGAATGGATGAATGAATTAATAAATTAATGAAATAAATGATGTACAATTTTAAAATTAAAATTTTAAAATTGCTTTTTAATTCATTCAATTGCTTATCAGTATGACTGATAAAAAAGTAAAAATAATTTACTGCTATAAATATTTCAAATTATTTAATTCACATATAACATATTTATTTTACGAAAAAAAAAAAAATAACAAAATATTTTGACAAAAAAAATTTAGCTAACAATGATAATAGATAAAACTCTCTGCGAATATTATCTTATCAGTCATTATCAGTATCAGGTTTTATTAATTTACATTAATATCATAATAATATAAATTATTTATTTAAAATATCAAAAATGAGAAAACTTATCTTTCTATTGCTGCAATCAAAAAAAAAGTGAGATAAACAAATAAATAAACAAATAAACAAATAAATAAATAAAATTTTTACTCGATCCCATGAATATGAATTTTCATATAGCATATTTCCATATTTATTTAAACGATATAAGCCAATGTTACTAAAAATATCATAAAATATGGTACAATTTGGAGCAGCACCAAGCCATATAATTAATGGATCCATTTGATTTGTTGATGGAAACCACCTGAATTTCATTTTTTTTTTTTTTTTTTAAATTAAAATTAATTAAATAATCTTTCACTCATTTTCATCTTCTTTAAGTGTAATTCATTTTTGAAATTTCCTAAAAAAAAAAAAAAAAAAAAGATAATAAATTGAACGATAAATTAGAATTAAATTTTTATTAATTTACATTAATATCCTAATAATATCAATAAATTATTTATTTAAAATATCCAAAAATTAAAAAAAAAATTTTTTAAATTTAAAATATCAAAGAAAAAAGTACAATAATTAAAAAATGAATATTAAATAGTCCATTTTTAAATGATTGATAAGTGATAAAGAAACATTTACGTTTTAAGTTCAAAATTGTTGAAAAAAAAAAAGGAAATTACAAATAAAAATTATTCAATAATAAATTTTAGACACTTTTTTTGTTTATTAAAAAAATTTGTTTGTTTGTTTTTTTTTTCTCCAACAATTTCTATCTTTTAATTAATATTTCTTGTTTATCAATTATTTAATTATTTAGATTCAAGGAATTTAAAATTAAAACTTATATCCAAAAAAAAAAGTCTTAAAATTACAACTATCGTTTATTGTGCTTGCAATAATTATTAGCCTAGGATAAATTTTAAATTTTCATACCAATAAAAACGATCATTTCCTTGGCCATCGTCTAAATGTCCAGTTACAGTTTTTAAATTATACCAAAAAGTTTGTCCTGGCATACTGTCATCAGATTTATTTGCATCTAATTTTTCATCAATGAATAAATTTTGATCGCTACACGATGAACCAATTTCACTTACAATCTATAATTTTATTTAATTGCTAAAAAACAAATATTAAATTCAAAAAAAAAAAGTTGAAAACAAAAATTAGGTATAAAATATTATTTATCTGATTAAAGTCATTTGTTTTTTTTTTTTTTTTTTTTTTTTTAAATTTTTAAGTAAATATTTTAAAAAAAAGGAAAGAAAAAATAAATATTTCTAATTTGTTTAAATTTATTTTCCTTTCGTTCTTTTTTTTTTCTTAAATTAATATTTGAAATTCTTATTTTTTTTTTTTTTTTTTTTATAATTCTTTGTTCGAAAATTTTTTTTTAATGAAATTACTAATATTAAGAGAAGAAAGAAGATGTATTGTTTTAGAACTGTATAATTTATCAAAAAATAATTATTGATTGAAAATAATTGAATACTTAAATTCATTTTTTGATTTTGTTTTTTTTGTAAATTGATCAAAGTTCATTTAATTCGTATTTTACTAGAAATTAATTGGAATTAAAACGTTTTTCTTAAATCTTTTTACTTTAAATAATCGTATTTAATTGTTTTTTTAACTAATTCCGCAATATAAATTATTTGTATTAAATTATAAAAAGGAAAAAAAAAAATGAAATATATTAAAATTAAATTTACCTGTTCTAATATTTCATATTGTTTTTTCAATGGTTTAAACTTTACACTTATAGGTATTGGAGTTGAAAGGTCATTTTGTTCCAAAAAATTATTCAACATTTGAAGTAATTGGCCTGGTCGATCAAATGAAATAAATTGGCCAGCACCCTAAAATAAACTAATTAATTTCATTATATTAAAAAAAAATTAGTAATAATTAATTAGCAAATCTTCAATGGTTACTTTTTATTCTTCAATTGAGTGAAACCTAGAAGTAGTTTTAAGTATTACTTTTGATCTGATCAATCAAGCAATCAATAATTTAAATTAGCAAATTAATAAAAATATGATAGTGCTATCTAAAATTTTTTGAAGCTGATATCTTATCATATCATCATTTTATCCATTCATTGATTATTTTAGCACTTTTAATTTTATAATAATGACAAAAAAAAGTTTCAAAATAAAACTTAAGATCAAAAAATTAGAAACGATAATTAAAAAATATAAACTATGTTTGATTTTTTATTTACATTTAATTTTATCACTAAATTACTTACTAATTTTTCAAAAAAGAATTTATCAATATAATATCACTTTAATTACATTTACATTTATCATTTATGATAAATCAAATTTGAATACTTTTTAACAGTGTTACAATTAAAGATTAAACATGTTTATATTAAAATAATTTCAAAATTAAAACCTTAATAATAACAAATTGAAGTTTGCCCTTAAATACTTCGATATTTTCAGATATTTCTATTTTTGTTGACATTTTAAATATTTTTTGATAGCCTGCAATTTGTTTATGATAAATCCATGGAATTCGTTCCTGAACAGTTACCATTGAATACATTTTTGCTATCTTTTCAATAAACCATTCATCTGTAAACAAAAAATAATTTAATTAGTTCATTTGTAAACAAAAAAAAAGAAATAATTTAATGAGCTCATTTGTAAACAAGAAAAAATAATTGAAATAAAGGGTTAAAGCAATATAATAAAAGTAAAATAAAAATTTATATCGTAATTAAATGCAAATTATAAAAAAAAATAAACAATTAATAAATAAAAAATGATTTATTTTCATTTTCATTAATTTTTTTTCTTAAATCTCACACAATCGTACTGCTTAATTAAATTGTATAAATATAAAAATTAATAAATAAATAAATGAATTAACCTCCAATGAATTGATAACTGGTTGAAGCATCACCATCATAAATGAGAATATTTAAAGGATAATTGGAATTTAATATTTGTTGAAAAAGTATTGTTGTATCGTTGTATCGTTGCTCATTGATAAGATTTGCTGATGGACTAAAATTTTAATTTAATTAATAATTTTAATTTAATTAATTCAATTTAATCGATAATTAATTAATAACTTATTTCACTTTTTTTTCCTCCTTTCATTACAATATTCTATTCATACATTTGGAATTTTCAATAATTTTAACTTAATATTCATGCAACAAATAATTAGAATTTTGGTTTTAATTCTAACTAATTTCAATTTAAGTATTCGATACCGATAATATTAAATTTGAAATTTTCCATAAATTTTACACTAAATAAAATATTTTTTTTTCTTTTTGTTTATTAAATTAAAAAAATACAACTGCCTAAATTTAATACTTTCCTTTATTATTTAAGTGATTAAAATTATAATAAACAACTTTTTTTTTTTGCTCATTTATTTTTTTTTCTCTTACAAAACTTAATAATTTAATATTTTTATAAACTGTACTAAAAAAAAAAAATTAATAAAAAATTTTTAAAAAAATTGCAACAAAACTTACTTGCATGCAATCCATTTACTAATAGTTGACGGAATGTGTAATGCAAAACGCACTTCCGGTTGATTCAGATAATTTGCAACAGCTAATGATTTATGCCAATAAAAATTTCTCATTCCATCAATTGTGTTATAATTATTTTGTGACTAAATATTTTAAAATAATAATAAAATTGTTTGTGATAAGTAAAATTTGAAATTATGAATGAAATTTTTATAAAAAAAAAAAAAATGGATTAGCATATTTCTTTTATTTTAAATGAGACAAATGCGCTTATTCAATGAGAAATTAATAATTACTAATTTTTTTTTTTTTTTAAATCCATTTATAATGTTTCATTGGTAAATTAAAGTTTTTTGCGTAATTATTATTAATTAATGAGCTAAAAAAAATCAATGTGATAAGATGCTAGTGAAAACTTTATCACTTTATCATATAAATATAAGATAAAGTGTAAAATATAAAGTATGAAATTTTAATTGAAATAATTAAAAACTTACTCTTGCATACATTGATAAGCTAAAGTTAGGGAGAATAATCGTTTTATCATCTGCCATTTCACTTTGATTATTATTGCATTGATAATGAATACTTTCATAAAGACTGCAAATATTTTAACCGTAAATTAAAAATAAAAATTGAAGGACTCTTCCAATTGGAGTATTATTATACTCTTACTTATTTAAGTATAAAACTCTCATTATCAGTCATTATCACTCATATATTCTTTTTAAAGAATAAAAACTACTACAACCCTAACTCTAAGCAATATTTTCAAGTTTAGTTTCATTTCATTTTAGTTTCAAATTTAGTTTCATTTCAGTATTTCAATATAATGAACATAATTTACTAACAGATTTTAAGATTACTTTTTGTAAAATAATCTTCGCACAAATTTCGAATTTAAATCAAAAAAATCTGAATGGAATTTTTTTTAGTTATTTGAAAAAGAAAATGGAAAAAAAAATTTTTGAAAAAATGTTAATTTTGACAAAAAAAGAAAAAAAAGAAAAGGAAAATAAAAACTGACAATTTGTGATTTTCCCACATATAATCACGAACAGATGATAAATAATCACCACAACTGATATTTGCAATCGGAATAACATTTCCATATTCCGGAAATTCAACATATTGCGAGAAATCAAAATATGCTTCCGGTTGAGTAGTGCTTGAATTTTTGTAATAATTCATAAGCTTCAAATAATACCTTAAAAAAAAAAAGAAAAGAAGAATTATCATATTAAAATAGAAATATGATAATATAATCACTAGCAAAATGCATTGCTTATCTCATTTAACCAAATTAAATGATAAATTAAAATTAATTAATTTTATTTTATTTTTAATTAAAGAATATATGATAAGTTAATTTAATAAATTAAATAAAAATTTATCAAATATTTTCATACAAATAAATAAACAAAAATTAGCAAACTAACTCATAATCGATTACTCCTTTGTATGAAAGTATCGTAATCAATGAGTTATACTGTTCGATCTTACTTAACATACCATTTTCAATTGCAATACCAACGAGATTTAAATCATTAGTTTTTTCAATCTGTATAAATTATAATTAAACTTAAATGCCAATTAATTAATTGATAATATTGATACTAAATTGATAAAATGATGATAAGATGGTGAAGTGATAATAAACATGGATTGATGAAATGATAGTAAATAATATTATCTAATTTAATTAATTAACTGGTAACGAATGACAGTCCTGATGATAAGCTAATGAAGTGATAATAAATTTGTTATTTGATTTGATTGATTGACGATCAATGATAAAATTGAATAATGGATTGATAAAATGATAACAAATGCAGTTGTCTAATTTGACTGACTGATCGATAACAAGTGATAATATTAATGATAAGTTAGTGAAGTGATAATAAATGCTATAGTTTGATTTGATTGAATAAATCTATATTACTTAGCATATAGTTGCGATCACTCGAATTAATAAAAATGATTAATTTGATCTAAAAAAATATATAAATTTAAAGAATTATATTTATATTTTACCTGAATTCGATTAATAATTTGAGCTGATAATTTTAAAATGTATAAAGAAGCATATGAGTGACCAGTAATGAAGAATGGACGATTGATATATTCCGGAAATACAGTCAAAAAATCCATCAAAGCATGAAAGACTTCTGTAACAGTCTAAAAAAAGAAAACGAAATTTTTTTTATTAATTAAATTATTCCAATTATTTATCAATTAAGCATATGTAATTAAAATAAAAAAGAAATTCACCTAAATTATAACTATTATCTTTTCATTTTTATTCATTTATCATTTATAGTCAATTAAAGATAATTTGAAAAAAATAAGAAAAGACATGAAACCTTATTATTATTAAAATCAAATTCATTTATCGAAAGAATTTCCTCTGAAAAGCCAATGAAACGTGATGAATCAAGGTAAAGCACATTTGCTATCTATAAAATAAAATGTAATTTAAAATTTAAACTTAAATTTTTCTTTTTGAGGAAAAATTATTTCATTATAATGTATTAGTTTTTATTTAAAAATATTTAAAAAGTTACATTTTCTATATTACAATCATTTCAACATTCGATGAATGCATTACCTTATTAATTGCAAAAGAAAGTTTTTCATACTTTAAGCTTAAAGATTAAACATTTGTAGGATGATTTAAGATAACAAATGAATTTATTAATTAATTTAACCTATTTAAAAACAAATATAAAAGCAACAATTAATTTATAAATTTGAATTTGTAAATAAAATGAAAATTTTTCGAATAATTCCTAAGGTTGTAATCAAATTTTATTCAGCGTAAAATAAATAAATGTATGAAAATTTAAGTTTTATCAAACCGGCAAATCAATCATTAACTTTCCAGTAATTGCTGAATTTAAATTATGAGTTAGAAACATACTTTGTTCCATGAGTAATTATTTTCCGACAATGTCATATTATCTGAATTTGACCGGAATGGCCCATTTCCGGAAAAGAAACTATTAAGTGAGCTACAGCTTGGCTCACCACTTAACCATAATATTAACGGATCGTTGGATGAATTGCGTTGTGATTCAACAAACCTTAAATTCACAATGTAAAAGTGGTGTTATCAATTTTGTTGAATGATTAATTCTAGGAATAATCAGTCCTTATCACTTCATTCTAACTTGTCAAAGAAAAAAGAAGCTATCAAAGTACATTTGATAATTTATTTACCAATCTTTAAAGTCATTAAGAGAGTATTGTTGAATAAAATTTCAACAATTTCCAATTAACAGTGAAAAAATTCAACTGTTAAAAAATTTAATGCAAAAAAAAAAAAATTAATAAATGAACGGTTTATTTTATAAGTAATCAGTTTTTTTTTTTTTAAATGATTTATTCTATAAGTAATGATAAGAAAATGATAAATCAATGATAAGCAAAAAAAAAAGATGAAAGTAATAACTCATTAGATTTGATTAGCTCATTTTTGTGATTACTTTTGATAACAATAAATAAATCAACAAATAATCATTGATAAAAGCATCAGAGAATTTTAAAACTTATTAAAATTTAAAAAATTTTACAATTTTAAAAATATAATTTCTTATTGAAATAGCAATAAAATAACACTATGTGTCACCACAATGGCGAAGATATAACCTAATGAACAAAGGCTATTGTTTTAATCCACTTCGTAACCTTAACACCCATAAGTCCCTCCCAATTTTCTTCCTTACAAAGCCATTCATTACAGTTCCTTGTTTGGTATGACTCGGTTGCGAGGTGTCTAGCTTGCTTATATCTTTAATGGTTTATAATTAAGTTACATTTCTGTGTTATCTATCAATTCATTATTGTATTTTTGTATAATATTTAATGTTAATCAGTGCTTTAATTACCCAACTTTGAGGTTTGAATAGTAAAGTATTTCACGAAAACTCCCACAGTACACGTACACAGAATGGAATCAATACAGATTCCAGATTCTATCAGTATCGAGGGCAAAGAAGTCAACGATTTGAACCATCAAGAAAGGAAACTTATTTTGTTTCACAAGAAAACAGGGCAGTAAGAAAGAGATTCTAAATTTGCTTTTACACTATGACACCTACCAATAATGCAAATGGCCAGAATCAGCTTTCAGATAGCCAGAATACTGCTTAAAATTTGGTTCAAAGGTTAATCCAGGTAAATTCCATATACGATCACGTTGCTTGCGTGTTGCTAAAAATATGACGTTATTTTCGTGTTGCCAAAAAAAAAATAATAATTTCACATTTTATTGCTAAATTATGATTTCATATAAAATACTGCAATATTTAGTATCATTTTTGTGCCAGTAATTGTCACATAGCTATTGCTTCTCTTATGTGAAATTAATTAATTTAAATTCAATTAAATTTGATTATTAAACATCTTTTTTCCTAATTTAATTTTTGAGTAATTGCTAAGAAATGGAAATTTATCAGATGTGTTAAATTTAGGAAATTAAATTTAACATAATACGCGTATGAAGTTAATAGTATTTTAGAACAGAATTGTAATTCAAATCAATTAATTTTAAGCATTCTTATCATTCTCATATTTTAATTTTAATAATTAATTAAAATTATTTTGCATTAATGAATTCTGAACTAATAATTTCTTCAAATATTGATTACATGATGCATTATTGCTTGTAAAATAATAAAATATTTTTTAAAAATTATAAAATTATTGTTAAATTACTTAGGAGTGGAAAAAAGTTAAGTTAAAAGTTACGAGTTATTTGTGGTACTGGTTGATATTGTGGAAGAATTGATTTTGGTTTTGTATCATAACTCAAAATACTACTATAATTTGCTTTTTCAATAAAATTTGCAAACATTTGCAATGATGGTCCACCGCGATCCAACGGTACAAAATGACCCGCACCCTAAAGAAATAATTTTAAAATCGTTTCTTAATAAATTTAGTAAAAAAAAATTATAAATTTCAATTAAAAAATATTGTGAATTTTTTTTATCAAAATAACGTATTTATCATCATTCATCTTACCTAATTAATTTATTCATAAAAATTTAACTTTTCTTTTTTGAACAAATTAGATTAATCTAACTAGTACAATCATTACATTACAAACATGTTTTTGATGAATTAATTGAAATTAAATTAAGATTTCTAACCTTTAACCTCTCATTCTAGCATCTTATCTAATAGAATCAAAATTTGAATAAAAGATTAGCAAAAATAAAAAATATAAGGATATTTTTCTTGCTTTGAAATGACTATAAACTAGTTTGTTAAATAATGATAATAATAATTTAAACTTTTTTTTTTTTATCTCACTATAATTTTTATCATTTTTTATTGAAACAATCAAAAAAAAAAAAAGAAAAATTACTAACTTTTACAGTGACATAATCAATTGTCACATAATCACTCATAAAAAATTGCTGATAATAACCAGCTAATTGCTCAAGAAATTCTGAATTTTCTTGATAAGTCCATAATTTACGATTTGATTTTGGATAATTATTAGTAATTCTCATCACAAACCATTCATTACTCAAAAAATTATATTGAATATCAGCATCACCATTATAAATTAATATTCGTATATCATTTGGATAAACTATAAAGAAAAAAAAATTTTTTTTTTGTTTTTAATTAGTAATTAAAAAAGTAAACAAAAAAGAGCAAAGAAAAATATGTAATTACTAGGAATGAAAGTATTAAAATCGTGATCAAAATATTCACGAAGTGAAAAGTTTATTTAACATTTTGTAAATTTTGTAAAGGTTTTTTTATTTTTTATTTTATTTCACTTTAATTCAAAAAAAAAAAAAATGAAATGAAAAATATTTAAATAAGAGTAAATTTTATATTATGTAACAAAAAAAAAAAAAAAAAAAGAAAGTTTCTTCCTCACAAAATTATATTAGTTACATAAATCAGTGCAAAAAAAAGAAGAAAAAATTAGTTTAAAAACATTATTGTTTTATTTGAACTTTTGCGCTCACTTTTGCGCTCATTCCATCAAACATGCAAAAAATTTTGATTAAATTTAAAATGAGTAAAAATATAAACAAACTTAATGGGAAATGATGAATAATTGATTGAAAAATAGGCATCATATCAAGATATTTTCTTTTATAATTCGATTGGAACATTTTACTAAAAAAAAAAAAAAAATAATATAATTAAAATTATTTTGCTAAAGTTTGAAAATATTATATAATTTTAGTAAAATTGCAAATTATGAATAACATTTTTTATTATTATCATAGTATTTTGTCCTTTTTTTTGTTTATTGTTTACCCTCATTAGAGGTAAAGTAAAGTAAATCTATATGACAATTCATCAATTTCAAAAAATTATTTTGTTTTAGGAAACAGAAAAAGAAAAAAGAAAGGAAAAAGAAACGTAAATGATATTATATGCATTTAAGTAAAATTAATTTTAATTTCAATTTGAAATTAGAATAATTAGATAAAATAAATTATAATAGTAATATATTAACCTGCACATTGACCAAGATGGTAAATTATTGGGAATATTTAATGCTTCTCGTACAGTTGATAAATTTAAATAATTTTTTATTGCATTTTTAATCCAACATGGAAAACCATATTGTGCATCAGTTGATTCAATATTTATGAGTGACTGAAACATTATCATACTTATATTTTAATTAGATTACAATTAAATGGTTTTTTAATTTTGTATTCATTACCGTAAAAAATTTATACAATTGATTTTTTTTAAATATTTAGCATTTTTTTTTAAAAATATTTATCAGTGAATTATTCATTTTTCCTTTTTTTTTTTTTGGAAAAAAATTGAAAAATTGAATGAAATTTCATGTGGAATTTAAAATAAGAATTATTAATTATTAATTTCAAAATTTTTTTTTATTTGATTTTTTTGATCTATCATAAATATCAATAAGAAACGTACACCTTGATCGATAAATGTTTCAGGTGAATTTACATTAAACATTGGTTGTTGTTGATAATTCATTGTTTTCATTATTTTTATATCATCCGTTGATATCGGATCCATATAGCAATCTTGATATTTATTAAAAGAATTTTCTCTAAAAATAAAAAATCTTGATTTCTAGAAATTTCTAAATTATTCCATTTGTTTGCTTTTTCTTTAATTCAAATAGTTTTTTTTTTTTTTTTTTTCAGAAAAATAAAAAATAAAATTTAAAAAGTAAAAAAAGAACTTTTTCTTTCATATTTTACATTTTCAAAAATTTTAATAAATTAATTATATAGGCTGAAAAAGAAGAAAAAAAAAGTTTCGTTATTTTTTCAATTGATTTTATAAACTTACAAATTTTTTTTTGAATATTTCTTTTTTTTAATGCTATCAAATTACATTAAACTGCTTGACTTTTAGCATTTATTATCAATTTCAAATTGCCAAAAAAAGAAAGAAAGCAAAAAAGAAAAATAAATACAACAAATTACTATTTGAACAATAATAAACATACAATTATCATACAAAAAAATAAACAAATGAATAACAGCAGAAAACAATAACAATGCGACAAATGCGCTTAATGTTTTGTCAAAAATAAACAAAAAAAACTTACAATCGTTTATTAAATGCATATTTCGTTATTTTGGATGCACATTCACTATTATCGATGGGTTTATTTGTTGTCCAATTTATAAACTGCGAAAAGTTACAATATGCCAATGGTCCGGGAATAGCCGTTAAACAACAATTAGTAAAACTTTCAAATTCTCTTAAAAAAAAATTTAATTAATTAATTATTTACAACTTGAACATTGAAATAAACACTAAAACTATCTGCTTTTTTTTTCGATTTAAATTTTGTTTAATTAAATATTTCTAATTTTTTCTCTTTTTGTTAAAACATAAAAAAGTTCAAAAGATTCTACAAACAAAAAGAACAAAAAATTTGCTATAAGGTTTTTTTTTTTTTTTTTTTTTTTAATTTTACTATTAAACATTAATATTTATTTTCATTCAATCATTTACGTCAATAAAAAGTAAATTTGAATTAAAATAAATTAAAAACTTTTCAGTGAAGGAAACAGAAAAAAAAAGAAAAGTAAATATACTTTTTATCAAGCATTCCATTGTAGTACTGCAAGGCAATCATTGAATTTATTCTGTCCATTTCATTGTAAGCACCATTTCCAATAGCTAAGCCAGCTAATTTGATATTATAAAGATTTCCATTCTGCTAAAATATGTATACGAAATTATTTATAACTATCTGAGGAATCATTTATAACTATCTGAGGAATCATTTATAATTATAACTATCTGAGAAATCATTTATAACTATCTGAGGAATCATTTATAATTATAACTATCTGAGAAATTCAACAATTACTTAAGGAATAATTTATAATTACCTAAAGAATAATTTTTAACTTACATAATTTTTTCATAATTTTTTTATAGTAACCACCTAAATTTAATGTTAACTGTTGATGTTAGATCTGTGCTATTTAAACTCTATTACGAAGCAATATATTTGTTTATACCAGAATTAATATGATGTTTACAGGTAATATATTCATATTCTTAACCGTAAATGTAGTAAATAATATTGTGCTAATTAATGCAATATTTAATTATTAATTAGTGCTTAAATGCTTAATTAACAAAAAAGTGAAAAACAAATTTTGTTTATTGTTATCTTTTGCTAATCATTCATTTCAGACATTTCAAATAAATAATTAAAAAAAAAAAAAAAACAAATAAATAAAAAAAAAAAAAAGATAAAACCTGAATTCGTTTGATCAGTACATTTGCTAACATTGGTCCATGAATTGCTGTATATGCTTGACCAGTAATGTAGAAATCACGATTCTGATATTGTTTAAATCGTTGAAAAAATTGCTCTAATGCATCAGCATTATCTTCAGCTATCTAAATTGAGAAAAGAAAAACAAACAAACAAATGTTTTGTTTACAAATTAAAAATACATTCAAATTGTTTATTATTAAAAAGAATTTATTTAAACTTACAAATATGAAAAGCAATTATATATTTGAAATTTAATAATTTAAAAAAAAAAAAAATTTTCAATAATTTTGATTTTGTTTTTTTGTTTTTTGTTTATTTTTAAACAAACCAATTGCATATTTTTAGACAAAGAAGAATTAGCAAATATGGTAGAAAAAAGAAAATTAAAAAATATATTGCAATTATGAGTATTAATAATCAAATTATTAATAATTAAAACTAAGCTAATTAAATATATAAATAAAAATTTCTCATATGGATGCAATTACATTAAAAAAAAAAAAAAAAAGAAGGAAAGTTTATAAAATCAAATGTTAAATATGTTAAAATTAAAATTGTAAATTTTAATAAAATATTAAAGCATATTAGCTAATTAGGCAATAAATTATGCCAATTTAAATTTTTAGCTAACATTTTAAATAATTCATATTCAATATTTTTTTTGTCAAAATTATTTATCAAGAAGATATTGTGAATATATTATAAGTGTTTAAAATTTCATTGTTTTAAATTTCACAAAATAAATTGTTATTTACTTATCAAATCAGTAATACTTTTATATTTTTCATTGCTAACATTGCTTTTAAGCTTTGTTGTTGCAAAATTTTTTTTGATAAAAATTTGCATTTCTTCATTTATACTGCATTTTATAAATCTTTCCAGATGATATTCAAATTCTCATTGAATTGCAGAATTAATTTAAATTAATTAATTTAATTTCGATGTACTAATCATTTATTCATTATCATTTGATTAATTGAAATGATTGGATGCAAAACTTTAATAAATCATTTTATGAAAATTTTTTTTAATTTCTGCTTAATTACCTCTTTCAGTATTAACTTTTGAAATCAAAAAAAAAAAAAAAAAATTTGTAGAATTTTTTCAAACTAACAAACTGATAAATTATTTGTTTAAGAAGAAAAAAGAAACAAAAGGAATTATTCGATGATAATACCAAAAAAAGTAGAAATTTAGTTTCTTTTTTTTTTAATCACTATTAATAACATTCATTGTTAATTAATACTTTCATTTAAAATATCACTGAAATTTTATTCAAACATTTATGAAATCTACCTGTAATATTATAATTTACTAATCATTAATAACTAATAATCTTTTCTTCTATTCAATTACCTGTCATTAATGATTATTAATTAATAAACTCTTCTTTTGAAATAAACAAAACAAAAAAAGTCGGACAGAGAGGAATTGAGAAAGATTTGAAAAAAAAAAATTTAAAAAAAACTTCGAAATTAAAAAAAAAAAGAAAAACTTTTAAATATTACCATATCATCATCCCATATCACATCTGATGGTATTGAAGTATTTCTGTATGAATAACCGATACCATACGGTGATTCGAGAAATATTAAATTAGCAACCTTAAATTCAATCTCATTTAGAATTTTTTTTTTCTCTACTAAAACTCAGCAATGAAACTTTAGTAATATTTAATATTAATAATTTTGATAATTATCTTTTATCTTAGTGACTGCTATATTTTCAAAGAACAAACTTATCAATAAAAATGCTCTAAATGCTATTTGTAAAATTTACAAAAAAAAAAAATAGTTAAATTAGCTAATTGATTAAAATTTAATTAATTGACAAACCTTATTCCAGCTGTAAATATTTTCGAATAAACTTTCACCATCCTGATTAACGCGGAATGGTCCAATTTGCGCCAATGGACCATCAAGTGAGTTACAACCTAATCCACCATTAAACCATAAAACTAATGGATCAGTTGATGGATTATTTTGTGATTCGATAAGCCTAAAAAGTTTTAGCTATTAATTAATTATTGTTGCAATAATAAAATAAAATTAATTACATTAATTTCGTGATGTTTTATCTCATAAAAAGTTTCAAAATATAAACAATTGTACCAATAATGCAGAAAATTTCCGGTTTTTGTTGGTAAGAATCCGGAATATTGCTCAAAATTAGGTTTAAATGTTAATCCAGGTAAATTAACAATTCGATCATCATTCCAAATAAATGCTACGGTAGTATGAGAGGATACTGTAGAAAATACAAGGAGCAAAAATCGGAAAAACTGATTAGCCATATGTGATGGTTTAATTTTCTCTTATCAGTAATTCATTTTTCGTTTATTATATAGTAAATTTTAAGACAAAAATTGTAAATACAAAAAAAAAAAAAAAAAAAAAAAAAAAAAGGCGAAAACAAAATTTTATTTTTACAGAAATGACTTTGATAAGAAATTGTACTTACTTATTTCAATTTTTAACCTTAACAAATTCATTTCATAGAATTAATCATTTTATTTTTTTAATTAAATTATTGGAAATTATTTTAAATGAATTTTTGCAAAATGTTTAAGCGAATGAGATGTAATTTTAAAAATATCTAAATTTGTTTACATCTTAAAATATTTGTAAAATATTTTTAATAGAAACATTTGCAAAAATATTGCATTCCAATTTTACTAATTTAACTCTAAAACTATTTCTTTTGCACAATAATCTAATAATAATAATAATAATAATAAGTGTTTAATTTCATTTTAATTATTTTATTAGCAAAAATAATTATCAATATGACAGTTAAAGTTTCGTTTTTTTTTTTTTTTTTTTCCATTTTAACAGTTGGACCAAATCAAAATAATCTTTGTTTTTGAAGAATTTATTGAAATATTTTACTTACATTTATAAAGTAAATGAAACTTTTTTTTTCGTTTGCAGAAATTACTTTTAGATAAAGTAATAAATATGAATAACTTTCCATTGCTTTTTCATAATATTTTCTCATTTGCAATGAAATTATCAATTTTTTCATACAATATTGTTTATCAAATATTTTAATTTCTTTTTTCTTTTTTTTTTTTCAAATAAACTTAAAAGATCAAAAAATTTTTTTCAAGACCAAAAAAATACATAGTACATTAATGTTGTTATGAAAATTATTTCAAACAAAAAAATTTTAATTAAAAAGTACAAAATAAAAAAGCTAATGTTTATAAATATTTCATATTGCTAATATCTTTTCTTTTCTAACTAGAAATATCATTCAAAATAAAAAATTTTCTAGCATTATTTTTCGAAAATTTTTCATCTTTTAATTTTTAGATAAAAAAAAAAAAATGAAATTGCAGATTATTAAACTAAGAAAATTTGAGTTAGCAAAGATGTTTTTGTAATTTTGCAGAAAAAAATTTAATTTCACATAAATTAAGTTTTTTCATTTTTCCTTTAAAGAAAAAAAAAGTAAAAATATTGTTTATATTTAAAATGAATATTATTTGATGCTAATTCATTCTATAATATTTATTATTTCATGCGTTTGTTCAAAGAATAAAAAATTTTTTAAAAAAAAGTTTTTGTTAAATTTGATGAAACATTTATACTTTTAAGCTATTACAAATACAATAAGACAATAAGTTTACAAGTACAATATGCTATAATTGTGCTCGTAATAAATTGTATTTCATATTATAGATAGATGAGATAGACAGATTAGATAGATAGATCAGATAGATAGATCAGATAGGTAGATCAGATAGGTAGATCAGATAGATAGATCAGATAGGTAGATCAGATAGGTAGATCAGATAGATAGATCAGATAGGTAGATCAGATAGATAGATCAGATAGGTAGATCAGATAGGTAGATCAGATAGATAGATCAGATAGATAGATCAGATAGATAGATCAGATAGGTAGATCAGATAGATAGATCAGATATAGATCAGATAGATAGATCAGCTGGATAGATAGATAGATAGAATGAATATGAATAGTTAATATTTTATAGTTTCATTTATTTGTTTCATTTAATAATTATAATTTGAAAAAAAAAAAAAAAAAAACTATTTTCCTTTAATATGAAAATGTAATAAAAACTTTATTATTAATAAAATACATATATATTTGCAACTTTTAATTGAAACGAAAAAAGTTAATTAATAAACAAATAATTAATTGTGAGATAGTTTTAATAAAATATTAGTGGAAAATGACGAAAAAGGAATAAAATATTGATTAGAAATGTGATTAATATTTCGTCAAAAATTTCAAAAAAAAAGGAAATGGAAGAAAACATTGTTTTAGTTTAAAATTATTTTTTTTTTTTTAGTAAATTATCACAAAAATTGTAAAATTAACTCAAATATATTTCCCTTTTTTTTTTTCCACTTTTTTGTTTTTTCTAAATTCAATGAAATAAATAAGCTTTTGTTGTCAGTGCTAAAAAAGAACTCAAAATGCTTAAAAAATAAAAAAATAAAAAAAAAAAAACAAACTTAAAAATGTTTAATTGGAAGCAAATTTTAACAAATGCAAAAATGAAAAATTATTTATTGTAATTAAATTTTGATAACAATAAGAAATTAACTAATTATATACATTAAATAACATTTCAAAAAATGATTTAACAATATAAAAGTCATTTCCTTCCAAAAATAAAGGAAAGGAACAAAAATTAATTAATAAATATATTTTTTTTTTTTTTGCAAATAACAAAAAATTGAATTTAAATTGAAAAGAAAAATTAAAACAATAAAAAATAATTTTTTGAATAATGCTAATTTTATTGAAGCTTTCGATATATATTAGATAAAAAAAAAAAAAAAAAAAACAAATTTGTTTTTTTGTAAACTTTTAAAAGTTAAAAGTTTTTGTTTTATAAAATAACAACTGAAAATACCCATTATCATTGTTAAATTGATTATATTTTAACATTAACATTTGTTTTATTTCGAATACTGTTGTTTAATTCTTTGATATTCTAAAAATGAATAAAATATAATTTGAGCAACAATTTGGAAGAATTTCCTTTTTTTTCTTTTTTTTTTTGAAATTTTAATTAAATTTTAAAATTGAAAGTTTAATATTATAATAGAAATAAATTATTGTTTTATTATTTCATGTAATATTAAATGATTAATTAATGAAAAAAAAATTTTTATACCCTTTCTAAAGATGAAGTGATCTCAATTGGTGGTTGACAAAAAAAAATAATCAAAATTAATATTCCAGCTAATAATATTGATCCAAATGTGTAGCACTAAAATTTAAATTTTACTCGTTTCATTTTTTATTTTTTGTTTAGATACAATTAAAATTTGTTTATTTTAAATAAATAAACAACTAAATGATCAAAATTGTTATAAAACTATCAACTCGTTTTTTTTTTTTTTTTGATTCTTATATATTTTTTATGATTCATATTTATGATAGATTTAAATTTATGTATTTAATCTAATTATTGATAAAGTTATTGATAAAGCTAAAATATAAAAGATTGTTTGTTATACTTTTATACTAATTAGTAAAAAAATAATTATTATTGTTATGTGATAAGATGATTAAATAAATTTTCTAGCTATTAATAAAATTTTTAATTTGATTTCAATTAAAATTATGAAAAAAAAAAAAGAAAAGAAAAGCTAACTGAAGCAGTGATAAGTACTTCAGAATACTTAAATGGACCGCATAGTGTTTCCGGATTTTCCTGTTTTATGATTACAATAAGAAGCATTATTAATGTTATCAGTGAGGTGATAACTGATATCCCATGAAAGACAATTGTCTAAAATGAATCTTAGCATTTCGTTGTTAAAATTATTTGATAAAAAGTAAAAATTAATAATTATAAATAAGTAAAAGATAAAGAATTAATAGAGAGAGAGAGAGAGAGAGAGAGAGATTCTAATAATGGAAAGTTTAATTAAATAAACTATATTAAATAAGTTATGAAACTATTTTGAAGCTTAAATAATGTCAAATAAAAAATAAACGAATATAATTTAAAAAAAAAAAAAAAACAATAAGTCGAAATGTAAGTTAATTATGCAGTAAAAATTTTAATTCCAATTAAATAACAATAAAAATAAAAGTATTGTTTTCATAATTTTTTTTTTTTTTACGTAAGTTTATAAAATACGTATAATACGTATAAAAGGTTTTTTTTAAAAAAAAAAAAAAAAAAATAACAATAATAATTATAACAAAGATTACAAAAATTGGTGCAATTTGAATACGTAAACATTTGAATGTTTCACAAATTAAATTAACAATTTGAAAAAAAAGCGCAATAGACATGAATGAAAATGCAATGATTAATTTTGTATTACTTGTCCATACGTAACGTGAAATAATTAACGTTACTGATACGAATGCCAACATCTATAATAAATAGTTAATTAATTAATTATAATACTACTTGATAAAACGCTAATTTCTTTGTTAACTTTAAGATTAAAGTTTTATTTTTATAATATATTATTATATTTATAGGTCAATTAATCTGCAATTATTATTAAATTAAATTTTCATTATGACTTTTATCAATGATATATCAATAATCAGTCAGTGATTTGCATTGAGTTACAAACGTTTTTTGCTTGTTTCTAATGATCTATTCAGGAAGATTTCTCGACGATCAATCAAATTGATTGAGTGAAATCACAGATGAGAAGGGTCAAAAAGGTCAATCAAAATTAATTGAAATTTTTATTCTTACAGCAAGTAATTCCTCTAATCTGAAATTAATGAGAAATGTGAATTAAATGCTTTTCCCGTCAAATAAGTTTAACCTAATCAAACAAATTTAGACTTGAAATCCGGATTAGAGTTAAGAAACCGGAATGATTCATTTCATTTCATAAAACAAACCGTAGACAGAAGTGTAAGTGAATAATACAGCTCACGTGGACAAACCATCTGGCTAGCAATCAGCTAGTAAAAATAACATTTAATTTAAAAAAAAAAAGTTATGTTAAAATTTATGCATAAATATCATTAGGTAATATGATACCTGAGTCAAGTAACGTGATTAAGCGCTCACACGTAAGCTTACACGCAAAATAATTTAATGAGTTCAAATTCAATAAGCATTTTTCTTTTTTTTTTTTTTTTTTTAGTCAATAAGTTTTTTAGGTTTGAATTTATTAAACAATCTTAGGACTTATGAATAATTACTTTAGCAGCAAATACGAAAGTTTTTTATTCACTTTTTTTCTTTTTTTTTGCAATTGCGTGGGAGTTTAACAAATGAAATTTTTATTTGAAACTTTTCAAATAATTAAATTGAGATAATAATCACAATTATTATTAATTTCAAAATAATTGTATAACTTCATAACAAAATAAAACAAAGTATTCTGATTTATCTCAAATGAAACATAATAATTTTCCTAGCTTTTATTCCTTCTTAAATCGGATTGAAATTCTGGAATAATTTAGAAAAGTTATTTTTACATTTATTTGTTCAGTCACACTTCTAACCAATAATTAAAATAGTTTTTTATTTAGAATTTCTATTATTAACTAACACATACAGATGGATTCCATCTTTTTTTTCAGCAAATCTCGAATTTATTCAAACTATTAAATTAACTAATTTTTACTATAAGATAGATTGCATTTGAAAATGCTTCCTTGTTCTTTTAAACGAAGATATTTAGGTTTAAGTAGATTAAACTGGCATAAAATATTAGTTGCTAAATAACTAATAATTCAATGATATATTTTAAACCATATAAAAAGTACACAGATAGATTAAAAAAAAAAAAAAAAATTAAAAAGAAAAATATTGCAATTTCAATTCAAAACAGGAGATTAAAAGGAAATATTGCAACCCATATGCATTGAATAATATTCATAATACAATGATATTTATGCGTATTACAGAAAAAAATTCAATACACTTTTTTCTTTTTTTTTATAATTTATTTAATTCCACTTACAAATTCAATTCCCATTAAAATTGTCAAATGCTAAATTGCCAAATTACCACTAAATGACAAAATAATTTCACAGAAGAATTAAGCATGGAATTATTCAAGTTCAAAGTTTTATGAACAAGATGAACTTTACATAAAAACTTCATGTTACAAAATAAGTTGCAAAAACTTACCATTTGAAAGAAACACTTCAATTATTTGCAGTAATGATTATTGCAATGAACAGAAATCTAGAAGTGAATGATATGCTCTTTCTACAAAAAATTTAAAACAATTTCGAAAAGTAGTACTACCACTTTTCTTTACAATAATTTTTATTCATAATAAATATAATGCAAAAGTGTAAAGACATCGATTAATATGCTCTTATCACATTGTAAAAAGTAATCAATATAAAATGGAATGAATGAAACAATTGCAGAAATTAAAAAAAAAAGTTGTTTGATGAACAAAAAGAAAGAATTTCAATCTCATATATATTTGTCTCTTCCAAAAATTGAAGAAACTCCTTATTATCAAATTACCATATATGCATAATAGCAGATGCATTAATTAGATATTTTCTGAAAAAAAAAAAAAAAAGCAACACTTCACAATTTGTTTAGCTTCCCAATTTTAAATGAAAACTTTTCTTGCAAAATATAATTAACATAATCAATTTGAATAATAAAATAAAAAATATAAATAGTATGAAACTTTTCTTTTGATATAATTAATGAATGCTTTCATCATTATTGGATATTACTCGAGTAGTTCGTTTCCTAGCCATTTCCATATTATGAGCTTTATTTCGTGCTGCATTTTTTGCTTGATGAACATCCTTACTTTCTGATATCGATGAAACTAAGAAAAAAAATCAATAAATATATATATATATATATATTTAAAACAACGGTATTTTTATGTATGATATTGAAGCAAAAAGCAATAGCTAACATATTTAAAGCTATTTCTGACTTTTAAGATTTGCCAAATTTCCTAGCTATGGATATTAATTTAATCATCATTGTCCTTTGTTACTGAACGAACACTCCACTAGAGATATTATGTAATTTCTTAAAAAAAAAAAAGAATTTACTTTCCACAGGTTCATCAGCATTCCATGAAATATTCCATTCTCCATCTTCCATTACTTCAGTAGATATTCCACCTGAAAATGTAACAAATTAAGCTGATATTGTTGCTTTAACAAATTCTAATAGTCCACTATAATTTTTTCAACTCTTTCAAATTCTCATTCTTCACTTTTCTTATGAGCATAAAAAATTTAATGTATCAGTAATATTTACACAAGAAGTTGAAGAAATTAATAATGAACCTGAGCTAACATCGAAATCATCCCAACCGCTTGTACTGAAATTATCACTCCAACCATCAGTCAGTGTATCACTGCTATTCTTTACTGCAAATGTGTTCCTATTCGTAACTTCATTGTCATCTGCGCTCGACTTAGATTTAATGCCTAACAAACAATTCAAATCATCTTCACCTGTAAAAATATATTCCATATTTTAAATTATTTGTTACTTAATACTATATCACTTCAGTGTGACACATCTAAATATATATTATATCGTTTTAATTACTACAATCGATTTAGAATCTAATTTGCTTTTTCTTTTGAATCATTCTAAAAAAGAAAAAAAAAAAGACCTGTAGATTTTAAAAATGGACGTTGCAATTTTAATCCTTTTGTTCCTGATGTTTTCCCGAATGGCTTCGAAGATGTCGTAGTAGACGGTTTACTTTTAGCAGCTATTACCTACAAAAAAAAAAAAAAAAAAGTGCATAAAACAACTGAACAAATGATTTTAATCCAAAATTTTTTTTAGGTTAAAATAATTTATTATAAATTTTAAAAATTAATAATCTCTATTTTCAGTAAGAAATATGCGAGAAATTATCACAAAAAAATTTTCCACAGCATTTTTTCTATCATAATGAATACTCTACTGGCTTTTAACTACACACAAAAACTTGTCATATTCTTTATGCCATAAAATACACATATGCACTATTATACTTCCATAATTTTCCGTCAATTACGATGGTGAAAATTTCAAGAACTATATAAAACATCTCCTCCTCTGAACATCTCCTCCTCTGCTAATTCTTCATTTCGAACTTATTCTTACTGATAGATAATAAAACTTTAGTAACATTCATATAAACTCATCGTTTCTTCAATACTTCAGGGCAAAACTAGATTAGCATAACTCTTCTATTACTCATAAAATCATCTTTTTCTAAAATCAAATCCTGCTCCAATCTATTTTTAAGTGTAAAACTCATAATTAAAAGAGAGGTAAAATAGCTGCTTACCAAATAGTCTTGTTTATGAATTTGATTTAAAATTAACAAATTAAATTCAATTTAATTCTTACTTCTCTCTGTTCATTATCATATCTTTCGTTGATGTTTGTGGCATTTATTATTAGTACATCATTAGCATCTTCCCACTCATCTTCATTTTCTGCAGCTAAATTATCTTCCAATTCACCCCAACCATCATCATTTGCAAATTTCTCTGGTGCTGTATCATATGATTTTAATTCAGAGGATGTTTTTGTGTTAGATTTTGATTCACAAATGGGTGCTTCTTGCTTAGGTGCTGACCCAGATTGGTTTTGCATTGAGGAAGAGTAGAATTTGCCTGAAAGTGATTTTAACGCCCAGCTTGCCCATTGTGGCACCTGAAATATATTATCATGTGGTATTAACAAGTTGATAAGGCCATATTCTTCGAAAGAGAATATGAATAACCTGTAAATAACGGAAATTACATTTTTAATATTTATTATCTCTCCTAATTAAAATTAGAGAAGGAAGAGATGTCGTAATTATTATTTGATTGATCAAAAATAATAAAAACAGTTAGTAGTATTAAGAAAATAATAATAAAAAAAAAAAAAAAAAACCTTGTCACTACTTAGCAAACCGCTTTTTCCACCAGCTTTAACTTGTGATTCGAGTTCTGCTATCAGTTCTGGATTTTCACTAGCTTTTTCCAGCTTTTCGATGAATCCATATAGTGCTTTGAAGCTTTGATCTCTGACCTGAATGTATATTACTTTGCTTTAAAAAAGAAAAAAAAATGAGTGTCAATAATATGCATACTAAGTAATAAAAATAAAAATGTGATAAAATGTGAAAATGCCTCATGGTAATAGCTACAAGCAATCTAAACAAACTTTCGATGTAGATCAAACTAATTCAATCAATCAATGAAAAAAAAAAATGAATCAATCTCTTCAAAATTGTGTATGTTATGAAAGTTTGCTTTCACTTTCAATATATATTTTGTATCATTTTGCAATTTTATCTAACTATGACGAAATATAGTAAATGAAATGTATGTAGCGAGTTTAGTGGAAAAAATTAAACATAATTTGTTCGCGAGATTAAATAACAAAATTTTACTAATCTTAATATTTTATTAAAATTTAATATTAAATGACCTGCTTTTCCTGATCACATGTCACTGGTGATAAGGCTGGTAATATACGATTTGCAACTTCAATTAATGAGTAATACTGTTGCGTAGCACTAAGTGCTAGAATAGCTGCCATTCTAGCAGGAGGAAATGGATCTTTGAGTGCACGAGTGAAGGCACTAATTAGAATTTGTTGACGATGACTTGGATCAATGTAACAACCAATTTTACCGAGGCAAATTGTTGCATTTGTTCGAATACCTGGTTGATCATCTGCGCCTGAATGCATTTCAAATAATAGAATCAATTCATTCTAAGATTTTTGGACACATCAAATTATTTAAGGAAATCGTTCTTTAAAAGAAGTTATTGTTGAGATTATTAAGAGAGAATAATTTGGAAATGGAGAGTTTTTTTTTTTTTTTACCATCAAGAAATAAAGCTAAGGATCAATTTTTTATGCGTTTTATTTTTACATCACATTTTTAAGCTTTGAGAGAAACATAGGAAAACTTCGGTAGTATAAACCTTACCTTGCAATCTTGCTAAATGCCGCATCAGATCAGTATTTAAATTTTGATTATTCAATTTATCAGCCAGCGAAACCATTGCTTTCACTGTACTTTCACGGACAGCCGGATTTGTATCCATAAAACCAGATGCAACATTCCTGAAAAATAAACCTTGATCTTTATTACAGTTTCACTGCATAAAAATTATACTAATTTAAGATAAAAAAAGGTGCATTTTCTTAAATGTATTTTTCCAATTTGATACTCCATGACAATGTCATTACACTTGTAGTAATTCGAAAAAAAGAAAAAATGCGCATAATGCATTTTGAAAACTTTCCAAAAAACAAAAATCCAAGAACCAACTTATATATCCGATCGTTAACAATTTGAGGCGTTAAATGCGGTGCGAATTCATCAATTCGTTCTAATAATTTTACACGTGTTACACGATCCGGTGAACTAAATAATTTACAAAGGCAAGGCACAATACGAAGCTGATACTCATTTTCATCCAATAAACGTCCCAATCGAAACAATGGCATCAAAACATGCGATCCAGCGTCACCATATTCGTAACTCTGTCATTAATAATAAGTAGGTAGAATAAGGATTAATGAATCTTGAACTTCAAATTAAGCAATAATGCAATTGTGATTGAAATAAGTATTGCATTTCTTTTTTTTTTTCTTTTATTTTGTAATTGAGAAGAAAAAGCTAAAGAAAAACCTATTGTGAGAAGATATAATAATAAATATTACTTGCAGTCTTTTAGCCATATATAACATACATGTATTAATTTTGGAAGAATCCTATATTTAGCAATGTTATCAGGAAAAAAATCCAATTCATTTTTCAATTCTGTGAAGAATGCCTGCTTTTCATGAGCATCTTTCAGTTGAAATTCATCCAAAAATAGCAATATATCTACATATCGATTCTTAAAAAAGCCTCCTGTTTGACGCAATTCTAAAATTTTTCCTGTATTATTATTGTAATATAATAAAATTTGATCAAAAAATAACATGCCAAACTTATAATAAAAAGTGATGTTTTAGTAAATAAGGGAAATAATTTGTTGACTAATAAAAAATGAGCACAAATATAAGTAACAACAGTTTTTTTTTCATTGTTCGTGAAAATTTATTAGAAAAAAAAAATGGCAAAAAACTTAAAGAGAAAAAGTAAAAAACTATGAAGCAGTACCTCTTAATAATTCTCCAGTATTTAGTTTAGCTGCTCGATTAGTAGCCATTTTTTTATAATGCACATGCAGTTGTTGAGGAACTCGTTTTGGTGCTTCCGGTTTCGTTATCGATTCATTGAAGCCGTTGAAAATTTCCCATGTAAGTAATGCGAATGAATTAAGATCAGTACATGGATTACTAAAATAAGGTTAATTTAAATAAAAGCTATCAGTATTGAATTAAATAAAACGCAATGAAAAGTAAATTTCAAAAAAGGAAGGAAAGTATTTCTCGATGGTAGAGAGAAAAAAGTGTACCTAAAAACGGTTGATTTTTCAAAACCACCAAGTTTCCAATCTCCACTTTCTGTGACATAAACAGAGTACCGGATATTTTCATGACTTAATTCGGCCTCTTGATGCAAGAATTTTAAACAGCTCTGTAAGCTCAGGATTCATTGGTTTTCATTTTCACTCACACAAAAATAACAATATGATAGACTAGTAACTGTATAACGAATCCACAAACAAGAATTTTAATTAATCTCTGAAGCTCTGAGCTTTGTTCTACTTTGCAATTATCTTGAATCTTGAATTCTTTAAAAACACATTTCGGAACTTTCCAAAAGCAACAATGAAAGTCTAATATATTATTATTTAATTCCAAAATGAAGCATTTCCATTTGTTATACTCAGAAAGGCTGACACAAATGAAGCTATCTATAATTGAAAAATATTTTACAATTAAAAAAATGAAAAATGCAAATAAATCTATAACGGCAAAAAGAGACATACCAGTAGCTGAAATAGACCCCAGGAAACAACAAAATCTTTTTGTTTATCAGTTAGTTTGTTTTCCGTAATATAAGTTTTCAGAGGAACGCAAGCTTCTGTTATCAAATAAAAAGTACCATTCATCTGGAACAAAAACTAAATTAGTGAGTACTGTAAACTGAATATCATTAGTGCTATCAGTTGTGATTTCAGAAATATTAAGCGTGGAATGCTAAATTAGCAACTATGAAGTCTCAAGCTACATTATTATTCATGAAATGAATCTTAAACTCTTGAAGAAATGAATATGCAATATAACTTTTGAAGAAAAAAAAGTTTGTTAAATTAAAGTTTGACAAAAAAAAAAAAAATTAAAAGCTATATTTACAAAATATTAAAACCTCAACGCTATCCAAATAAGCGAGAACATTTGGGTGCCGGAGAGTTTTCAGTTTACGTGCTTGAGCTTTCAGTACTGATCCTGGACCATAATCGGATACTGTTGCCCAGAAACAGGTAGCAAGTTCGGATGGTTCAGCCTGAAATAATACTGAATTATTGACAAGTGATATTTGAAAATTAAACTTCCTATAATTCTTATTTCAGACAAACTAAAATTCATCTAAATTAATTATTTTCTTAAAAAAATGCCTTTTTTTTTCTTTTTTTTTTTAAGATGAAACATTACTTTTTTAAAGCTTTTTCCAATGTATATGCCATCGAAGGTATAAAAACTGCTAGCAGGTAGCTCATATGGGAATACACTTTTTGGATCACGTGAAAAAAGTGATGACAATACCGATGTCATATATTTTTCCTGTAAAATATAAAAGATACGTTCAAAATGCTCTTATCAATAATGACTATATTTCTTGACGTTAGCATCTAACGTTTATCATAATTCACTGATATAATGATTAATCAATCACTTATAAAACAGACTAACTTGAAAAGATAATAATAAATGCAAAGATAATAATATACATATAATAATAATAATAATAATATAATAATAATAAAACAAAGATAACAAATAATAATATAATAAAGAAAAGATAATAATAAATAATAAATGCTTAGATTCCTCAATTTTTCACTCTTCAATTCATCTTTTCAATAAATTTTGCATCATTATTAGTTTGAAATTACAAATATAATTTGATTGAAAGTTTCGATCAAAAGTTAATCAATGTAATTTGATCATTTGAAACGATAATAAAAATTTCATAAAAACAGAAAAAAAAAAAAAAAAAACATTTTATATATAACTCTTATCCATGTATTATAACATTTAACAATAACAACAAAAGAAAAAAAAAAAATAAAAATTCGAAAACAAGATTTTAGCAAAATGATCTTACGCCCAAACGATGAGATATCATATTTATCAGTTACCGTATTGTTGACTATTTTATTATTTCTCAGCATTTTTATCATTTTTTCTTCAATGCATTACTGATTTAATTGATCTTATCACTTTTATCTTATCACTATTACTATTTATAATTCCTAATCAGTGAAATAAAACAGTAATTAATCTGTGTTATTTATTTCATCAATTTATTTAATTAAATCAATTATGCATTAGGAATTATAAATCATAGTGATAAGATAAATGATTTTTTGCTAATTTTTAAAATTAATTCTTCAAATTTCACTCATTTGTAATAATTAGCTTAAAAAAAAGTTTATAATTTGCAATCATAAATATAATGAAATTTGATAGGTAATAAAAAAAAAAAAAAATTGAAATATTAGACAAGAAAAATGTTATATCATTCTTATAAATTTTTATTTTTTATTTCAAATTATAAATAATATACATTGAATTTATTATTTATAATAAAATGATTAAAAGTTTTGTATATTTAACACTTTTTTATTAAATTTTATTTTGTTGAGCTAATACGATCTTTAAGATTTCTAGTTTTTTTTTTTTTCTTATAAAATTTATGTATTTTAAAAGTATATATTTATGATTGTTTGATAAATGTGAAATTAGCAATGATTGATTGAAAGGGTTTATTTATTTATTTTTTTTTAAACTATTATTCAAGTAAGATAATTAGTAATTGTTGAGTTATTTTAGTGACATATTTCAGTATTTGGTGGTGTTCGAACAGACAATACTTCAGATATAAAATTGCGTGCTTTAGAAGAATCAGGACGCTCTACAAGAATACTTATATTTCCTTTTAATAAACCCTGAAAAAAAAAAAAAAAAAAAATAGATTTTTATTAATTTTATAGTAATATCAATCATCATTTTAGGTAGTAAAATTTCTAAAATAATATCAGTAATTATTTAATTTAATTTTCTATATTCCTTCTTCCTCTTTTTATTTATTTATTTACTAATTTATTGGAATATTATTTACCTGAACAATAATTTTTTTTGCCATTTCTTTATCATTAATAATTGTTCCATTAACTTGCAAAATTCGATCACCAACGATTAAACATTCAGCACTTAATGAGCCATTTAGCACACGTGTCACATAAACGTGTCCTTCTTTATTACTTTTTACTTGCTAAAAATTATCTTTAAAAAAAAAAAAAAAATGACAAATATATAAAATAGGAAAAGATTTCAAAATGATGAAAATATATTTTTGATTTTAATTTCCTTTCTTTCCTTTGTTCTTGTCATCAATTTTTCGTAGTTGTTTTTTTTTTTTTTTTTTTTTCTGCATTTAAACCCTTTTTCAGTGATATTTACATATATCCATCCAGGTGATATGCATGCATGCATTGCAACTACACTTGCACGTGATATACATGCATGCATTGCAACTACACATGCACGTGATATGCATGCATGTATGAGAGAGTGAGGGAGAGAGGGAGAGGTTCCTATTGCAAAAGGATGTTTCGACCTCGGCAGGAGTCGAACCTACAATCTTCGGTTCCGTAGACCGACGCGTTGTCCATTGCGCCACGAGGCCTCGACTTAGCTACCCATAAATAAGAGTTACCCATAGATGAATATGAATGAATTAGGTAGGGCGAAAATATTGATTAATTTGAATGATGAATGATTAGATAAGAGATAATTACAGTGCACCGCCACACAGTTTAACATTACAGAGAAGTGAATCTCCAAAAATTATCAATATTTTAGATTACTTTTGATGCTTAAATTACTTACTTATATTGATTGAGCTTAAATTGTAATCAGAATCATTTTTTCATTTTTTTATCTCAAATGACTGAATTTTTTAACAATTCCTTAAAAAAAAAAAAAAAAAAAAAAAAAAAAAAACTTCTTACATCATTTTATATGCACTTTTTTTTTCTTTTTTTAAAGCATTCATTAGTTTTAGATTAAAATTAATTAGCAAAAATATTGTAATCTTATTATTTTCATTAATAAATAATAATAATATATATATAATAAATATAAATAAATATACATATATTAATCATTGTAAAATTAATGTTAGAAAAAAAAAAAAAAGAAGAAATTTTAGTATAAACTAACCAAACCTACTCGTGTACCTATCCTATGTTGTGTCATTTTCACTTTCAAATATAGAAAACCTTCACGTTTTATAATTCTTTTATCATCAACATATTGCTCTTGCTTAATTTTTTCGCCACGTTTTTTATCACGATTTACTGTGATGCTGAATTTTCACCTTTTTTTTTTTTTTTTTTTATTTTTTCTTTTTTTTTAAAGCTAAAAAAAATATTCTTATCATTTATAAAATAATTCTTTTGAATTAGTTTTCATCTTAAATAAATTTGATAATATCTTTGTTAATATTATTATTCTTTAGAATAAGTAGAAATTAATCAAAAAAAAATAAAAAAAATAAAATTGAGGAATAAGTAAGCATTTATTATTTTTTTTTTTTTTTTTTGTTTTTTTAGAAAAATATTCTTTAAAATTCGTTAGAATTTTAGAATAAAAAAATTTGAATGTGTAAAGATGATTATGATTTAATTGATTAGTGTCCTATTTCATACTATTATCATTCATTTTCATTTTTCTTAGTGTTATTATTCCTTAGAATAAAAAAAAAATTGGTAATTTTTATTGAAAATAGTGTGTGTGTGTGTGTGTGTGTGTGTGTGTGTGTGTGTGTGTGTGTGTGTGTGTGTGTGTGTGTGTGTGTGTGTGTGTGTGTGTGTGTGTGTGTTGTGTGTGTGTGTGTGTGTGTGTGTGTGTGTGTGTGTGTGTGTGTGTGTGTGTGTGTGTGTGTGTGTGTGTGTGTAGTGTGTAGTGTGTAGTGTGTAGTGTGTAGTGTGTAGTGTGTAGTGTGTAGTGTGTAGTGTGTAGTGTGTAGTGTGTAGTGTGTAGTGTGAAATTTATTTTTAATTCACCGTGTAATGTGTTGTTTTCGTTGAATTCGATCAAATGCATTTCGATCACTTACAGAGCAATCATTTACTGCCAAAATTTTATCACCAACATTAATTCGATCTTCTAATGCACCGCTTCGTTGTACAAATGTTACAGTGAGCTAAAATGAAAAATCAACAAAGAAGCTTTAATTAATTGATATAAAATTATTGATTGATTGATATGAAATTAGTGATTAATTGGTGTGAAATTATTGATTAGTTCATATGAAATTATTGATTAATTGATATGAAAATAGTGATTAATTGATATGAAATTATTGAAATAGCTTCTTTTTTTTTTTCTCTCTCCTTTTTTCAAAATAATAATAACAGTATAATTAAAATGCGAAATTATCTTCTCCTAATTTTCTTTTTTGTTTATCAAATTAAGCCTTCTAGGTTACATTTATTACAAATGTTATCATTTTATCTTCTTAAATGATTTCATTTAAATCAATAATAAATATTTATTAGTGTAAAAGAAAATAATAGTAATAATGTTTTTTTATCCATTCTATGTTTTAATTTGTAAGGTTTAAGTTTAATTTTTTTTTTTTTGAAGTTTAATAATTAACAAATACATCATATACAATGTACTTTTGATAAAAGTATTGATTTGCATAGTTTAAAACTAGCTAAAAATACAAAAATACAACCAATAAAGTGGTAATAATTTCATTTTTTTTTTTTGAAATGAACTATTAATCATGAAATAGATGCTTCGATGTATAAAAATGATCATTTTGATTACATAATTGAAAAAAAAAAAAGAAAATATTATTGTTTTTTCTTATTTCTTTTCATTAATATATCATCATTCTTCTCTTTCTCTCTCTCTCTCTCTCTCCTTCTCTCTCCCTCTCTCTCTCTCTCTCTCTCTCTGATTCCCTTCTTTGTTTTTTTCATAGGAATTGCTTAGCATTTTTTTTTCTATTTCATTAAAATTTTCAGTGCAATGTGTAAAAATTGTAAATTCTCAAAATTAATTATCCCTAAATATTAATTATGACGTGTTTATTAAAATTTTAAAATTTCATTAATATATGGATTGAAATATTTAAAATTATTAAAATTTAATTAATAAAACATTATGATGAATAATTTTTTTTTTTTTTGAATTACAATAAATTATTTTAAATGTATTAAAAAAAGAAAGGAAAGAAAATCATACATCCTTGGTATATGATATGCCAGGTAATTCACCAGCATCAATATTAACATAAAGGTGATGCAACTCTTCATTATCAGCAATCATCACTCACTCGATCATATGCAAATATCAACAATGCTTTAGAAATTCATACAATTATCATTTTTATTTATTTATATAAATATTTTCCTATTTAACTTTTTTTTTTTTTTTTTTTTTTTTTTGAGATTTTATTATTGATTAGTTATAAATTTAGAATTAATATTTGAATAAATTATTGTTTAAATATGAAGAAATATGTATACAATTTTTTATTTAAAATAAATGTATAAATCATAGAACTATGCTATTTTATTGAAATTTTTAACTTCTTTTTTCTTATTTGTTTTGTTTTATTTTATTTTGTTTTTCTTTTTTTTTTTTTTTTTTTTGTCTTTTTTTCTGAATAATAAGGAAAAAATGAACTCATAATAGAGTATTAGATGAATGAAATATTCTAGAAGATATTTTTAAGAATAACTCTTTTTTTTTCCTTTTTTTTCTGGAAAAAATTTAGCTTTTAGAAAATTTAATTTTATTTAAAAATCGAATTTCCTTATGCAAATAGCATTCCTAATTGTTATAATTTCTACTAGCAATATTTGGATATAAAAATATGCAAAAAAATTTACATTATTTTTTGCAATAGCAATGTTATGATTGAATTTCATTTGATATAAAACTGAATATAGTGTTAAATTTATATTTTGTGTTTTTGTTATTTTGCTAAAATGAATGTTTGGTAGTTTTTTTTATTTTCAGATTTAAGGATTTAAGTTTCATTTTCAGGATGGATATTAAAATTTCCATTATTGGAGCTTTAGCACTTGGCTCAATATTCATTATTGTTGGCGTTCTCTCTCTAACTATCGTTCCATTAACGGTAAACAAGGAAGTTATCAAGGTTTATTTATTTATTTTTTAGCATAATCATTTTGTATTCAATAACATAAATTAATAAATTGCAAATAAGCAAACAATTAAATAAGCAGATAATATGCTATCTTTATTTATTTCATTATTTTAAATATTTAAAATACTTTTTTATATCTTAATTATTAGATTAGCAAGCTAATAGGAATAATACTTGTTTTCTATGGAATGATTAATGATTAATGATATTTGAAGTGTAGATTTTTTATCATTTGCAGTTGTTAAGTATATTATTTAATTTAAAATGATAGTAATTGTGAATTAGTGGATTGATTGAATGAAAAAATTATACTTATGACTTTTTAAAGTAACTTCAATTACAAATAATCTCTCATATTCTAAGCATTAAAAAAAAAAAAAAAAGTTTTTTCTTTTTCTTTTATTTTAGCATTTTTAATTTTAGAATGAACATTTGGGTTACGATGAAAATGGTACTTATAATGTAATGACTCAGCGTTGGATTGAGCAAAAATATTCAATGAAATTGAAAATATGGACAGTTTCTGTGGCAAATCCAAATGATATTTCAAAAGGAAGCTATCCTGTGCTTATTGAAAAAGGACCATATGCTTACACGTTAGTTATTTGTGTGCAATTTATTTATTTATTTATTTTTTTGATGTTTAATATAATTTTTTCTTTTTTGCTTTTGATTATTTCCATTAGCTAACTTGGATATTTGATGAATTGATAAGTAAAAATTGTACACCTCTCTCTCTCTCTCTCTCTCTCTTTTCCTCTCTTTTTTTAAGAAGATAATATCTTTTACAGGGAATATCGGAAGAGAGTAAAGGTAAATTTCATGCATAATAATACACGTGTACTGTTTCGTAATCAACGTTATTACATTTACAATAAAAATGAATCATGCGCAAATTGTTATTTAAATGATACGGTTATGATACCAAATATTATGTTCCAGGTATGTATGATTTTTAATGATTTTCCTTAATTTATATTTAATTATGGTGAAGATTTATTTCATTGTTATACTAGAAAAAAATATAGAGTAAAAAGAATGAGAATAGTATTACTAATTGATATTAATTTTATTTCAAAATTTTTCATTTATTAGAAATTTAAGTTCAACTGTTTTTCTTTTTTCAAGTATATAGCTAATATTGCTGCTAAAAGTGGTCCAATGGTAAGACAAGTGATTAAACTTGCTCTTCAACAATTCAAATATGAAACACCATTCATTAATGTAACTGTGAATCAGGTTCTCATTTTCTTTTTATTATTATTATTATTCAACCAATATTTATCTCTTCTAGTTTTAGTAAGGTTACTTAAATAAGTTTGTATGGAAAAAAGAAAGACAAAAATTTACTGCTAATTCGTAAAAAAAAAAAAAAAAAAGAAGTGAAATTGAAACATTTGAAGGTGAATTTGATAAGATTTTTAATTCAGTAAAATATGCGCAAATTAACAGTGAAACAATAATGCTATTAAATGTATATGCAAATTTTAATGCAAATAATTTTTTCTTTTTTATTTTAGATGCTATTTGAAGGATATGAAGATCCGTTAATAAGAATGATTTGTGATAACAGCTTAATTCATAATCTATGTATTGCTGCCGGGATTCCAATGCGTGTAAAATTCCTGGTAAATTTTTTAAATTATTTGATCAATCTATAAGTATGAAAGGTTTTTTTTTTTTCTTTTAATTTGATCTCATTTCTTTTCAATAAAAGTTTAACCTAAATCTCTTCTAATTACAGTTATAAATGAAGAAAGAAAAACTTCCTGAAATAAAAATTGTATAACTACGTCTGTTATGATGATATATGTGAAATAAGATTGATTATTTTAAAATTTATAATAAGATAATAAACTAAAAAAAAAAATGTCTTTTTAAACTTAATAAAATAATTGAATGTGTGTGTGTGTGTGTGTGATTATTCTATTCTTATTTGTAATGACTGTTTTTTTTTTCTTTTTTTTTTTTTCAGAAAAAAAATTTTAAATCTTTGATAAGTATTTTTTTTTTTTTTTTTTTTTTTTAGGAAAATGGTACAGATAATGGTGAATATTTGATTGATACTGGATTAGAAGATAATAGTAAAATTGGTCAAGTATATAAATGGAATGGACAAAATGAAACACCATGGTGGAGCACTGCACAAGCACGTAAAATTAATGGAACAGATGGAGAACTATTTTCACCATTTTTATCGGAATCTAATAATTTACCCATTTTTATTGGTGATTTAGGCAGGTAAGATATTTTATACTAATTAATCATCAAATAATTTTATAATTTTTAGAATATTAATCTTGTACAGTACTTTTCATAATTCAAATATGCCTAATTCTCCAATGAGTAAGCAAGAAGAGAATGATTTATTTGAGTTAAATTGAGTTGATTATATTTTTGGTTTATTGTGCTTTTATGTTTGATACTTTTAAGATTCAAAAAAATATATGTTTTTTAAATTCAATGGATTAGTGTTATGCTCAGTTACTTTTTTTTTTTTTAAAAAAAAAAAAACAATTCATATTTTTTTAAATCTATTTTTTACTTTTTCTTTTCTTACTGTTTAGTTGGCAAATGACAAAAATTTTTTCTCCATTTAAAATGTTTGATCTAGAATAACTTTTTTTTTTTGAAATGATTCATTTAAAAAAAGAAACTAAAACTCTAAAAGGTGAATTTATTTTCTTCATTCGTTGAAAAATTATTAATGTTATTGTAAAAGTTATTGACCTTACCTTTAGAACTTTACAATTTTTGATTTGCTTCCTATCCCTCTCCATAATGAATTTTTTGATGTAAATTGAGATTTCTTTAGCATTATTTTACTTTTAGTTTCCTTTTTTCTAGTAATGCATAATTTGTTCATACTTTACCTGGCTTAATAGATTACTTTGATAAGTGATTAGTTATCCTTAAGGAAGCATATGTGTGCGATATTTTATTCTTCATCTTAGCTATTTCTTTTATAGATTTTAAATTTTAAAATAAATTACATTTTAAGAAGTGCTAATGAATACGTAGCAATTTGAAGAAGTTGAATTGATATAGATAAGCAGTAAGTGATAAGAATGAAATCATTCTAAAATTATTCTAAAATATATATGAAATCTTAGGTAAGATATAATGTAGCACTGCAGCAATAAAGTTATTAAATGTAGTCAGTAATCAATTTAAACAAGGAAAAAATCAATTATTAAAGCAAACAGAGAGTGATTATAGCTTAATGATAATTATAGGTTTTTTTTTTTTTTATATGTATAACAAAGACTTGAATGCTGATTTGATAAAGAATTGACAACTTATTTTAAACTTTCAAGATATCAGTATCAGTTTAAACATATGGTTGGATTATTGATGTGTACTGTAAAGATTAGAAGTAAAATTAAAAGAAATAATAGTAAAGTAAATCAAAGAGTTATTCTACTTCCAAGTAATTCGTTTTGATTATTCTATCAGTTATTGTAATTAAACACTTTAAAAAAAAAGGAAAAAAAAGGAAAAAGAAATTTCTTTTACACTAAAATATTAATTATATCATATTGATATGTAATATTTGATAAATTAATCTCTAAAAGAATGTTAAAACTATTAAAATTATCATTATTATCATTTACTATCTTTTACCAATGTTTATAATTAGTAAAAGGAAGAGAGAATTTAATTAAAATGAAAAATATATTCTATTAGTAGCATTAAAAATAATCATTAAATGACGAATGATAGTTTCTTATCAAATGATAATCAAAATTAATTATGAATATTTTTCAATTAAAAGTTCTTTTTTTTTTCCTCACAATTTCAATGACCATTAACTCTTTTTTTCTGAACACATTTTTTATGATACATTACTTAACCGAATTTTTGAATTTAATAGCTTTTGATATATTTCTATTAATGCTACTATTACATCTAAATATATTTAAACCATTGTAAGTTTACTTATTCTTTAATATCTGGTAGAAAATTTTATTCAAAACAGTTGAAATTTTGCATATGATTCACTTTGATTATGAAAATTGGGGAAAAAAAAAAGTTATTTCTTATCCTGGAAATATTTGTTGATGAGAATTAAAGAAACAACTATAAATTTTGAATTTTAATATGCATATATATGTATAATTTTGATTTCATTCATTTTAATATGATATTCAAGAATTATAAAAACTTTCTTCTTCCTAATATTTAAGATGAAAATTGATCATTTTTAAATTTTGCTCTTCAATTTTTGTTTTTTACCTTTTCAAATAAGACTTAATGAGCGGAATCATTAATATTCTTGTAAAGTTTTGATTTATAACTTTTTTTTTGATAGCATTATTAACTTTTACTTTTTTAATTTTTTTTAACTTTCAAATTTGAAAATACAGGAGTACGATGAATTAGATTGATGTAGTTACGGCAATAAATGATTGATGCTATTCTTTTGGAATTTTTTCTCAAATTAAATTTGTCATTTGTTTCTTCTAAAAAGAAAGCGAAGTATCTTTGTCTCTTCTCATTCGTATACTGCAGTAATTTCAAACGTAGTAATTTCTTCGTTAATCTTTGATCTTTATCTATTTTTGTTAATACAATTAATTAAATAGCATAACTGTATTAAGAAAGGAAAAAAGGAAGCGCAACATATTTGATTTTTAAAAATTTAATAACATAAATTTTACAGACAAAAGAGATATCTTTGCTACTTTCCTTCTTTTTTCTTTTTTAGTGATATTAATTTCGAATTATTTCATTTAAAATGAACAAACTATGAATTGAAAAGAATTTATTTTTGTCTCTTTTTTGTATTTGTTTGTTTGGTAAAATGTAAATGGCTTCAAGTAAAAAAAAAAAGAAAGAAAAATGCCTAGTTAGAAGATTAAAAAGTTAAAATGATCATTTTAAATTAGATAATGAAAGATTAATGAATGAGATTGAGAAGGATATTGAAAAGAAAATGAAAAATCATTAATTCTTGATAGGCAAATTTCTTTTTTTTTTTTCTGATCTGTTAACATTTTTTTTTCTTTATTTTCTAGTTAATTAACTAATGAAATAGAAAAAAAAAAATGTATATATATTTTAAATTTAACTTCCAATTTTTTTTTTTTTCATTTAAATTTATAAAACAAGCAATTTCGTTTTCGTTTTCGTTTTTTTTTTTTTTTTGTTTTAATTGTTAGATTAAAAAGAAAAAGAAAAAAATTAAGTGTGAGAAATTTTTTATTGAATATAATAGATCATTTCGTTTCATTCAATCATTCTCTTTCTCTCTTTTTTTCTCTCTCCCTCTCTCTCTCTCTCTCTCTCTCTCTCTCTTTATTCATCAGTAAAGCATATCGATTTTTATATTTAGAAATGAAATAATTAAACCTAACATTCCATTCATCCATCAGTATCAACCTCTATCGCACAACAATCCTCATTTGTGGGCCTTATATAGCGCTCCCGTGGCCTAATGGATAAGGCGTTGGTCTCCTAAGCCAGCAAAAATAGAAAGAGTCAACCAACGATGGGGGTTCAAGTCCCCCCGGGAGCCTAACGTTTTCTTCTTTATATACCTATTTTTATAAGTTATTAATATCTCTTCTCCTCTAAAAATATTAATTTAAAAAAAAAAAAAAAAAAAAAAATTATCCTATAAAGTAAACAAATTTATTTCATATGTTTCTCAATTAATTAAGATAAAATAATATGCATAAGATAAGTTAAAAAGAATAGGAGGATATGTAGCAGTAACATTGTAAAGTAAATTTTTAGAAATTGTGTAAAATTTAGAAATTTTAATTGTATTTACTTATAGTAGTATAAAAAATCTTTCTCTCTTCCTTTTTTCTTCCCTCTCTCTCTTTCTCTCTATTCCTTTTCATTTAAGATCTCTGTCTTTCATTCATATTTAATAATTTTAGTAGTTCAATTTAATATTACCATCAGAAAATGTTTTACGATCAAAAAAAAAAAAAGGGAATTTGTAGTACAATTAAGTGGATTTCTTATTGCAATACAAGTTTTTTTATTAAATTATTGGTTGTTATTTGGTTCGTTTTAGAATTTTAAATTTTATAATTTTCAAACTTGATAAATGAACCATTTTTCAAATGAAAAAAAGTAATGAATTCAACTTTAAATGAATTCAATCTTATCTCAGGTGACTCTTTTTCAGCTTTATAATTTCAGCTTTTAGTTTCTATTTTAATTTATTTTAAATGACTTATTCTTTTCTTAATGCTACCAATATTGCAGTAATATTTTGCTCTTCTAATTCGAGTAGTTTGAATTTAGTGCATTTTGATTTATGATATTTCTAGAAATTCAAATTTTAATAGTGAATTTATTTGGTAAAATAAAGCATTGATCAGATCTTTACAAAAATTAATTCAAATATTTGAAAAGAATAGAGAGAGAGAGAGATAATTTTAGATCAGTTTACCTGGATTATGATGGAATGGTGACACATGGACGAATACCATCATATCGTTTTGTGATTCCGTCAACAGTTTATAATCCATTTTTGCCCGAAAATAAAGGATTTTGTAGTCGTGAAACACCTCGCTATTTCAGTAATGATATACAACCTGGTTAGTTTCCTATCAGAAATTAAAATTTATTAATTAAAAAAGAAAAAATGAACTAATTCTAATTAAGCTATCAAACAAAAAGTTTTAATTTCGATGTTTGAAATGAAATGTTGCGTACATTCAGACATTTAAATTCATGAATTCTTAAATTCACTTACATAACTTTGATTTTCATTTTTTTTTTTTAGAAGGATGCTTACCTGCTGGTATGTTTGATATTGGTCGTACAAAAATTGGTTCTCCACATATCTATCTATCTGGTGTTCATTTTTATCAGTCACCTCCACAGATTTATCAAAATTTCACCGGTTTCCGGCATCCGGATAACAGCGACGCAACATATATTGACATTGAACCGGTCAGTTTGTTTTGTTTTGTATTTTAAATGCTTAAAATATCAAATTTAAATAGATGCTTGAATTTGAATTTTGTTCTGGAAAAGGAAAAAAAAAAACTTAAACTTTCGAAAATTTCAATAAAAATTATGATTTAAATTTTTATAATCACAAAAAAAATTTCTTTCTTTTTAATGATAAATTTAGAAAAGATTTAGACATTCGATGTAAATAATTTGCATTTTATTGATTGCAGTATACTGGTGTTGTTGTGAGTGCATTTGGAGCTTCTCAAATTAATATTGGAATGATCAGTGGCAATTCATAGTTTGTTTTTTTTTCTTCGTTATCTTATAAATTTTTAATCAAATTAACGAATGAATTAAAATGAATAGCTAAGGAACAATATCGTGAAATTTCTTTTTCCGAAAATAATAATTTGAAGTTTTTGTATAGTTTTATCATTGGCAGAATTGCATTGAATTGATATTTTGTGGATAATTTGAACTTTGTTAGCAATGATTAAGAAATTGCATAAATTAGTTAAAATTAAGGTCAAATTCGAAGTTATGCAATGAAATGAATGTAACATTATTTGATTTTTGTATTAAATTATTTATAACAAGTGTGAAATTTAATTTGCTAAATATTTTTTTTTTTTTAAACTTTAAAAAAACTAACTATTCTTTTTAGCTTGCTTAGTGAAATGCCAAGTATGATTGTACCTGTACTATGGATGAACGAATTGATAAATTTAGATGACGAGACAAGAAAAGATTTAGAAAAAGTTGTGCTTGTGCCACGAGGAGTAAGTTGTGATTTTAATTTATTGAAATGTTGACAGTTTAGCAAATGGATGGATTAATGAGGAATGGTTCGATGATGAGAATGATCGAAAGCCTATGATGTTTCATCTCTATAAAACTTTGATTGACATTATTATTATTATCATTATCATTATCATTATTATTACTATTATCATTATCATTGTTATTATTATTAATGATAATACGGTTAAAATTAAAATAATTAGATAATTTATGAATGTTTAATCGTATTTTAGGCACGCATTCTTGGTATTTTACTGATAGGCTTAGGCTTACTTCTTTGGACAATTTTCTTGATAATCTCATTGAGAAATATGTACTTAAGAGTAAGTTCTTTATTTTATTTTATTTTTTTTTTTTTAATTTCTTGGCAAATTTTTATTAATCTTATAAAACATTATCAATTTTCAAAAGCATAGTACTTTGGTTTTAAATATTTTTTTTTTTTATTCGGAAAATATTTACATTTAAAAAAAAAGAAGAAAAATATAATACTTTGGTACAACTCATGTAATTTTAATTACGCTGGAGTTTTTGCTTTTCTTTTTTTTAAAAAAAGGGAATTTAACCTTTAATTCGATGAAAAAGCAGTAAGAAAGATTGAGAAGAATGATTATTAAGTGAGAAGAAAGTTGAGAAATACAAACTTTTGAAAAATGTAGGGATTAAACTTTGAATTGGTTGAAAAAGTTAATTAATTAATTAATATTTAGTGTGTTTTAGAGGAAAGATGATGACGAAGCACATCTAATTGACGATAATGTGGAAAACTGAAGCAAATGAAAGGTAATTCTTTTTTGAATGAACGAATTACGAATTTATTTTGTTTTTTGTCAATGGTAATTTAAAAATATAGCTATCATTCAGATTTCTGATGTTTTTTTTTTACAGATTCATTTGATTAAAATACTTATTTTAAACATTGTAAAAAGAAATATGTATGTATTTATGTATAAATATTTGAGATTAGAGTTGTCCGAAAGTATTTTTGTATAATCTAAAATTTGTAAATTGCTTACTAGAATTGAATTTTTATACATTCCGTGCATCTTTAGATATATTTACATTAGAAGTAGATTTTATAATGCAAAATGTTTGATTGTATCTATCAGAATAATTAATCGCTATTGATAGCTTTCAAATACAATTACGACTTTCATTTATTATTAATTACATTGATAATTATTTCAAGTATTCTTACCTGTAATGAAAAAAAGAGAAAAAAAAAAGAGCTATGATAAAAATAAGTTAATAATAAAACTTATTAAGATAAAATAGACTGGTAATATATCTCATACTTAATCAGTATTATAATTTTAATTTAAAAAAAAGTGACGAATTTCACCTAGAAGTTTTAAAATAAAATGAATATTATTATCATATTGTTGTATATATTAAATTAAAAATGAATTATGATGAAGAAAGGAATTATAAAAGATATATTTAAAAATTTTTCTCTGCCTTTTTTTTCTTTTTTCTTCAAAGAAAGTCGAAAGAGTATTTTTAAGCTATTATTTTCTATTTTGTTAAATTTACGAGGACATGCTTTTTGATTTTATTTGGCTTTATACTTTTGCAATTTTTTAACAAATATAAATATTTTATTTTTTGAAGCTTTTCAATTAAAATTCAAATTTCAGTCATATAAAATTTCTATTTCATAAAGAATATACGAAGATTGCATACCACAATGGCTGCAAACTATCTTAAGAATTATTGGAGAAGTCTGTAGAATTTGTAAGAGAGAAATTTAAAATCTATAAAGAGAGAGAAATTTAAGATCTATAAAAGAGAGAAATTTAAAATCTATAAAAGAGAGAGAGGAAAATCTGTAAAAGAGAAAGAAGTTTAAAATCTATAAAAGAGAGAGAAATTTAAGATCTATAAAAGAGAGAAATTTAAAATCTATAAAAGAAAGAGAGGAAAATCTGTGAGTTATTATTCATTATCAATCTCATATCATTGAGTACAATCATACTGTAAATGCTACCATCGTTTGGAAAGAAAATGATAAATGATTTTATCATGATTTTTATCAGTGTTAATCATAATATCATAAAAAGTATTCGTACATGAGCAATAATATACATTTTTGTTTCAATTTTCGAACATATCCCATACCTTCAAATATAATACCGGAAAATTTGGTAATTAATTACATTCACATAAAATTATTTCAATTTATCTTCGCAATCTGTGTTAAAATTTAATAGAATTTGTTTATAACATATTATATTTAGTACGATATTAACGAAATTTCATCCCTTTGCTAAATTTCATTCTAAAAAATTTTCATTTTGCAAAAATATATTTCATATTTATTAAACAATTATGAACGACCGTCATTGTTACTATTATTTGATTCGGAATTTGATGAGCAGAATAGCTTGAAATTTAATATATGGTGCACTTCAATATGTTTAAATGTAAAAGCAATGCTTTATGGTGGGTGGTTTTTTTTTTTTTTTTTTTTCCTGAATGCTTTTTCTTTCCTGTATGTTTAAAAAATTGTCATTCGGAATGCATGGAATCAGAGTATTTGAAATATTATCAGATGATATTTGATAATGATTTGTGGTCTCTGAATTTGGAAATTTTTATTTTAATATAAATTTCAACAGTTCAACAAAATATCATAACAATACCCGTAAAGAGAATATTAGAATTATTAGGATGACAGGTGGTTTACAGAGGTGGTTAACCATAAATCGAAGATTATCAACCAAAAATTTAAGTTAATACATTTCTAAAAACAATACTAAAAATGGTAAAGCAGCAGATAGAAAACAGAAGTAGAAATTTACGATATATATTAGAAAATTTAAACTTCTAGCAACTAACCCTAAAATTCTAAGCTGAATCTCTGGCCTGCTCTCTACGGGTCAATCAGTATACTTAGATAAGCTAATTTTTGGGACGATATTCATGGATTGCAATTCCTGAAACAATAATTTGCAAGCGTATGGAATTTTAATGGTTGCCATAGTTCGAGAAGAACGACACATTTGACACCAGCTTTTGTAACCAATTAAACCACACTGCGAACAAACATCCACCTATAAATAACATTTCAGATTTGCTTAATATCAGATGTTAAAAATTAGACAATGAAAATCTCCAATCATCTCTTTAAAATAAAATGAGACTTCTTCTGTGCACAACTATTTATTAGCAGTAATAAATGAAGCGAAATTTTCTCCGCAATTAATTTTGACGATAAAATGAAGACATGAATATCATGAATTTTATTATAAATCCGTGATGACTTGATGAAAGCTTATGAAACAACTAAAAAATTAAGCAAGGTTTTAGTGAATTGCATAATCCCAGATCTCAACTTTATAAATAAAATCTGAAAATAAAACAGCTTCAAATTTAAAAATTAATTTTCGAAAAATCCATGGAAAAGTCTTACTTTGAATTCATCCGATGAAACCATTAGCCTTTCCATTAGCAACATACTTGCACCATAAGCAATCAGACAGTCTCTTTCCATTTCACCCAATCGTAAACCACCATCACGTGCTCTTCCCTCGGTTGGTTGACGTGTTAGTACTGCTCTACAGACATTTCGTTATTTTCAAATTGCAAAATAATTTCTTCGACTTTTTTTGTGCTTTGTGAAAAATTTTTAAAAATTTAATTGAAAAGTTTTTCTCAAACTATTAAAAGCAAACTTTAATTCTATTTTAAAAATAAATATTACCGTGGTCCTCTAGCTCTTGCATGCATTTTATCCAGAACCATATGTTTCAACTTTTGATAATAAATAGGACCGAAATAAATATATGCACTAAGTTGTTGACCAGTTATCCCGGATGTTAACATATCTTTTCCAAGATAATTGAATCCTCGTGCTGCTAGTTCTTCACAAACAATATCAACCTTATAATATTTATAATGTTCATGAAATATTTAAAACTACATGAGATGCATAAATACATTAAATTTGCTGCATCAAAAACACTCAAAAAGTTTCAAATACATCTATACAATTACGATTTTTCATTTCGCTTTTGTAAAATATGCCCTGGAGAAGTCTCACCTGATCACCACCAAAAGCAGTTCCATAATGGAATTTGCCAGAAAGGACCGCATTTTTTCCACTTAATAATTCCATCAATTTTCCAACAGTCATACGACTTGGATAACCGTGCGGGTTCATAATCATATCTGGACACATACCCAAATCGTTGAAAGGCATATCTTCCTAAAAATTAACTTTCTAATAAACTGAAAAAAAAAAAAAAAAAATACGTTAATTATGGAGTTCACAAAAACTGTCATTCCTTTATTTTCCGAAAGTAGAGTAAAAAAAAAAAAAAAAAAAAAAAACAGAAATTTAAGAAAAGCAATCAGCTCTAATTTTTTTTTCTAAAATCTCAAATAATTTCTAAAAACCCAAACACAAATTTCATGAATTTAGAACAAAAAGTTGGAATGTAAACTCAAAAATCAGATAATTTTTTGAAAACTGTGAAATTTCGAATTATGAAACAATTTCGAAATCTAATTGAAACCTGTTTTGCTATCAAACCACATACACCTTTCTGACCATGTCTGCTACTAAATTTATCGCCCAATTCAGGCCTTCTGTAAATAGTTTTCCATTTTTGTGGAATTTTAATGTGTTTTAAAATTCAAAAAATATGTCAAAAATATAAAATCTGTGGAAATCAAAACCAAATAAACAAAAGTTAATTTGCTTTTTTTTTCTTTTCTTCTTTTCTAAAAAAAAGACTACACCTTGTTTGTCGCAACAGTACTTTGACCAAATGAGCATCATCCTCATTATATGTCAACAGGACACGTTCGGCATATGATGGTACAGGATTACGATACACAACCGAAACATCTTTGTATTCCACTTCATGACTACCACCAATATTTGTTCCATCATTATTGGAAACTGTGGCACCAGCTTCCATGCTTACAACCGGCATATGCTTATTGATCATTACCTTTAAAAGTTGACTGAGTTTGAGGCACAATTAAAATCCCAAATTATAATAGTTATTTGTAGAAATTGTGCAAGAAATGCAAAATGATGACTTTACAAATCATTAAAATTTAGAAAACTAAAACCTGTTTTGAACGTATGCATGCACCAACATACACGATACCCTCCTGATCTAATACTTGATGCTTATAAATGGGTTTTCGTGTTGCTGCTTCAATAGTTGGTCCCATAAGACGATCAAATGTTTGATTAGGATATTTTCTAGCCGTTGCTTTGGCATGTTTGTAAACAAGACAACGACCATAACCTGAAATAATTTGGGATTAAAAACTTAAGGCAACAAATTCTGAACGAATGAAAACGAAGAAACCCAATCAATAATCAGGTCAGAAGAAAGACAAACAGAAATAAATTTATATCACCAAAAAAAAAAAAAAAAAAAATCTGAATTATCAATTGCAATACAACTGACATTGTAAAATCTAAAAACATCGATCTTTTTTTTTTTTGAAAAAAAGAAGTCTACTAATTAACCTCTGTCAAGAGAAGCTTTATTCAACACAAGCGCATCTTCAATATCATAGCCACTGTAAGACATTACTGCAATAATGGCATTCTGTCCAGCTGGCAGTTTTTCGAAGTTACAAAATTCGATAGTCTGAAAGATTAATCACTAACTAGAAGATTTTATATGTTGTTAAACTTGAGAAAAAAAATGAGGAATAAAGCAAACCTTAGTTTTAACAAGAGGTCGTTGTGGGTAAACTAACAAATACATTAGTGAATCGATGCGTTTCTGCTGATTATATCCAAT